ACCATCCCCGTTGGTGCGATCAAGTTCGTCAGCTGCTCGACACTGAAGGATGACTGGTTCTCCATCGGTGCAGGTTCACCAACAGAGCCAGACCCACTTGTCAACTGCATCTTCAAGACTGAATTCTTTACTCACCTGACCAATGTTCTACGGGGGTCATTGACCATCAAAATAGGCGAGACGTAAGTGTTCTATATCTCAAATGAAGTACACGAGACTAACACGACACAGCATCGAGTACAACAAGAAACCCGGCAAGCCAGCCCAAGTCAAGGTCATCAAGGATACTACTGTACCACGTGATGATCTGTACAAGAGTGGCACAATCCACACCGGACCCGGTGAAGCCCCCAATTCCCAGTCAAAGGCTACGCCTAAAGGAAAACAAATCGCAGCAAAGCCCATCACTAAGGGTAAGCTTCTGCGGCCCGGTGGCCCTGGCGGAGGTCCCTCCAAGCTTGCCAACCGCCCTGCGCAGCCAAGACCTGTGCCCACACCTGCAGCTGCACAACCCAGAGCAGTACCTACGCCTGCAGCTGCACAACCCCGAGCAGTGCCCCAGCCGATGGCCGCACTGTCAAACGGCACAAGTCACGCAGCAAATTCCTCAGCAGGCCGAGCACCTCCTCCCCCGCCACCGCCCGGCCCACCCGCAGCACCACCTGCACCCAAGGAACCAACATACAAGGCTCTATACGACTTTGCAGGACAATCTGCCGGCGAGCTGAGTATTCGCAAAGACGAAATCATCCTAGTTACTCAGAAAGAAAACAACGGTACGTCACCCACACCCGCCTCCCCCTCCTATTTTCATGTACTAACACGCACAAACAGGCTGGTGGCTCGCCTCGCGCCTGGACAAATCAGCCTCTGGCTGGGCGCCCTCCGCTTACCTCGAAGAAGTCAAATCTGCCGCTCCACCACCTCCTCCCCCTCCCCCCGCGCGCCCGGCAAACGGCAAACCAAAGCCCCCGGCGCCCCCGACTAAGCGGCCCGCGGGCAGGAAGCCGGCGCCCGATTCGGCGAGGGATAGCGGGTATAGCGGGAGTGGAGTCGATGGTGGCGGACCCAGGGATAGTAGTGGGAGTATTGCGGGGGGGGTTGGCAGAGGCGTTGAGGCAGAGGCAGGCGGCTATGCAGGGTAGGCAGAGGGGGGAGGACTGGTAGGTTGATAGGAGGGGTGAGATTGGATGAGGGAAGCGGAAGCTGAATGAAGGTTGTAGTAGTTTTTTTTTTTTTGCATGAGAATCATTTTAGAAGTACTTTTGTGTTAAAATGTTTTGGTGAATGTGTGCTTGTATGTGAGGGAGGAAATGGTGGATTTCAGATTGAGATGTACAGGGCTTCTCATGCGTCTGCTCAAGCAGGTTGACGGTATATCGTGCTGTTAAGATAGACATGATTGTTTTTGTTTTTTGTTTTTTTATTCGGAGCAAAACTCCGTCACTAACAGCTCATGCACGATGTTCCAATGTGAACGTGACTTTTTTCAGAATAACACAAGTAAGAGTACAGGCCTCCAAGTCGTCATGTCTATGACGTGTGTATGTGCGTTGAAGAGTCAGGTGGTAAGTATGTTGCAGCTGAGGCAAGAGCTTACAGGCGAGATACACTTGGCTGGACATTTGGGTTCGGTGTCGTGGCATCGGGCTCAGCTGGTTCTTGGGGAATTGTATGCAGTCTTGAGCCATTGTGTTCTGTGTTAAGGTATTGAGTTTAGTGTTGGGCTATTGTATGCAGTCTCGGACTATCATTCTTAGTGGCGAGGTATTGTGTTCTGTTTTGAGGCATTGGGCTTCGTGTTTGGGCATTGGATTTTGGAGTACTGTATGCAGTCTTGGGCTGTCATCTGCAGTGTTGAGGCATTGGATCCAGTGTTGATGCATTGAGTTCGATATTCGGGCATCGAACTCAACGTTGGGCAGGTGCGGAGGCATTGTTGGGGAATTCATTGGTACATGATAATGAAGAATGTGGTCAAGCGTACGGGTACCAACCTCATCATTGGGTAAGTGTTGATGTCAGTATGGGCAGATCCCAAGTTTCTGGGTGCGGGCTATCCATTTCCACTTTTTCACCGTGAAGAGACCGAGTTCCCGACGTTTTCTCGCTACGATTGCTGATGCGTGCTAGGATGATAGAGGCGTTGGGATTCGTAGTTCCAGTAGCTGCAGCATCTGGGGCTTTTCTCCGTGGTCATGCGCGACCGTTTTACCTACCTTGGATGCTCATGTAGCATGCTTGAAAGATCATGTAGGATGCCCGAAGTAGCTTTCGCATAGATGTACAGTTTGCTGCAACAGGAAAGACAAACTCTAGACCCAGTCTCTGCATGTTCGGGCTACTTGTTGCCTGCAAGTCCAACGTGAAGTTATTCGAGCGAGGCAATCTCTAAAGCAATGTCCGTTGTTTGTTGGTAGTTCAGGGTCCACCAGTCTGGACTTGTAGATTGAGATTAATTCGGTCTTGAGCAATCGAGATTCGTATCCGAATGTTGAGATCATTACACAGGAGCGGGGTCGCAGTCCAGATAAGCTTCATCTAGCATATAACATATTGTAATTGCATCATATTGAGTCCGGTCACATGTCGACGCCGGAAGAATACTAGGCAGTGTAGATCGCCCGCCAATATAAGAGGTGTACGGGATTCAGATGCCAATGATGATCAAACATGGTCTTTATGGTCGGAAAAATGCCTTCTGAAACGATGAAACTGGCGCGGATGCGGCTTGTCGAGCCCTATTAGTGTAATGTAGGTGAAGGAAAGGTATCCTGGTTGCACTTCATCTGGCCATCACTCGGCAGTATTGCGATCTGGTCTTATGCATAATCTTCCTTGTGGGAGGGTGTAGACGTGCTATCGAGACATGTGCTGCCTGGACTCGATGTCACACATGCTGCCGCGAGAGCATCTGTTTCGCCATAGGTTCCTTGTTGAAAGAGGGACATCGTGAGAGCCGCTTGGCGGGACGGTGCGGAGAGCGGATGCTTCGTCAACGTGACCTGTACGCGGCAGTTTAAGCGGAAAGAGCGGCCCGTGAACCATGGAAGCCCGGACTCCAACGCCGCCAGGGCCGTCGAACCACAACCTTTCAAGACATTTTCCACCAACTGCTAACCCCGCCTCGCAGTCTAGGACCGCTATCACCGTCTATTTGTATCTTGAGGCATCCAATCAGAAGCATTGCTGCTTAGCAGAGCGGAGACTACCTTCGCCCGAAACATGCATGCCCTGACCCAGAGGGCATGTCACCGGTGCTTTCGTGCTGGTCCAACGCGGCAAATGTGGGTTTATGCCCTCTCTGGTCAAAAAGAAGCTGGGAAATGCAGGCATCGAAACAGTGACGCTTGCATTGAACCCTGACACTTCGCCACAGGCAAGCCTCACGAGACCTAATCTAGATTGGCTCACCTAGAGAGCCTCTTTGAACAACAGATCAAGGCAGGCCTGCGTCTATTCCGCTCTCCATTGCCGTTCCGCCGGCCAATGGAAAGTATGCCGCGCTTCCAAGACGTTCCTGCGAGCCGTCGCTAGGTACAAGGCTTGATCTCAATACATGCGCATATTCGAGCGTGGCCCACGCTGCCCCATGGTCTAAGCGTCGATTTGATGGTTCTAAATGTGATGCGTGACTACTAAAAGATGACAATCTACTTCCGTTGCTTGTAGAAATCTTGAAACGTCGCTGCCTCGTCTTTCGTTTTCCGTCACTTCCTTCCTCTGTCCCACGTTTCAGAGCTACATTCTACCGCACCGGCTGCAGTGGCGACAGGTTGCGGCTATTCGTGCAGTATCTCCGGAGTCTCGAGGACACTTTTTATTCGATTAGATTTACCATGGCCACTATGAACCTGGGAATCGCTAATCCCACGCAAGGGGACCTGCGGCAGATCGAATTAAAGCAGGCCACGATCCAGGTGCAACCCGTGACGATTGACACACCTGCCACCACACCTGAGCAAAACTCACCATCCGAAGAAGCCATGACTGGCAAGAAAGTCTTCTCGTTAGAGCGACCGATGGATAAGGCGAGAGAATTGGCTGCCAAGTTGACCTTGGAGGAACAGGTATGCTTTTCATCCTTTGTCTGCCTGAAATCGAGATATCTGGGCGTGAATGTTTTCGGAGAATTCCAGCATAACTGCACACCGTGACATAAGAAGCGCCCCAACCCAAGAAATCGCTTCATGAGTGCCTACCGATGCACGCTATCCAATTTCGAGGTTGGATAGTCGAGCTCGCTATGAAGCCCGGGAAAGGTCCTTGTTCAGCATTCAAGCTCGGCAACTCTGCACTACATATCATCTTATACATTTATCGCGAAAAGGAATTTCACAATTAGCTAATGAAGACAGGTTTCACTGCTGGCTGGTGCAGATTTCTGGCGATCTAAGGCTATCCCAGAGAAAGGCATCCCTTCCATCAAGACATCTGACGGACCCAATGGAGCTCGAGGAGAGTTTTTTACCAATGGCACACCCGTAAGTAGTCCATTCGATAACGGAATACGGCCAAAGCTGATATAAAAAAAGGCCGCACTGTTTCCTTGCGGTATCTCCATGGCTTCTTCGTGGAATGTGGATATGATGGAGGAGATTGGCCGCCACCTGGGTGATGAGTGCAAGGCGCGTGGAGCTGATGTGCTCCTTGCACCGACCATTTGCATGCATCGCTCTCCGCTTGGTGGGCGAAATTTTGAGTCTTATTCCGAGGATCCTTTTCTCACAGGCAAGCTGGCTGCCTCTTATGTTCGCGGACTCCAGAGCAAGGGCATCGCCGCGACCATCAAGCATTTTGTGGGAAATGAGCAAGAAACGGAAAGACAGGCATATGATGCTATCATCGCTGAGCGACCACTGAGGGAGATCTATCTCAAACCTTTCGAGATCGCCGTCAGGGAAGCGTCGCCATGGGCATTAATGAGCGCATACAATATGGTCAATGGCCAACATGCTGATGAGTACGTGCACAGCATCAAAGAAATCCTTCGAGGCGAATGGGGCTGGGAAGGTACCATCATTTCCGACTGGACCGGCACATATGCCACAGCACCATCAATTAAATCTGGTGTCGACATTGAAATGCCTGGACCGTCGAAATGGCGTAAGTTCGAACAGGTGAAGGAATGCTTAGATAATGGAGAACTTGATGTGGAGGACGTCGAGGAGGCAGCGGCAAGAGTACTATACCTCGTTGAACGGACTAAGGGATTCAACAACATGACTCCGGAAGAACCTGAGAAGTCCATCGATAATCCTGAGACAAGGGCATTAATTCTTCAAGCTGGAATTGAGGGGCTTACTCTATTGAAGAACGAGGGAAACGTACTACCCATCAAGAACGCGAAGAAGGTCGCAATGATTGGTCCAAATGTTAAACGATCCATAGCAAGCGGTGGAGGGAGCGCAGGTCTCAACCCATACTACAAGACCACACCCTGGGATGGTGTCCAAAATCGCTTCAAGGGCGAAGTCACATTCGCGCAAGGCTGCGACAGTGCAAAATGGCTACCCCTCGCCTCACCCTACTGCAAGACCGAGAATGGAGAGACCGGCGTACGATTAGAGTACTACCGCGGCGACAGATTCAAGGGCGAGCCAGAGGTTGTTCAGCACAAAGTCAGCACCGACTTGTGGTTATGGGATTCTGCGCCAATGGAGCTACTCCCCGATTTCTCCTTCAAGGTCAAGACCACACTTACACCACAATCGACAGGCAAGCACAGCTTCAGCTTTGCTTCTGTAGGTCCTGGTCGGATGTTCATCGACGGCGAGCTTTTCATCGACAACTGGGATTGGGTCGAAGAAGGCGAGGCCATGTTTTCTGCATCTGAAGATGTCTTGAAGTCGGTCGAGCTCGAGGAAGGCAAGCCCGTCGAGATTCTGATTGAGAGCACAAGCGAAGTGCGACCTGCATCAAAGGTCTCAACCCTTGGACGACGCTACGACTACGGTGGCTGCAGAATTGGATACCAAGAAGAGGACAAAATTGATCGCATCCAGGAAGCCGTCGATGCAGCCAAAGAAGCCGACGTTGCAATCTTGGTCGTCGGTCTTGATGCAGAATGGGAGTCAGAAGGTTACGACAGGCAGACTATGGATCTGCCCAAGAATGGCTCGCAGGATCGTCTGATCGAAGCTGTTTTGGCGGCAAACCCACGCACCGTTGTCGTCAACCAGTCCGGAACACCCATATCGATGCCATGGGTACACAAGGCTCCAGCAATTCTGCAAGCTTGGTACCAAGGTCAAGAAGCAGGCAATGCACTTGCAGACGTACTTTTCGGCAACGCGAGTCCCAGCGGAAAGCTGCCAACCACATTCCCTGTACGCATAGAAGACAACCCAGCCTACCACAACTGGCCAGGCGAGAACCTAAAGACCGTATATGGAGAAGGCATCTACGTCGGTTACAGGCATTACGAGCGCTCAAAGATTGCTCCTCTCTTCCCCTTCGGCCACGGCCTCACATACACAACTTTCGAGTACGGAACACCAACTGTCAGCGCCACAGTTCTGACAGAGGCCGGGGAAATCGTCGTTACCGTACCAGTGACGAATACCGGCCGAGTTGCTGCACACGAGATCGTCCAAGCGTACGTCAAGGACATCAAATCGACACTACCGCGCCCAGAGAAGGAACTTCAGGCTTTCGGAAAGGTGTTCTTGCAGCCTGGTGAGACCAAAAACGTGAACTTGAAGCTCAATAAGCATTCAGTGGGCTACTTTGATACGAGCCTTGGCCAGACTGGCGCATGGATCGCGGAAGAGGGTACATTTGAGGTCTTGGTTGGGGCCAGTAGTGCGGATATCAGGTAACCACTGCACTGCAGAAACTCATACCAACAGTAAACTAACAAAATTTGCAGGAGCAAAGTTAGCTTCGAGGTGAAGGAATCGTTCCAGTGGATCTTTTGAGCTGGAATGTGCGGGGCTTATCGGGGGGCGACATTTTGGTGGAGTTTGAGGGGATCTCCTTGCGACGAACATATCTAACATAGCACAGATAAGAGTGCACCTTTCGGTAATGTGAAAACCGTAGTATGTCCATACATCTGATGTCTTTTGGACTGCATATCTGGGTTGTGAATGAACGATCGCTCGTGCCGTGATGCATAGTATACTACGTTGATTTGAATGATAAATTTGACTGTAAAATGACCCAGCGAGTAACACTAGTGCTCCTTGGATATATACGAAAATAGTTTGGGACGCTGATATGCCCGACCTTTTCTGCAAGTGATGAAGCCCGGAAAGTCAATTCAATGCTTGTTAGTGTCGGCAGCCCTGCGAACGAACGCCGGTTATGACGCGCAGTCAGCAAGGACCCACTTTCGGCAGGAACAACTGAACCTCCGGCGAACCCTGAGACGAGATGGAATCTGAGCTGCCACCGGAACCCATCACCACACCGACGACGACAACTTCTGTGCATAGCTTCACCAGAGTCGCGTGAAATGGAACTATAGTCCAGTCGCGGCTTTCTACTCTCTTTTGGCGTTCCAGTCGCGCAGAAGCCAGCGCCTCAAGCTCGTGATCTGCTCCTGATCACTGCCGACCGAGCTTCAGTTTGGCCACACCACGACCGCGCGCAAACTTTGGGACGACATTTCAAGCTTTGCACGAGCTTCAGCGGACCTCAGAATACGCTTTTGACCGCGACCGCGACTTTTTGCCCGTTTCGCAGGCCATCTTAAAGCCGACAAGCACGTGTAAAGCCGAGATGAATCCAGGGCATCGCGACGGCTGGCCGCCGTCACAGGCGGGAGTGTCGGGACAAAACCAGCAGCAAACAGACCAAAGCCAAGCGCAGGGTCCGCGACTACCTGGCATATTTGGGTACGTTTCCATCTCGTCCTACCTAGCATCCCGGTCGCAAAGACACGTGAAGAAGCTTTTGCGCCTCTCGGTGCATCACCACTTGAGTATTCGAAAGCTAAAGACGAGAGTTTTAATAGGCCCAGGGACAATTCAAACCAACAACCACTCCCACATGCGTCACCAGCGCAAGGCCCAGGATCGGCGCTACCGCCACCGTCAGGTACGTAGCACGAGCGAACGGAACGCGTGGTCACACTGCTAATGCCATCACTAGGAGCTCCGTTCTACTCGTCCAACGCCGCGACCGCTCATAACCAGAGCCTCCCCACGCTCCCTGGCTTGACCGCACAGCCTCCACATTCATCACCCCATCAGTCTGCTCAAAGGCCAGCGACGTCCGAAGCCGGCCCTGGCGCGCAAACTCACCAGGGTCCTCAAGGCCCATCATATCCGCTGCCCGGCATCTCACAAACTCTCCAACAGCAACAACCACACATGGCGTCATCAGAGCAGGCAAACGCCGACAGGGAGCGAGAATTGCGTGAGCGCGAGCAACGGGAACGTGATATCATGGAGTCGCACCTGGTACAACAGCACGCCCAGCAGCAGCAGCAGCAGCAGCAGCAGCAGCAGCAAGAAGAGCACATCAAGCGCGAAGCAGAACAGCGCGACAGGGAACATCACGAGCGGCAACAGCGCGAACAGGCTGCTCACCAGAACCATTCCGGGCCTATTCAGATCCACCAGCCAGTCGCCGTGGCTCCATCGACACGCACGATACATGGGCCGAACGGGCTGCTTGGGCAAGCAGGGCCGTTGGCTGGGCCAAATCCTCTAGGCGCGCCCATGGGGAATGCGCCCGCCGCTGGACCTATGTACGCAAACGCGCCCGCTCAGCACGAACAGAACACGCCGCGAATGCAGCATGCTGCGCCGCCACCACCGGCCCAGCCTCAGATGTTGATGCCGTTCAATGCTCCGGCAGTAACCATGGGAATGGGTCAGGGCCAGCAGCCGATCCTCAACGACGCATTGAGCTATCTTGACCAGGTCAAAGTCCAGTTTGCCGACCACCCAGATGTGTACAATCGATTCCTGGACATCATGAAAGATTTCAAGAGCGGCGCCATCGATACGCCCGGCGTGATCGAGCGCGTATCGACACTGTTCGCGGGCAACCCGAACCTCATTCAAGGCTTCAACACATTCCTACCACCGGGCTATAAGATCGAGTGCGGCACAAACGGTGATCCAAATGCCATAAGAGTTACGACCCCAATGGGGACCATGATGTCTTCAATGCCTGCGCCGCGACCGCTTTCCCCACCACGAAGCAGCGCTGTAAATGGCAATACTGCGCCTCCGCACGAGGGCACGTACTATGAGACCCCGCAAGGCCGACCCTGGCCTCAGCAGCCAAGACCGCAAGGTCCTGAAGGACAAGAGAGTATGTTTACCCCCAACAACCGCAGCCTCGGACAAGCGCTATATGGTCCGCAAGGAGGTCCTCCAGGTCCAGCGCCGCTGTCACCAGAGGTCAATACACGTCCGCATCCTGACCAAGTAGGTAATGCTGCCACCATCGCGCACCAACAAGAGCAACGAGGTGTTTCCCAACTCCAGAATGCCGTTTCAGCTGCCACGGGACGATCCATACTGTCTCCGAGCATGGAGAATGCCACTCCTGCCCTTGGCCAGGTGTTGAACGGCGTCGCTCCCGGAGCCCAACTCGGCGGTGTAGGCGCAGAGAAGCGAGGTCCCGTCGAATTCAATCATGCTATAAGCTACGTGAACAAGATCAAGGTATAACGCCCCTCGGTTCTCTCACCTAGACGTTTGCTAATTGTTGGATAGAATCGCTTCGCCTCACAACCCGACATCTACAAACAGTTCTTGGAGATACTACAAACGTACCAACGCGAGTCAAAGCCCATCCAGGACGTTTACGCCCAGGTCACGACGCTGTTTGGCGGGGCGCCAGATCTTCTCGAGGACTTCAAGCAGTTTCTACCTGAATCTGCTGCTCATCACAGGGCCCAGCAGCAACAGGCTGCAAGGCACGCCGAGGACGCAGTCATGCTAACCAACGTTCGTAATGAGAACGGTTATGGCCAGGCACCTAACAATCAGCAAACTCCGCGCGCCGACACTTCTCGCCTGCCTCCCATGGGCAACTTTGCGCCCACGCCGACTGCGAACCGCGACAACAAGCGGAAACGTGAGCGTCAGGGACCAGTCGCTGCTCCAATGCCTGCGCCGATGCCCCAAGAGGCACCAACATCAAATGTGCGTGGCTCTTACGGACAGAGCAGTGTCAACAAGCGAGCAAAGACTGGTCACGCTGCGAAGCAGGCGATTCCTGATGGTCCGCCCGTTTCCCCGACTTTGACGCCTGCACTCCCGGAGCCAATGCCCCCGACAACGACGACCTCTCCGAGCCAAGACGAGCTCGCGTTCTTCGACCGCGTCAAGAAGTTCATTGGAAACAAGAACACTATGAACGAGTTCTTAAAGCTTTGCAATCTATTTTCGCAAGACTTGATCGACAAACAACTCTTGATTTACCGCGCCCAATCGTTCATCGGTGGCAACCAGGAACTGTTTGCTTGGTTCAAGAAGTTCATGGGCGATGATGAGGAGCAGCAGAAGTCGCGCCCCAAGACAGTTAACTCCAGGGTCTCGTTATCGAACTGTCGCAGCCTTGGTCCGAGCTACCGACTACTGCCTAAGCGCGAGCGCGAGCGGCTCTGCAGCGGACGCGACGAACTTTGCAAGTCTGTATTGAACGACGAGTGGGCTTCGCATCCCACTTGGGCCTCGGAAGACTCTGGGTTCGTCGCTCATCGCAAGAACACATTCGAAGAAGCTCTGCATCGGATTGAAGAGGAACGCCACGATTACGACTTTAACATTGAGGCCTGCGCAAAGACCATTCAACAGCTCGAGCCCATTGCCAGCCAGCTCCTCACTATGAAGCCTGAGGATAGGCAGCATTTCACTCTACCACCTGGTCTTGGTGGTCAAAGCGAGACCATCTACAAGCGCGTCATCATGAAGATTTACGGCCGCGAGAAGGGCAGAGACGTCATCAAAGAGATGTTCAACATCCCATGGAACGTGGTACCTGTGCTACTACATCGCTTGAAGTGCAAACTTGAAGACTGGAAAGCTGCACAGCGTGAGTGGGAAAAGGTCTGGCGGGATCAGACCCAGAAGATGTTCTGGAAGTCTCTTGATCACCAAAGCATCACTGTCAAGACGACCGACAAGCGCCAATTCCAGCCGAAGTCCCTCCAAAATGAGATCCAGGTCCGCTATGAGGAGCAGAAGCGTATGCAAACCATACAGGAGGTCTCACAACCAGACTATCAGTTCTTATTCTCCTTCAAGGATGAGGATGTTCTGATAGACGTGGCTCGTCTGATGGTCTCCTTTGCGGATAGCAACACTGGCTCAGACTTTTCGAAGACCATTCCTTTCGTAAAAGAGTTTGTTCCCCTCTTCTTTGGCATCGACGTACAGAAGTTCGAGCAGAGAGTGCACATGTCTGGACAGAATACGCCCAACGACTCCGGTGACGACACACCTAGTCCTGACGATGACGCGTCACAACGTGGGAAGATCAAGAAGGGTGACCTTCGTCGCGACGTACTTGATCCCCGCAGCAAGTCTCGTAAAGACAAAGAAGAAAGCGTCGCATCAGCCAGTAGAGACAGCACACCCGAGATGGCTTCTGGAATAGAAGACGAAGCGGCCGGCGACAGCTCCAACTCGAACCCTCGTGGTGAGCGGCCAACAAGCAACTGGGTCGAGTACTCAGCTATGCCAACTGCATTTGGCGACAAAGAGTTTGAGCATGAAGAGCCTTACCGCCGTGTTGAGTACAATATGTACGCCAACGGATCCATTTACTGCTTCTTCAGGATGTTCGTCTACCTATACGAGAGGCTATTGAAACTCAAGGAGAGCGAAGACGATGTGCGTCGCATCATCAACCGCGCGAAAGAACCAAAAGCTGCACAGAAACTGAAGATGCTTGACAAGCAGCCAGAGGATTTCTTCAAGGACACTTCTGCGTCCGCCAACTACTACCAGCAGGTGCTTGACATGTTGCACGATCAGATCGTGAACGAGGTAGACATGAACTTCATCGAAGAAGTCCTGCGCCGATACTACCTCCAGGTTGGCTGGCAATTATACTCGTTTGACAGGTTGATCATCTCTCTTGTGCGCTTTGCTCTTACTGTGGTCAGCCATGACAGCAAGGACAAGAGCCTGGACATCTACAACCTGTTTAGGAAGGACCGTGTCAACGATACCACGACACACAAGAACGAGATCAGCTACAGAAAAGCTGTCGAGAAGTACGCGAAAGATGCCGATACCTACCGCATCACTTATGTATGTATAAAGCCTTTCCCTTCTGCATATGCCATGCTAATTTATTCCCAGGATCCGGCGAAGGCAGAAGCCACCGTACGTCTGTTCAAGAAGGACGATCCCACCTTCGAATTCAGTACGCTTGACCGTATCAAGCGCTGGCGAGCGTACATCGCATCATTCATGGCTGTCGAACCAACCGAGGAGGTTGACGGCAGCCGCGTGCGATACCCTTACCTCAAGAAGCGCCTTGCCAAGACCGAAGATTTCTCCGAAGACGATCGTATCGATCACGTCAAGCACAGTGACAAGATTACGATTTCTATCAGTCCTGCTGGCTACACCATGTCCTTCATCAACAGCGAGCCTTTTGGCACTGGCGGCGTTCAGTACTTCCTCCAGCCTGACAGTGTGCGTGCCGGCCTTACCGCCAGCGTGACCAAGCCCGTCGAGGAGTTCAAGGCCCTTAACGACTCCCGACGCGACCGCGTACAAGAAAAGCTCGTCCGCAACAACTCATGGATGAAGGACCTGAGCCGCGAGGACGTCGACGCGAAGAAGGCGGCTTTCAAACAGGATCTCGAAACCGCCAAGACCCAGGAGGATGACGACGTTGACATGGAGGAGGCTTAGGTAGCTTCTTTTTACAAACGTGTCGGTAGGAAAGTATCATTTGGAATGAGAGCTGGCGCACATGGATGATATTAATCACAAGTAACGATAAGTTTGGATCAGGTACATTGGGGACGGTTGCATTGGGTGTGTAAAGGAGACAGCATGTACGATTTTCTTTTTGCCTTCTTTTGATGCAGAGAGGCGCTTTCTGGAGTCGTTCTTCTTCTTCGCTTCGATTCTCCTGACTGATCTATATCCATTTTTCATGCCTTTGTTCGTATCTGACTGTGCAATCACCTGTTCCTCAATGTGACTAATGTCAAGTCTCGTTCCACATGACCTTCACTATGCCGTCTCCCTCGAACTAGGCCCTCAAATCCGCCTTGCATGCTGTGGCAGCGTTGCTATCCAGTCTATAGTCCTACACTCTTATCAAAGATAAATTAGGCACCACCCGGCCACTCACAGATGCGCTCATACACCCAGAAGCGTAGAAAATCCTCCGATGTGTGACGATCCATCAGCCTCATTTCCCAATCAAGTACCTTTAATGCAGCACTCCTGTCCTTGGATGCCCTAACTGCCACAGTGTGTGCGTTGGGAAGTAGGTCCACTAAGTTGCTGTACCCACGACCTCGCATTTCCACAAGGTTGTAGAATATACTGCTTGACATCTCATCCGTGATTGAGACATGCGTGATCAGAGCGCGCTGAGTGGGTGAGAGACGTAGGGCGACGGTCTGGAATGATAGCACGCTTTTGAAGCTAAATCTGTTGAACATGAAGGGCAGGTTTTGGGTCTCGGCGTGCAAAGCGCGACAGGTAGATGATAGCGCCACGCGGTGGGGGTTGTTGATGCATGTATGGGGGGCGGGGCCGTAGGCGGGGTCTGTAGCCATGCTGCTGTAGGTGACGGAGGCAAACATGTACTCGTCAGTAAAGACGTAGACATAGATCTCGTTTCTCAGCTCTGCAGGGAGGCGGAGAAGAGGCGACATTTCCGAAGTTCTCAGTGTACTTTTCCAAACATTAGCAAGATACATTTAGTCTTGTTGGGCTTTCCATGAACATACGTGGCATCGTTGTTCGATACTGCCGTAAGCGTTGTAATTATCGAGTTGAGGTACTCGTTGTGCAAGGAATAGGGGAGGAAGTAGGATGGTTGCGTAATAAGAGTCAAGGTCACCAACTCTTTCATTTTATATCTTGTGGTTGCCTAGCAATTGCAACTTAGGCTGTACCTATTACGGTAACCTTACACGTAAAAGAGCATGTATGCTCGACTTGCTACGTCACGAACAATCACTTTCTCTCAGTACTAGGAAACGAGCCCAGGTAGCCACTAAATATATCACAGTCATCTGGCATCTAGAGAGCTACTTTCTACCTCAACTTCTGTCACAACAGTGTAACATTCTCGAGTACCTCTACCCGATCCGGCGCGCTCAGCCAGACCAACACGACCACACAACATTCCAACTAGCTCACTATCAAGACTTACTTTGTCCAAATGGCACCCACAAAACCAGTCGAGAAGCAGACTTTTACGACGCTGGCATTTCGTGGTAGACGCATCGAGAAGAGCAAGACTGGTCGAGTCAGCAGAACAATCCCCAAGAAGCTCACAACATCGTAAGATCCATTCTCAGTGAAGAAGTATTTTATATACTAATTTGTAACCAGACTATCAAGCATCGAGCTGTCCCCGCTGTTACGACTCCCCGGAGAAATCCGTAACATAATCTACTCCAAGATCTTCGACGACCTCGAGATCGACCCCGTGTACTTCGGCAGCGGCGAATTCGCATGTCGCAGCGGGTACAAATGGTCTTCCAAGGAAAAGAGCTTCAAAAACTTCAACAGCATTGTTGGCTTCACGCACTCTTGCCGCCAAATTCATGCAGAGACTCGACACCGCATGTGGAAGGACAGTAGCTTCGAAGTCCGGCACCCGGCGATTTTCGCGGACTGGATGGAGCGCCTGCGGAAGGATTTGCAAGAAGTTGTCTGGGCAGGGCTGAGTCCGGAGCAGCGCGGTGCGGTTAGTCAGAGGTCGTGGCCTGAGTTCTTGTACTCCTTGTGGGTCAACACTCCAGATGAGATGTAGAAGTTGGAAAGGGATTCGCTGCGGCGATGACGGTTAAGTGGTGATATCCGCGGGGCCTATAGTAGTAATCAGCCATGTATCCTTAATATATGGGAGGGCTTATTTCATACAATAGTGTCTACGACCATGGGTTTCGGCTAGTATTTGCTTGCAGACGTAGCGGAGGGGATAGTTGTTGCTGTGGCAATATGACGAGAACTGTGAGGTCCAGGGCCAGAAGTAGTAAATATGGCTTTCCGGTCCGGCTAGCAATTACGTTTCGAATCAGTTTGAGTGAAAGACATGGGAGTAGATCGTATCGCGGAGCTGCCGAGGAGACTGAGAAGACTTGGGGCCATGATCATCGTGTTCATTTGAGTTGTGTAGTTCCTAGAATGAGTTTTGGTTGAAAGAGATGCTTCAGAGAATTAATTTCGCCGGTAGTGTGCGCTAAACTGCGCGTTTTTGAGTGCCATGGTTGATAGCTTTATTCAGGGTCTGGATACCAAACTTATATGACTCTATACTACGTACTTTGAATACTCGCCTGAATTACTGCAGCTCGTCCAGGTTCTATGACTGTGGCTTCTGGTAAGTTGTATACTTATCTGATTTTAGAACATCAGCTCACTTGTGTTCGGATATTATGCTATTGAAAAACTTCCGAACAAAGTATGCTTCGCGAGAGAGGAGAGTATATGCAAGTAAATGAGAAAATGAACACTCTCACTGCTACGATTCACACATTCCTTGAGGAGCAAACCAAGGATAACAACAACACTCGATGATAATGTAGATACTGATGCACTCACTACAGCAGCAGAGAAGTCCCGGTCCCCAAGCATTGAACTAGCTGAGTGGGCCCTTGTTTACAGAAATGCTGTTATTCATATCCAGAAAGAGCATTGTTGCAACGCAACTTCATCGAATTCCGAAGCTACAATTGCGCCCCCAGGACAACGACAACGGCGTAACACCGAAGTCAGCAGTCGCAGGTATTTTCTTGAAACTCGTCAGCATCCAGCGAAAGATGTTTGATGAGCATCCAATACTGGCTTTATATACCGCACGCCGTAGCAGTTGCAGCGACAGAAATTATGCCCTACACTCGTCATGCATGTGAGATAATTCTAATGTCGATAGTGAAGCGCAGGTGGTTGAGGTTTTGAGTGTTGAGGGGAAGGGCAAGTCAAATACCCTAGCTCATCACGATCCTTCCTCTTTCATCGTTCGACGTAGCCACAGGCCAACCTGATGAGCAAAAAGAAATGCATAAAAGAGGGCAAAAACAGCGAAAAAAAAGTGGACGGGCAGGTGATCGAAACCTGGACCTTCCGCAAACCATGGTACCATGCAAAGCGGACGCTCTACCACTGAGCCACACGCCCTCAACTTCAAGCTAGACTGAAGATGGAAGGAATGCAAATAAAATAAAGTATATTCCAAATCGTTTTTACTAGGAAGCAATTCAGTAGGACAACGACACTCACAAGCACACTTGAGATTCCGTTAGCCCCGGGAAGTGGGTTTGTGTCTTGAGGGGCTCGCTTGCGGGATGCGCGGTTCACAGCCCCAACTTGGCGCGCATAGCTCGGACGTAGCAACGTCAGCTCCGGGAACACGAAGCTGCGCGTCTGTCTTAGCAAAGGACACATCAACTTCCACACCTTGCGCAAATCCGTGAATCTCGACATTCAACATTCTTTATCCTCCGACGCCGTCACGCGAACAGGTCGCCTAAGCCGTACGCGCGTCCAACGTTCAATTGCTCGTTCCAAAGCCACGAGCTATCCACAGCTCTCTCTACACAATCCGACAGTCGCAACCATGGGGTCGCTAGGGACTTATTTCCTAGATGTTGTCTACTCCTTCACAAACTGCATGGTCTGCTTCCCAAGCTCACCGCAACTTAAAATCAATTCTCGGAGCTTCAAGATCTTGCGATTACTGGGTGAAGTACGACACACTCCGTCTCACGGCGCAACGCGTATACTGACCATAACAGGGCGGATTTTCCTACGTCTACCTCGTTCAGGACAATTCGAATCAACAACTCCTCGCCCTGAAGAAGATCCGATGTCCCTTTGGCCAAGAATCCGTGAGCCTGGCGCTCAAGGAAGTCGAAGCCTACACCCTCTTCTCGCCACACCCAAACATCATACACAGCATAGACTACTCCGTCGAGACCGACAAGGGCGATGCGTCAGCGAAAACAGTATACATTCTTCTGCCTTACTACCGCCGCGGTAACCTCCAGGACATGATCAATGCGAATCTCGTCAATCACACAAAGTTCCCTGAGCGCCGGCTCATGGTGCTCTTCCTTGGTGTGTGTAAAGCGCTCAAGGCAATGCATCAATACAAGATCAAAGGCGGACCGGGTGGCGCGAGAAGTGAGGGCAAAGCGAAGAAGGTACGGAGAGAGGCAGCGCGAGCGGATGCGCAGGCCGCTGAGACCATGGAAATGCGCCCGAGCCGAAAACATCGCGAACATGACGATGACGACGACCAGGAGGCTGAGGGACTGTTGGAAGATTCAAATGTCACGATGGCGCAGGAAGGAATTGCGGAGGGTGGAGAGAGGGCGTATGCGCATAGGGATATCAAGCCCGGTAAGTTCCCTCGAAAGTTGCGATTGAGCGAATATTGCGCTAATAATGTATGAAGGCAACATCATGATCGACGACGACGGCAAATCCCCCATCCTCATGGATCTCGGCTCCCTTGCTCCCTCTCCAACACCCGTGACTTCCCGCTCACTCGCCCTTCAAATCCAAGACACCGCCGCCGAACACAGCACGATGCCCTACCGCGCTCCCGAACTCTTCGACGTCAAGACTGGCAGTGTCATCGACACAAAAGTCGACATTTGGTCGTTGGGTTGCACACTATACGCGTGTCTTGTTGGCAAGAGCCCCTTCGAGTTCAGGTCAGACGAGACGGGCGGAAGCTTGAGCATTTGCGTGCTTGGTGGTGATTGGAGATTTCCGGACGAAGGGCCGCAGAGGGGCAAGGCGAAGCAGACTGAAGAAGTGATCAGTGAGCCTGTCAAGGAGGTCGTGAGGAAGTGCTTGAAGCTAGAGCCGAGTGAACGACCGGATGTGGACGAGCTGATCAGTATCGTCGAAGAGCTGCTGGAGAGCTTACCTGAGGATGGATCGGAGGATTGAAATATGGTGCACTTGTAAGAATGACTTGGCAGAATGACTTGGCGTTTTGTGTGAGAAGACGAATTATTTGTATTTCTGGTAGCGCGGGCTGCTAAGCACAATATACCCATTCACGTCCATATCAGACAGCTCTGTAATCTCGCTATGTATGATCCATACCCTCGGCTGGTCTTCCCAGGCAGGTTATCAAGGCTCTAGTGTATCCATCTGTTCTATACATTTGGCGGTCTTATTACGCCTGGAACCCAGCTAGGGATACTCGCAAGAGTATTACGTTGTCTAGTAAGCTCAACCCCCTCATATGTTGTCTTCTCAACCTCAATCCCAACCGCGTCTTCCTCGCCCATCGCCTTCTCTTCTAGCACCACCTCATTTACAGAGTCCCGATATGCCTCTCTACCCACAGCCCTCTTCAATTTCTCAATAATCCGTCGATTCGGCGCAAGATTGAATCCGTCCTCCGCAAGCAGCAAAACCGTCCACTTCTGACGAGTTTTAACACTCAAATCCGCGCCCCAGCCGAGTAGCAAGTCGACAACCGCTTCATGCCCATTCTCTACGGCTTCCATGATCGGCGTCCAGGAGTCGCTTGTTTGGGCGTTTATATCGCTGCCGCAGTCTTTCAAGCGCTGGACGATATGGACGTCTCCGCCACGACATGCGCGGTAGAACGCTGTCGATCCGGACAATGAGCGCGCGTGTGAATCCGCACCAGCATCCAAGAGCACGTCGCATGCGTCTCGACTAGCGAACTCAGCCGCCAGATGGAGGGGTGTGGATTGCCTGCTGCCAGGTTCGTTGATGTCAGCCCCGAGGGCGAGGAGTTTGCGGATGGTAGTTGGGCGATTCCATTTCGCGGCGATGTTGAGGCAAGTGTAGCCGTCGGTTTGTGGTATGTTGATATCTGAGAGGCGCGGTAACAGGTCTTCGACGATGTCGTCGAGGCCTTGGCTTATGGCGAAGCAGACTGGGGAGTAGCGAGGTGATTCGTCGTATGGGTATTCTTGTTGGTAAATCCATCGCCAGTGCTTAAAACATGGTGAGCCGTCCTCGTCGCTGAAGAGTCGGCCTAGGTAGGGTTTGCATTGTTCGCTGAAACCTGCGGTGCGCTTTGCCTGCTGGTAGTGTCTGAACCAGTTGAGTGCTGCATAGCGGCGGAAGCTATATTGTTCGAGAGAAGGAAAGTCAGATTTAGACATTTGATGTCTGGACAGATTGAAGATGTCAAATGTAAGGTACTGGAGACATATTGAAGCCAGCCATGCATTGGCCTCTTCGGGGTTGACATGGAATTGTCTTGCTTGACTTTGCAGTATGCGAGGAGACGACAAGTATTCGTCGAGTGAGTAATGTGCAAGCTTAACAATGCCATGCGTCTTCCTTATTTTTGTTAGGACCACTAAAGGTGCAATGACCTCTAGCTCATCGTAAGGATCCGTCGACACCAAGTCGAAATCCAGAAATGCTTGCTCAGGTCCCATGGCTAGAATCTCGGCAAGATCTGATGCAGTGAGCGTTGGAGAAGCGACGACTAGACACTGCAAGAGAATCTTCATGTTTTCTACGCAGTCGGGATACGTAGATGCCATATGACTAAGAATTGTCTCATATGTATGCTCAAGTCCATTGGGCAGATTAGTGATCATGGCTTTGAGGTCTTTGTCGTTTCTGGCAGTACTGAAGTAGTCCAGCTGCATGCGAGCATGAAGGATTCTGTATTCGGTCAGCCGAGCACATTGGAACGATCCGAAATTCCCGTGATGACAGACGCGGGAGTCTGCTGGGTCTTCTCAAACTGTCGGATAGAGGTAGAAATGGAAGAGGGGCTTCTTACGTGCCAGCGCGCGACGCAACCTGCTCCTGTATCGAGGACTGCAAATTCTTATCTCTCATCTTCAAAGTGCCCTTCTCAACACGACTTCCCACTTCAGTAGTGACATACTGGTCGATGTCTGGCTTCATGTTCTCTGCCAGCGCCACTCGATTGGTCGTTAGGGTAGCATGTCGACGTTCCAGTTGCACATCAAAGCGACTCGTCATGAGTACCCTGGTAGAAACATCACATTTCTGGCCATATTCAAAAAGATTCCCAAGACTGTTTGCAATCTCATCGCCCTCAGATGACTCGTCCAGCGCGTCGCAGAAAATGAAGACATGTTTGCAGAGGCTCATGAAAGATTGTATCAGGGAGATGTAGTCGGTTCGATTGAACATGCGCTCGCCGTTACTAGCCTTTTCGTCGTAGATTTTCTTGGCTTGCTCCATGAAGTCGGGTGAGTGGTCGAGTATCTGTTTCGTCAGGGTCATAAGGAAGCTGTCGTGCGTGACTTTGGCGGGATCGCGATGATCGCAGAAGAAGTATAAGATAGTCATATATTCAGTCCTCTCCGTCTGGAGAGCCAGTAGCCTCTGGATAGCAGAGGCACAAAGCAGGGTCTTGCCTGAGCCGGGGAGACCGGTGATCCAGATCGAACTTGTCTCAGCGCTATTTTTGGATACCAACCAATGGGTGAAGATCCTGGATTGAAGAAACCACTCTCCAGTACCAGACAGACGGCGAGCCAGTGCGTTTTCGAGACTGACATGCGCTCCAGTGGTGGGAAGTGGACATAACCAGGAGAGCACTTTCTGCGACTCTTCTCGACTCATCTGAGTCTCTACCTTTGTGGTCAAGGAACGCATGCCATCCACCAATAGAACTTGAACAGTCTCGATGCGCCTTAAAGTGTTCCTATTAGGTCATAAGTGTGTAGAGCTTTTGCGCGACTTTCCGTGTCACTCACGCCGAGTCTACCTCCACGGCATTCGCCAGCACACCACGAAGCTGATGTAACCGTTGCAGAGCATCCTTCGTCTCCTTCTCTTTGAACGGCCACTTCAACATCTTCCCAAAATTTTGAAAATCTTTCCCGGCTTCCTGCTCGCATCGTGCTAGCGCGAGCTCAATGAACTCAAGAAGTGTCTTGCATTCTTGTAAGACACCAAGTCGGGCTAGACTACTTAGAGCTTGTTCGGTACTTGGATCTGATGGTGCGTCTGCGATAAGTTGAAGTTGACTAAGCAGACTATTCACTGCTGCAGCTTCAGTCAAGAGACCCCGAATCTCATTAGGCCCACGGGCGACTTTTGGTAAGAAAGCCGTATCCGCCAGCAAGGAGGGTGCCGCTGAGATGCACCAGTTGAGCAACAGAGGCTGCTAAACCAACGACTTCAGCCATAGTGTGCGTACAGCAGTGAAGTCCATGACGTGCGCGCGTTGTATTTTGTGAAAGTAGATCGCGTAGAGAAGGAGTGGTAGCCCCGCAACCCAATCGAGAAGTCTCGCCTACTATCGTTATCATAAAGTACACTCGTAATCACAAGACAAGAGGAAGCAACGAAAATAGAATATTCACAGGAAACTTATGTATCAAGAGAAACGAAGTCTTCGTAATCTGAAATCTATGTATATCCACCAGAATTACTTTCTAATCCCCGTCTAAGCAATCCAGAACCAAATCCTCTGCAACATATTCTTCGGCACAGGCGCACCTGAGATATCATTCTTGCACAGCTCATCCATCTCCCTCTTGCCAGACATGACATCAATATGCTGCGTGTGGATAAAGAATGGCGTCTTGAAGTAGATCTTGTGGCCAAGGTACAACACGAGGAAAATAGGAAGCGTGATGTACGCAGCTAGGAAATCAGCGACATCCCACCGGGCGGATGTAAAGACTTGGAATCCGTTCGTAAGTGTGAGGAGCGAGACAATAAATAGGGTGAAGTATGTCATGTATGGCTGGAACTTTGTGCGGTATGGCAGTTCGGAAAGCATGTTGTTGAACTCCATGGCCTTGCGGAAACGCAAGTACGTGATCATGACGACGATCCATGCAATGAAGCCGGAAATGGTGGAGATATTGGAGAACCAGGTGAAAACTTGCGCTCCGGAGCTGGAAACGTTCAAGTAGGCCAAGAATCCGACTGCCCATGTTGCCAATACTGCTGTCCATGGTACACCCTTCTTTGTCGTTTTAGCGAAGAACTTGGGGGCTTCTTTGTTCAGAGCCATGCCGTAAAGAACACGCGATCCGGAGAAAAGGAAAGCGTTTCCAGCAGACCAGGCGGATGTGAGAATGGCGGCGTTGATGACGTGTTGCAGGCCAGCAATTCCAGCCCTCTGGATTCCGATAACGAATGGAGATGCGGTCGCGTTTGAGCTGGGGCTGAGAAGTCGAGGGTCATCGGATGGGACAATCACTCCAATGATGAATGAACCGAATCCGTAGAAAACAGCCAGACGGTACACAAATCGTCCCGCGGCTTTAGGAATGTTTCGGCGAGGCGCAATCGTCTCTCCAGCAGAGAGTGCAATCAGCTCAGGAGAAACGATAAAGGCGAATCCAGCTCGAATGAAGGCCGTCCAGTATGCCAAAAACTTTCCAGTGTTCCCGCCTACTATATAGGGCTTGAAAGCTCCTGGGTTTTTCCAGTATCGGAAGCCGAGTCGCCCCTGATCGTTTGGACTGCCACCGAGCATGATCACGAATCCTAGGATGATCAAACCCATGATCGTGATGAATTTGATGGACGCGAACCAGAACTCGGCTTCACCAAAAACTTCGACTGCTACGATGTTGAGGAAGAGCACAACAACGAGGAAAATGGTGATCCAGACGGCATTGTGCACAGGCGTTTCCCAGTAGCTCAAAAGAATTGCACCAGCCGTTGCTTCAGCTGCTACGAGAATCGCATACGCATACCAATAGTTCCAGCCTGTCATATGTTAGCTGTGTGCCGTTATCGATAGTTTTGACAGACGTACCAGCAGCAAAAGCCAGACTTGGGTCTACAAAACGCTTGACGAAGTAAGGAATCGTGATGCCGTTCATCGGGAGATACGTGACAATCTCAGCCAAGTCGTTCATAATACACCACACCACAATCATCATGGAAAGATAGGCCATGAATAGCGGCGCGGGTCCCACAAGTGCAAGGATTGCACCTGATCCGACGAAAAGACCGGTTCCAATAGCACCACCGAGAGCCCTGAGTTCGCGTTAGATTCGCATCTGAATTGTGTGAAGACTTGAACTTACAAAAATTGGATATGGCGACTCTTCAACCCACGGTGGGTCGCGCCTCCAGTTCCAGTCGCCTCAGCAAGGGTGCCGTGTCCATGCACAAATGGTTCTTCGTTGGTCTCGTACCCATACTGTCCATGAGGACCCTTTTCAGGGTCTCCAGTCGGAGACACGATTTGGTGGTTTGGCATGTTTGGCAGATGGCGACTAGTTAGCGTGACCGTGGAAGTTCGGTTCGCCCACACCCAGACACTTGTATCCGATCCGGGGAGCGTGGGACGTTATATACAAACCGCCTTTGCCAGGGAATGTCAGAAGTATGGTCGTGATAGCAGAATTTTCGCTATCTGATGGCCAACGCGTTAGCCAGTAGGGCCGGTTCGGAGAACTGCCTAGAGCGGGTGTTCAGGTGGTCTTGGGCTGATCCCCAAGACAATGGGTCTGGGGAACCAATTGCACGTACGTAACAGATAGACCCTGGAGGAAAAGGCGGGGAACCTCGCCTGCTGCGGTGTTGGTGGTTGCACGCATCGCACCATTCATTAATGACGCACTCGCGCTTATGTCGCGTTCCTTCGGTCTTGTCTTGACATGCCAGGGGCACTGACCACTTCCTGGTATTTGATGCGTGAATTGAAGACGCGCCGATTAACGGAGACCGTAGGAAACCGAGATGTGGGGATCTGAGGCTCAAGTGCGCCGCGCGGTAGGCTCCGCGGGAACGCTGGTGCTCGTGGCGCTGTTCTGGAAGCGAACTAAACGTGCTGCGACTGCATGCATGGATGCAAGGCACGCGCCGATGCTTTGCGAAATGCATCTGGGTAGCCATGGCATGAAACTTTGGGGCTGGAGACTGGGGAAATCTCTTCCCGATCTGGGGTTGACATGGATCGGTCAGTGTCTTCCTTGGCCTTGGATGAAGGAAAAGAGCAACTATTGCGATGCTGTTCGCTGTTCAACTTCCACTGCATCCATCCCGCTCGACATCGGTTCGCGTGCTTCACGAACGGTGAGGCGACTTTTCTTATCAGTGCGAAACCCTCGCTTATTGCTGATATCTCCGACTTTTCAGCCAAAAGATAAGAAACCTTGGAAGCGTGGAGTGCTCACAGGCATTCTCGGAGACACGCTTGAGTGGGCCATGGCGGGCCTTCCCTCTGCTCCACCCTCGGACATTCGGGTGTCTCAAGGCAAACCCACAATTCAACAATTGTGTGTGCTCCCCATAAACTTGAGCTGATGGCGATAAGGAGACGAGCTCGTAAACAACAGCAAACAGCCGAAAAGCTTGTTTGCGGCACGAAGCGATCGTACATATGAAAAACGTCATGGACGGCTACCACGGCAAACGACTGCTGGGAAGGAATTCACCTACCTAGTCGCAAACTTCGGCATGTCACAGTCGCATATAAATTACTTGTCTTCCAAGTCCTATCGAAACATACTTTCATCGGCCTTTACGATGATTCATTCCTAGTAGCCGGCGGGATACGTGGGCTTTTGCTCTGTCAGGCGCATAGAATCTCGGAAGGAAAACGTGAGTCGTGAGTTCAGGGATATCAAACATGCCGGTGAAATTAACACGCGTCTTTAAGCAAGTCATAATTTCGTAACCACACTACCAACCCCAGATTTTCTGAACTCCGTCATTGCGCCAACCTCGGCGTCGAAGACCTATGCGTCGCCATGACCACTGGCCTCGGGGTCTGAATTACACTACTCTCAACCGTTCTTTCCTCCAAACTCGCTCTACTCTCATCAACCCTCACTTTCTCAGGCGGAACATCCAGCCCATCCATTTGACTATTCCTGCCCTTCTCCCACGTCCAGCGACTCCCCCTGCCAAACCGATTCTCCCTGTCTTCATCCTTCTCTTCCCAGAAACTCTCCCAGCCCGCAAACAGCGGCAGCGCAAGCAAGAGCACCGGCAAAAACTGTCCAAAATTCCACTCACTCTCGCTCCCGTTCATGCTAACATTGGGCGTGCCGAGCGCTTGCGTGTACCGGAGTCCGTCGCCGGCCATATACAGTCCATAAATGCCGTATATCGGCGCGACAATCCAGGTCCGAAAAGCAGCACCCAGCCAGTAGTACCATTCTTTCTTTCCGCCTTCTTCGGGCTCCTTGAGGAAGTACATGGCCAGGATGACGGTGACGTGCCCGCCTATTGCGCCGACGAGAAGACCAGTCCATTTTGTGCCGAATGCGGATTTCACTTTAGGGCGTTGGCCTTGGAAGAAGCAGGATAGCTCGGTGGAGATGTCGAGGCCGGCGAATTCGTAGGAGTAGGAGATGTAGGATGTGTAGCCGAGAAGACCGAGATTGGCAAGCATGAAGAAAATGCGAGGTAAGTTGATCCAGCGATACTTGACGAAGTAATTCCGCAGCGCTACAACGGTAAGGAGATGCGTGACTGTGGTCAAGAATGCGAGTTCTGTAACAATCTTCCAATGGTACACGCGCATATTGCAATGCTTTAGCAAACCGGTGAATTGGATCGCCAGTCCAGTAAGAAGTTGTGTATCGCTGAATGCGAGGAGGTTCTTGCTAAGCACGCGCGACCAAAAAGCTGTGGAACGCCAATATGGACCATTGTAATTCTGTTCATAGTTCGCGCCGCCCTTCTTGGATACGAAGCGTCGGTACAGATTGATGATCGATTCATAGCGATCGAGGAAGATGACAGTGAATGCGATGAGGAAAGCAAGGCATGTTGTCATTAAGAAGGATATTACAACCTGCCATTTATCAGTATTTCGCTGTCTGATTCCCTGCAAAGGTCTCACTCACGCCAACACCAGCAATATCAGGATTCGCATCGATTGTCTGGTTGTGCGCATCGCAGGTCGGGTGCGAGTTTGCGCAGTCGAATACCTTCCACGTCATGGCGGTTATTGAGGAAGAAGCATTGAGTTGTGCAACGAGTTTTGTACGGCGTGTGAAACTATTGACTGTTTGCTGGGCAAACTCTTCTTAAGTGTCGGACGCAGCGACGGCGAGGTTGTTCGTTCGGCCCCCAGCTACGCTGTGCATGTGCGCCATGTCAGCCGCCTGGCCGCGATAGTTTTCAGCCTTATCCGTTCAGTGTCAAACATGTGCCACAGCAGGTAAGTGCGACGAGGATCTGGTGCGTCAAAGGAGGCAGTGACAACGGATACCGAACGCAGTGCACATCACACTGTTTGTAAAATTAGAATGATGGAGCCACGAAGACGTGCGGATAGGTGGGCGCAGTCATGCATCGGAGCCTCAGTTTCAATTGGTTGATATTGGGGGCTTAAATGCTTCCAGCTGCACTACGAGGCACACGGCGCACGATCTCCCGTAGGCTGTGCTTTTGCCGCATCGCTACACAAATGCGCGTACAGCAATCCAAGAAGACCTTGCCTCCCAAAGCAGGTCGCTTTCCAACCAAAGCAACAGCGAGAAATAATACCAGATGGCCAGTTCGAGTCGAATAATTACAATATTAATATGGTTGATCCAGCCGTAAGTGTCGTCAAATATGGTTCACAATGAAACCTGTATCGCCAAATGTCTAGTCCATAGCGGAAAAGCGCCTCCCGTCGCTATTATGCAAAAGTGCGCGGATTGATCCATCGTGTCTAACATGCGTGTTCTAATGTAGTCGCCCCAGGTGGTGGGCATGTGAGTACTTTAGTCGGTGCGGCCTTTCTCGGGGAAAGCTCCGTTTGCGGCGCCAGTCGATCGCGCGGTCTTCTCTGCAGTCGCCTTGGGGATCGTGAGGCAGTTGATACCAAGGTAGTCGCAGATGCTGTTGATGACCAGGAGAGCCCAGCGTCCATAAACCACCGCAGCAAACACGAAGTAGAAGCGGAGATACCAGAGCTCGAAGTTCGCCGATACGGGTCCGAAGGTCGTGCCTGGGATCGTGAAGTAAGGATGGTTGACCAGCAAAGCACCTCCGATCATGGGCACCAGCATCACCGTCCAGTATGGGAAGGGCTGACGGGTGAGATGAGCCAGGATAATCTTGGTGGTCATGCGCCCAAAGACCAGAGACATGGTCAAGCAGTATAGAACGAGATGATTATCCTCGAGAAGGTGCGAGTATGGCGATCCAAGCCAGGCCATTGTGCATGTAACGAATACTACAAGGGGCGTCCACTCGTAGATCAATGGCAGGACAGGCAGATTCTTGGCTCGGCGAGCTCGCGCGACATTGACGATACAGGCTGGAAGGTGGGCGACGAAGAACGTGAACAGGATGATCGGTATCCATAGCTCTTTCAGGGTGAGGTCCCCGATTTCTGCCTTGTAGGATGGGAAGTAGTGCGCGAGCGGGGTGGACCAAATCTCGGGGCCAAAGTAGCCTGACATGCAGATAAACGAACATGCCAGTATTAGTCCCTCTGTATAGTGTCAGATATGTCTCTCGGTTTCAGCTGGGGCGAACCTACCAGTTGGGCCATTGAAGTAGCCAAGATACAGCGTGTGCGTGTGGTATGTCTCCCAGGTCGAGAAGAACATGGGAAGCACCGGAACCAGCGCAGTGAACGCGCCAATTTTCGTCGAGCCATATCCAACCGCTGCTGTCTCTAAGAGACTCGCGAGGGTGCAGTTCAGGGAGTCAATGCCGTGGCTATCTCAATCAGTCTCGGGTATGGGCGCTTTGGGCTTCACGTCACGTACTCGAAAAGTTCTCCTAGCGGACTCGATGTCCCCGTGCGACGCGCTTGCTTTCCGTCGACGTTGTCCATGGTGGAGTACCTAGAAGGTCGGTTAGTCCCATCTCCAGGGTGCGCAAAGGGGGTGAACATACATCCACATGCCAAACGCGAAGCTGTAGTACACCCATGAGGGCGCCTGCATCATAATCAGCTTCCTGTTATATCCCAAATGTCTGTCTGGGGTCTACTGACTGGTCCGACCAGATCCGGTATGTAAAGCTCAAGGAGTACGACATTTCCCAGAATGAAGAAGAAGCCTAATAATGTGACGAGATTCGGCGCGATCCATAATGGAAGAAGTTCAACGAAGCCATTCCACTGCGCACGTGTCAGATGAAGCCGTGAATGCGCGCGTTCGGGGGTGAGCGTACGTAGTGCTTAAGGATGTAGCGGGAGATGAAGGATTTATCGACGCTCGAATATTTGTACGATTTTAGATGCTGCAGCGCTTCTTCCGAGACGCACTCATGCGCCGCGGTTTCTACAATTCACCACAAGTCAGCATTTCATCGACGACGTGACGCGCAAACAATCTATCGTACCTTTGCTGGGCGGCATGGTGGGTTGAGTGACAGGAGGTGGGAGAGACATGGGTGCAAGGGGGCTTGATCTAATTTATATGGAAAACGCTCGCGGCCATGTGGGTGAAAACGCGTGCAGGCGGGGTACTCTATCGATCGAGACACAAGAGCCGTCTTCGCGATGGGGAAAAGTTGCAGCCGAACCTGGGGGATCTCGCGGACATCATTCTCAAAAGTCGCGGCTCGTTCGGCTCGGTTGACTGCAGGGCTGCTGCTGACAGCCAGGGTCGTGCTTGAGGAACGTCATTTCGTTGTTTCTTGGCGTCGTTCTTGACACGTGAAGGTATTCCAACTGACTTCACTACTTTTACAAAGTGCAACAATTGTCCATTTCAACGAAAGTTAATCTGATGAGATGGCTAAATTCTATCTGCATTGTCAGTTTCAGGGCAACAAGTCAACGTCATACTGCTGCCGTGTGTCGTGCAGAGGGCTCGCAGCTAGACACTCTCGGTTAGACAGCTCTTTTAACAGGACGAACAGCAGCTCTCCCTCAGCACCTGCCTAAAAATCGGAAGACGATTGGGCGGTGGGAGCAGGAAATTTCTGCCTGTGTCAATTGGGATTCGGCCTAGCCAGATTTGTTCTTGGCGAGATTGGAGCCGATCCTTGCTCCCAACGGGTTGAGTCCAACGATAAAGACAGTATCATAGGTAGCATGGAAGAACAATTGAGCAAAGAAGCCATAGGGCACGGGTATAGTATTACTCCAATATCAAACAACCACAAGTTTACAGCTATTACGGCCACAGATTCTGTGGCTTTACGTCGAATCCAAAATCAATATCCTGGTCCAGAACTGCCAGGAAGTCATTGGTACCATACTCCTTCACCTTCTTCAGGCCATCGAGAGTCCTTTTGGTCTTCTCGCACTTTCCATACCATGCCCGCTCAAAATTTGGTGTTTGCGATAAGTCAGGAAGGATGGCCCACTCAGGTAGGGTAATGGTCTCGTCACCTTTGCGCATATACCACCAGTACCGTCCTCTGCCATCCTCGCCTCTGCGGTACTCGCGTGTCCAGCCCTTGCGAAGAGGAGAGTGCTTCTCCCAACCACATATGAGGCTGCGATGATAGGCGATGGGGTGAATGTACTCGTTGGTATCGCCGAGACTGCGAAGTGGCTCCCATGACCATACATCCTCCTCCTGGTTATAGACCTCGACGTCTTCCCCGCCTGGTCGACGTGAATGTGAACCAACGAAGTGGTATATGCCCCCGAACGAGTCCACGATTGGACCAGTGCCCCAACTGAAGTCGAACTCTGGATGCTTGTGAGGTGGATCGCGTCTCGGCGGGTCCAGCTCGCTGCGCGCAGGATGAATGATTGGGATGATCGGCACCTTTGGAAGATGGGCCTTGATACGATCCCATTTCGTCGGGTGATGGTAGGTACAAGCGAAGCGGATGTGGAAAAGCCAGCGTTTGTACTGTTCTAGGGAATTGTTGAACGCAGATTGGTCGATGGTGAGATGAGGCGAAATGCACTGCAGCATCCATACCAAGGAAGCCTGTGAAATATCTGTAATGTCGTTAGTTAAGTAGAGATGTTTGATGGCGCGTTACTCACTCTCATTGTCGCCTTTCATCTCTGTAAAGCAGTCATCCGAGCCACCGCCAACATTGATGTGAACACCAGGGAACTTCACACAACAGATTAGTTTGGGTGTCGCATACATGGCCGCAGTACATACCCAAACTTGCTTCAGTTCCGGAGTAGGTTTCTTCGGGTCATCTACCAACTCCTTTGGGACGTACCACAGCGTCGGCCGGAAAGGTTTGCGCCGTTCATCGAGTGCGAGTGCTTGATATGCGTGTTCGATGTCTATTCCTAGTGAGCAACATCTCGGAAGAGATGAATGGAGAGGACTCACGTTCAGTGAGTTTCACATTGTGAAATCCATACTTTGTCCTCTTCCACGCCAGATTGATGCCCAACACGTCCGGGACACCCAAGCTTCCGACTGTGTCGAACACTCCAACGACTTTCACGTTCCTACTCTCTGGACTGACTGCAAGCTCGCCGTGCGGTATGATCTCCCACCACTCTGCCAGCTGCTGCGGGTTCTTGTGATTATATGAAACGCCCTGCTTGGACCATTCTTCACCCTGCTTGCTGAGTTTGCCCTCGGTAAACCATTTCCAGCCCTTCGTCTCTCGAAACTCGAGACCCTCGTCGTTGGTCATGTACGTTCGGTAGAGATCGGGGAATGACTGCATGTGAATTGGTTTGATGACGCCAATATCCGAGACTAAGCCCGCGACAGCTCGTGCAGTGTACGCGCCGCGAGAAAAACCGAAGCAGAATATCTCGTCTCCAGGTTCATAGTTCATAACGATGAAGTTGTAAGCTTCGATAACGTTCTCCGCGAGCCCAGCGCCTGTGCCGCCTTGTCGTCTTGCCTCGGATTTACTAAGATCTCCGGTTCCGACTCCGCTGTCATAGTACACGATTTGATGGAATTTCTTCGACGGATCATGCTGGTCAGTTCCTACACGCGCGACGAGTCGACATAGTTTGGTGACATTTGAAGGTACGTTTTGATCAAGACCGACGGAAGATTGCCAGGTGCCGTCGCAACAAATGACCAATCGGCGTCCCCAGGCTTTGTCGGCCATGTCGAAAATTGGGAATTATAGAAGGAATGTGACAGTTTGAAGGATGAGGCACAATTAAGAATTAGGTATTAATATAAGAACGGAGGATGTTTTCGCAAGGAGGCTGAAGGTTGGGGGCGGCCACCGGGGCGAATAATACAGGCAGAGACAATAGACGTAAGCAGAAGCCTGTATAGGCAAATGGCGGTTGATGTTCTCAGCAATGAGGCAGAGCAGTTCTTACCATCTTATGAATGGCAGGCACCTGACGCCGCAGCGCGCAGAAGGAGCAGCTGTGGGCCCACAGCTGCCAATGCGCTGCATTACAATTATCCAGCTGAGACGCCGCCAAGGGACCCGTTCTTGAGAGTTCCGATAAACAGTGCAAGTATGCCACATTCCATTTTGTGGTCGGCGAATGGCCTGTATAAAGGCTGCACAAGGGGCTGGCGCCAGAAGGACGACGTGATGAATGCAGACTAAGTTTCGTAGGTGGCTCCAGGGCTGCGGAAAAGCCGCTAGCGTCATCCTTGGTCGCCCAGTTGGTGGCGCAATTAGGCATCGATTGACAGCCAGCGCGTACAATCCACATTGCTTTGCCCATTCAGCTATGTCGTGGCTGTCGAATGATTTGCTGATGGTGTGGTGGGAACATTGCATGCCGAGTACCGATGTCAGACGCAAAATGTAGGAGTGCGCCGCATGTTGACATTTGACAGCTTATATGCAGTACATTTGCGCAGTATGTAACATTTTCGGCGATATTTGTAGCACAGTAAGGCCTTTGGAATGTCGGCAGACTTTCGCAAAGTATTGTGATCTCGCTCAACACAGAGATGCATCGATTCTTACTTTTTTGTTTCTTTTCTTTACAAAAGTCAAATCATAAGACAAGCTGGTGGCCTCATAATCTGATGTTCCTTGCTGTTCAGAAAAGTCCTCGCGTAGACCGCCGAGCACCAAGCTCTGTTCAGCAAACACAACCCATAACACCAACATTAGAATAAGCTTACTACTCTGCCTAGTAGGACTGCGCAACAACATCAAGGTGTTGCCCATTCCTCAGCAATGAACCCCCAATCCGAGCAGCCGGTTCAACCACAGAAATCCGGCCATACCATATGTGGCATGCGCCACTTCCCGTCAAACAACAAAGAGCTCTTGGAGACATGTGACCTTCTCAGCAACACGATCTTCGGCTAAATCCAGTGCATCTCCTCCTCCAGGGCTCGTGATGACACGAATCTCACTAGGGGCATCTTGATGATAGGCGCGGGCCCGTCGCAGAAAGGAAAGTTTCCTGAACTTGAAAACGCACTGGTTGAGCCAGGGATGGAGGAACAGTACTACGAGATTCGAAAATGGTAAGAAATCAAAGCCGAATGAGCACCACACGTGTGTACCAGAGATCACCATAGCTCCAGAGACTGTATTTTGGTCAACGCCGAGAAGCACAGGTGGCTAAGGTTGCTTGCATGCACCACTGTCAAACTGTGAGTCACTACATCAGAAGATCTACTAGAGTTCGACAATGTAATGTTCACAAAGTGGATTAGCGGAAACCTCTCAAAGCGAAGCCTTTCGGATCTGAACTGATGCGTCTAAGAAAACATGTCGACCGCAGAAAGCGTGAGATCACGTCGACATGCTTGCTCATCTACATAGCAGAGAGAATCGTTTAGACTACCCGTAGTCAGCCTTTTGAAGCTAACAGGGAGGTGACCCTGACTGCCATAGAAAAATAGACTCAGTCACCGAGTATCTCGTTGTATTCTCTTCTGTATGCAGCGGACGTTACTACAATGTATCCGACTCAGTCAAGCAAAAGCCTCATCACCACACTCGAAATGACGCAATCCTCCAACGCCATCAAGCAACGCCCAAAAGAAAACCTGCCAAACTCGGCATACCTTCACCACCCGCCTAACCTTCACCGCCTCCACTTTCTAGCATTACCCCATATGGCAAGTCCCCCTCCACCATTGAAAACAGGCGTCTTTCTTCTCCTCACCTTGGCTTCCAGAAAAAGAAACCATGTCAACAAGTTCGGGCCCGTTTGCCATAAATGCGACATCATGACTCTTTTCTTTGTGCAAGCACGTCAAACCTTCTCCTCACCGCGCTGCGGACCGTAGCGAGGGCAACGCCTAGATTGCGGACCTGAGGACTTATCCAACCTACCCCATCGAGAAGGCGTGGAAAACAGGCGTCGGACTTCTCCTCACTTGCTATCACCGTTAGCAGCCATAATCGACTCGATTTCTCCGCTTTTGACGAGATAACGTCGACGTCTGGCGCACGCCATGTGAGACCCCTCATAACTTTACATCTAGATAAAACTAGCGCGACGGGGTAGCGTCTCCGCACTTTTCGTATCGAGCACACCATGTAAATCCCTCCGAGGATCAAACCAGAAACTCGGAGGATTTTTCTTTTTCAAACCATAAAGATCCCTCCCTCCTCTTGCCCGAAAACAGCAACTGTTGAAAACAGGCGCGTTTCGTCTCCTCACGTTAGCTTCTGACCATGTCAGTACTCCGCACGCAATGACAGATAGGGTTGTAAGATTGGTATGGCGGTGCATCTTTACTCCCCACACATTCTCGCCTAGTAAAAGTGGGGGGAAAAGAGGAGGTGGGAGAGGAGAGAGGGGTTGTCAGATAAATTCTCCGCCCTCGGTAATTGTGGCGTAACAAGTACCATCTCCTCACAGTACATTTGAGTTTGGCGGAACAATTGGCACGGCAGCAATCGCTTGCTATGACCAAGGCAGAGACGATGCTTGGTCGAGTACGTAGACGGATCTCATGTAGTAGATGTCTTCGCCAGCCCTCCGGTTTCTCAATCATAGCTCGACTTGATTATGTCTTGTTTTCGCCTCCCAACAAGCCGAAAGCAGCAGGTATAGATAATAGGCGCATAGCTTGGTATATTGCTTGATTGTGTTGGGATCGAATGGGAAGGGCGCCTGGCGGTAGGGTGCGCTTGAGTAAAAATGACGTAAATGAAGGGGATCTGTACGCCAGCACCTTCATTTACATGTGCGCATAGATTTCAATATGATAGTTGTGCACGGAAGTGAATGTGTACAAATGCGTATATCATGATTGCTTAGTAAACGCCTCTTAATGCCTCTACGCGTAAATGCCCAAATACCCAAACACCACAGCTATGCATGCATGCAAGCAGCAATTCCATCGAACTCAAAGCTCATCTTGTCTCGGGATGCGAATCTCCCAACTCCTCGGTCCGGGAACCAAGCCCAACCACCAATTGTACAAACGGCCGACTTCAAGAATGAAGATCTTCGAGCTGCGAGATTATTAGTAATCTGTCCAAACTTTTCACGAGCAATGTTTTGACCTACAGTCTGCTAGGAAGCTGCGTCCACTGGAACAGCACGTACATGAAAGCACGCTTGACCAGATCGAATTCAGCCATGACTTCTTGCCACATAGTCATGTTGGAGGCATCCCAGTCGCGTCTAAAGTCAGGCACTTCTTCTTCTGGTAGGCCGTCATGGTCTAAATCTTCGAGAGCGAGCTTCGCCTTGAGTACCTCTTTTGAGGGCTCGGGGACAGGAGGTGCGATGGAACCAGAATGGCCTTCACGCTCATCCATCATGCGACGGAAGTCCTTGATGGCCGACAGCGAGTGTGATAGACGGTCCATTGTGTTGACAAGGGCGACGAGCTCGGTGCGGCGAAGAGGTGGGTCTTTTGAAGAATCGTTCTCGTCGAATTCGAAGAGCACCTTCAGTGCTGTCCCGTAGCCGTTGGTTTGCACTTTGCCCCAGAGTCTGCACTTGTCGCAACCCACGCAGTCCATGATTCTGCTCACGTTCCTGAAGCGTTGGCGGAAGTCTTCCTTGAGCGCGATCGTGTCAGGATCCTGAAACATGACAGTTTCATCGAAGATCTCGGGTCCCGACGGCAAGGCGGAGGCGAGACGCAACACAGAGTTCTTCGTGCGCGCGTCTTGCTCGGGATCCTCAGAGCAGAACGAGTAGTCCGAGATGTGCTGCCTGATCTTTCCTACTGCGCGCATGATGAGCGCATAGTTGAAGTAGATGTTCGAGATACGTTCAGGGTGGTTGTGAAGTCGCTCCTCGTAGCAGGTTAGGTTGGGGCCCCACTGTCCGGTGGTCTGGTTCAAGTAATCGTAGCACAGATGAGTCGAGATGGACGCGTGCATACCCGATATTACTCGGTGAAAGACACGCTTCTCCAGACATGTGTCATCGAACTCGACGGGATCCAGTCGCGCGACAGCAGTGCCATGCGCAATCGCTGATTGCACCTTTTGCTGAACGGCCTGTTCCTTCATGACATTGCGCAGCTGGTTCGCTGCAACCATCTGTTGCTGGTTGCCAAACGAACCAAACGGCGAAGATGATCCTGTGGGCGCCGATTGTCCACTGCCCTTCGCGATCTTTGGCGGCTTGCTGAAACAATTCTCGCGGTATATGGCTTCCCAAACCTGCTGAGCGCCGACTCCAGCGTATCCAGTGAAGCGCTCTGGGTTGTCCACCAGCGAGACATAGTCTCCCTTTGCTGTCGCCGATTCGTCTTCTGGTATGCAGTAGTCGCGGTCGTCGCATTCGTCGTCGTATTCCACCACGCAGCTCTCGTCGACATTCTCGCCCAGACTTCCGTGTAGCGGCCTCTTCCTTTCCTCTCTCTGTTGCTTCTTCCCTGGATGTTGTGCTGTTGGGCCTTCCAGCTTTCCCAGCTCCTTCGCGCGCCACACCAGGGGTATATCCTCCTCGTTCTCCAGTGTGTTCACCGCGCACGCCACATTTCCACACATGCCATTCTCGTCATCCCAGAACGGGCATTTCTTGCTGAATAAGCTTAATCTGTAGTGCGAGAAGAAGTCGGTGTTTTGCGTAATCGAGTGGAGGTAGGGGTGTATGGCTTCGTTCAGTTGTTCGAGTGTGCTGTAGCTAGCGCATGCATCTGATACTATCGCACCAGGTTCCAGCTGGTATGTGGTCTTAGTATCCTGGCTTTGGGATTGTGTTGGCGAACGCGGCGATTTATTGCTTACACTGCAGACGTTTGACGGCGGACTCTTCGCATTCGAAGGCGCAACATTACCGGCAGCATGCGAGCTACCCAGCAGCGAGAAGACTGCTAGGTAGAACACGTGCGCTGCGGTACGCATATTGTGCTAGTACTCGTATCTGCAAGTAGTCCTCGGGTCAGCAAACGTCTGCGGCGAGCGTCTTCAAAGGCGCAAAGCGTGCCACTTACAGCTGCAATTGCCTTTACTATATAAAGGTCTCGGCAGGTTGTCCGCCGGCTCTCGGTGTGGGGTATGCAAAGAGGCCAGAGTGTGAGCTCAGTCGGTATAATGTCAGAGACCCTGGCTGTGGCGGTGATCGTTGTCTGAAAGCGGAAGTCCAGACGGAAATAAATGAAAGGCAAGCGACCACACGGGATGGAACAGGGCAGGATTATATTGGCGTGTGGTGAAGGCCTAGAGAGCGGATATGGTCAGATATATTAAAAGCGGTCGGCGACCGGAAGTGTAATCACACGTTCGTCGGGCCATCACCAAGTCGCAATGTGTCCAGTGCCAAGTGTGGCGTATCAGAGAAGGAGCCGCCTTCCAACTGACGCTAGTCTATCGATAGGGCTGACCATGTTTCACGCAGCGGTGCATCCGGGCAGGCAGACGACACCGGACAATTCTTGCTCGAATCATTCAAGCATCTGGACAATTTTGCAACATGACTGAAGCCACAAAACCAACTGGGTCTTGGTCCGATGCCTTCCCCGCGCCTCGTACCACCGCACCCATCATAACACGCGAGGACGCCGTGTCAGCCCTGTCATCTCCCGATCTGCTAGTCGTGGATGTGCGACGCACCGACTACGAGGGTGGTACCATCAAGGGGAGTATCAATTTGCCTGCGCACTCATTCTACATGAATCGTGCGGTGCTGTTCGATCTATGCAAGAGAGCGGGCGTGAAGAAAGTTGCCTTCTACTGTGGTAAGTTTTCGTATTGGTACTATTGAGGTAGTCTTTGTGGCGTGCAAATCTCGTGATCGCTCACATCATACCACCTGAATGGTGGAGAGGACACATAACCCATGGAGCACTCAGTAATCTGACTTGCATCAGGCTCATCAAATGGCAGAGGCCCACGTTGTTCCGGATGGTTTGCAGATTACATCGTAGACCAGGGGGACACCGACATAGAGTCTCTGACCCTCGGGGGTGGCATAAAAGACTGGGTCAAAGCCGGTGAACCGTACATACAGCATATGGAAGGCTTTGATGCAGAGTATTGGAAGCAGTTTGAGTAATGTCAAGTTATGAAATCCTCATGATGATTGTGGAACGTTGTTGTATATCTTGTGTTGTGGCTAACGCGATCATACAAAGCATTTGATCAGCTTTGAGAATATCTTAGGGCAGACAGATCACTCATCGTCGTCATCGTCATGGATCACCCTTCGCGCTCTCTGCCGATGAACAATAGGCGCATTTTCCTCGTCTTCTGAAGCAGAATCTACCACAAACGCCATACTCTTACTTGCACCAGCATTCTTCTTGACAAGTGGCGCATCGTCGTCGCTATCGCTGCTCACGACAGCATCATTGTCAGTCACATCGCTTGTGAAGATCTTGTCTGCCTTTGGCGCCCTCTTAGGCTGAGCAGCTTTGACTACAGCTTGTGTGCCTCTTCCAAGACCAGCCAGATCAAGGCTGGGGAGACTGGATGGCGGGACATCATCATCATCATCCTCGTCTTCCACAATGAAGCTGGCAAGTTCCGAGTCCAGCTTGTATGCTTGTGTATCCTGTACCTCGTCGTCACCTAAAGTGTCGTCAGAACCGATCGTATCTGCCTGCGAGGCAAGGCGGAAGCGTGGATCAGTTGGCGGCGGCGATGATGATCCGCCTTCTTGTGCGAGCCCGGAGACCCGCCAGTTTGGCGTCTTTGGCGTTTTCGTGTGCGGTGTCTGGCTCGTGGCTTTGGACAGACGTATGGGGGTTTCCACAGGAGCCGCGCTTTTCCGGGGGCGACCTCGAGGTGCTGCTGGTGTTTTGGGTGCGCTTTTGGGTGCGCTTTCAGGTACGCCTTTAGCTTTAGGCTTCGGACCTGGCTTTGCTTTTGCTTTCGCTTTAGGCTTTGGTAGTGTCAGAGACCCGGCATCATCGTCACCATCATCACTGGCCCACATGTCCTCATGTATAATGGGCCTTGACTCGGTATCTGAGACGAGTAGGTCGTGTTCAGCATCAGGTTCACAATCCGACAGATGCAGATTTTGTTGGAACAACTCAAGCCGCTCACTGTCCATCTTGTTTATTCGCTGCATGGTGCCGACATACGCACGAGCTCCACGTCCTGATGCAGGTAATATCTGGGGTCGAGAAAGTATCCGTTGACGCTCTGGGTGGCGACTGTAGTCCAAGCCATTAACCATTGGGGATTCGTCATCATCGAAGACCGTTTGAAAGCGACGCTCCAGATCCTTTGCAGCGTCATCATCTAGCAGCACCAACTGGAGTGGTGGTATTGTGAAGATCTCTTCGCTGGGGTAAGTCAGTGCAACGACCTTTTTTTTGCGACCTTTGGGCGCGATTTCCTCATCCATACGTCCCGCCGTAACAAAGCCGGTCAAGACACCATCAGGCATGTGGAACACCTTTGGAGGCTTCTTCAGTCGACGACCTTTCTTAGGTTCTGGCAACCAATCCTGTTGAGAGTTTTCTCGTGGTATCTCAACGACCCGACGGTCGACCGCCGGTTTGACGTCCGGTGGCAATATCCTTCTCGAGATCTCATCGTGGAAGGTAAAATGGGTACCTTTCGCGATCAGTTCTTGCATCTTTTCGTAGCTATCTTTGGCTTTGTTTGCATCATTCTCCTCTTTCCCTTGCATCTGAAGCATGACAATCTTTCCTTGACGCTTTCTTCCAGTTCGTCCCATACGTTGCAACATGCGGATAGGCGAGGCTTTTGAATCGTAACAAATGATGAGGTCGACCTCACCAATATCGAGACCCTCTTCACCGATAGATGTCGCGATGAGAGTGTTGAAAGTGCCTTGTTTGAACTGCTCGATGGCTTCCAGCTGTTCCTTTTGACTCATTCCCTCCGAGTTCTTGCCGGTCGACTGCCCCACGAACACGCGAGGCCGGATCATTGGCTCATGCCTCTTGAGAATGCGGCTGATTTCTTCGGCACTGTCACGGAAGTGAGCAAAGACCATGATCCTGGTCTGCGAGGGTGGCGCGCCTTCGACATTATCGCCGTTGCCAGCGTTGACGAAATGATCCAGAATAACCTGCTGCAAGAACTCTAGCTTAGGATGGCCAACGAAGTTATCGTCCGTAACCCAACCTTGCAGGCGCACCATGAGCTTTTGGAAAGACTCGCTGTCGAGAATCTGCTTCCTGTACTTGGACTTGCTCTTATCGCTCTCCTTTTTGAACTCCTTTAGCTTCACGTAAAAGGGACCCATGCCGTGATACTTCAAAAGGTCCATTGCTTGTGAGATCGAGGCAAGAATTGTGAAGACAGCATTGACCATGGACTTTACTCCTTGGTTTGCATGACGACCAGCCTCTGAAATCCACTTATTTCGTGCTTGTTGACATCCATATGGCGTCAAGTCACAAGGGTTCTTGCTCCAGTATGCGTTGAGTCCGTTGACCGTGTTGACCAGTGGTTGGAGTGCGTGGCTATAAAGTTCCATGCACATTTCCATCTCGTCGCTGTTTTGAAAAACGTGTTTTTCGATACTTCGTGAATGCACGTAGCTGCAAATGTCCATGGAATTTTCCGTGCGAATTTCGACTCTGGAGATGTCCAGTCCATCAATAACCTTCTGAACTGACTCCACGTTCGCACCCGGGGTGGCCGTCAGTGCTAGAACACGAAAGCTCTGATTGAAGCGTCGCAAGAAGCTGACCACTTCTACGTATGCGTATGCCCCTGTGGCACGATGTGCCTCGTCCACCACGAGCAACACTAGCTTCTTTGGGTCCGCGTACCCGTGTTTCAGATCATTCAGCAAGGTCTGGGGTGTCATGAAGAACACACGCTTGCTCTTCCATTCCTCTGACCGTAGCGCGGGAGATACGCCTCCGGTCAACATGGTAGTCTGTGATCGCGGGATGCCAGCGATATGGAAGCAGGCGTCGATCTGTTGAGCGACAAGTGGCTTGGTAGGAGCGACGAACACTATCTGTGAATCCTTTGTCCAGCGATACCAGTTGAGCATGATGGTTGCCGCAATGAATGTCTTGCCGAGACCAGTTGGGAGCGCCACAAGTAGGTTGTTGAACAAACCTCTCTGTACGATATTGAACTGATAATCACGAATCGTACCCAGATTAGTTGGGTAGACCCAAGTCTTGATTGCCTCAGTGTCTAGCGCGTGGTGCGTAGGAGGTTCTGCCTTCTGGTCGGCAATGAAATTGTATCGTTTGTTCACTTGCGAAAGAGGCACATCACCATTGACACCCTGCCGACCGAACAGAGTTGTTTGACGCAAGCCTGTCTGGGGAGCCACTACGCGCTTGCGGGAGTCCTGCACACTCGTGCCCCCATCCTGCTTTTGCGGCGAAGATGACGAGGATGCAAATGCATCAGAAGGCAGGTCGGCTAAGTCTTGAGTGAAGTCATAGGCAGTCGCATTGTTAGTGGTTGGCAGCCTGGGGGAATCGTGGATTTCTATGGGTGATCCCGAATTGTCGGGAGATGGTGGTGCTTGTGGTTTCGGTCTGGATGAAACTGACTGTCTTCCGGGCAAAGACATGGTCTTCATTGCATCCAGGCCCGCCCACTTCGTCGGCGCTGAAGGTGCGTGCACTCCTATAGACGTCTTTTGCTTCGCCCATATTGCCCCTCGAGGCTTCCAGGGTGGTGAGTGCTCTTGCGGCGGCTGCGTGAAGAACAACTCTTTCATGTCCAGGTTGGTGGTGGGAACATGGATGCGTTCCTTCCTCTTCTGGGCAACGGTGAGTCTCGTCGGCGACGCATCGTCCCTTTGCGCATCATCGTCACCATGCTGATCGAAAGTAGCTTTCTTGCTACGTGACCTGCCGCCAGTGCACGTGCTGCCGGGGTCAGAGACCGTGTCATCGCTCAATCCATCAGCTTCATCGTCTTCAGATGACACGAACGCTCGTCGTCGAACACCCTGTGGCTTCTTTCGCGGAATGGATGCCGTCCTCTCATTTGCTGTGCTAAGCTTTCGCCGCTTGGTTGGCCGTGGCGACGCTTGGAATGCAGGAGTGTTTTCCTTTTCCGCCTGCGTCGCAACAGTGATGAATTCGGTGTCGTCAAACTCATCGCCATAGTCATCGCTGTCCGACATGGCGATGGCTGCTGGTGGTGCAGCTGTTTATAGTGGCGTTCAGTAATGAGGTGAAGGTCGACGCGTCTCGCTAGGCTACCGGTAGCGCGTTTCGACGGAGATCTTTTGGGGAGGCGACCGGCCAGCACGTCCCTTCCGCGATTAAGGTTCACCCGGTAATGGATGCGCATAAGGCCGACGCAGATTGAGCCTCTATTCGCCGAAGCCCCTAAGGGATGGAAAGTTCAATAAAAGGCCTTCCCCAGCTTCTTGCTTGCACACTACGCCAGACTTCACACACACTCGCTTTTGTCTCTTCAACCCTTAATTCTGCCACTCGTTTAACAGAATCTGTATCTATTTAATCTATATACCCACTTCTTAACGCACCGTGCCGTCCCGCATAACACCAACCCTACCATCACAATGAAGTACACCACTGCCATCCTTGCCCTCGTTGCAGGCGCCTTTGCTGTGCCGCAAGCCTCGATCACCTCCGCCCCTGGAGCGCCCATTCCTTCCGGTCTTTCGCCTGCAGTCAGCTGCGCCTTGAACTGCGAGGCTGGAGATGTCATGTGCCAGGCTGCTTGCTTGGGCAACGCCCGTCCCAACGCATCCCAGGTCATCGACACCAACAACTGCGCTGCAAAGTGCGACCAGGGCGACGGCTCTGCGGCTGCTGCCACTGCCTACGCCAAGTGCGTTGATGGCTGCATCAACAGTCTTTTCCCCAGCAGCCAGACCCAGTTCGCCCCTGGTGCCGCCGCTCCTGCAGCGTCTCAAGCTTCCTCTGTCAAGGCTGGTGCCTCAGCGGCCACTGGCTCAGCCAACCCTACTGGCCCCGCTGGTGAGTCCAAACAAATAGAGCCGACACCCTTGAATACCTGCATTCTAACACAGCATAGCTACCGGATCCGTTTCTGGATCTGGCGCCGCCCCCGCGTCTACCGGTGCAGCTGACGTGAACTCGGCTCGTTTTGCTGGTCTCGGTTTCGCCGGCCTCCTTGCTGTCTTCGCTTTGTAAATGTCGATATTTGCTCATGCTTAAACTCGTTCTGCTATTCGACGATTAGTACACGCTGATCGCGCGTTCAAACGTGAAACGAACATGGATGTTGGTCATGTGGTTAGCGGGTGGAATCAGTGGGGCGCGTATGCGGCCTGATGGCGGGGAGAAGTGCTCCGAGAGGGTAGGCAGTTGTTGTGGAGAGTTAATTAGCTTCAACTTATTGTACTCTTCTTGAAAGTCTCCCGAATGATGTGCATGCATGTGTTCTCTGCGGTCCTAGGTTGCTTGCGCAATGTCTGCGCGAGTCGTACCAATGCTGACTATGTCGCTACATTGCTCGTGCGTATGCGACTTGCCGCTCACTATGGCCGACCCCAGTAATCTCGGAATTTGACAGACGCTGTTGCGAAATCCCTTCGCCTGTCCGAAAATGTCCTTGGTTGAGCACAAAGACAACTGTGACGCGAAATGATTGGGCCTTTTCGCTTCACGTAAGCATAGCCAAACGTTGTCCAGCGCATCCTGGTGTTACGAAGCATATTACTTAAGGTTGAGCCAATGACATTCTTTGACCCCGGGAAAGCGCAGATCCACAACAGAGCTTTCGCCATCAAGCACACCCAAACATAGATTCGTGTGCCTTTGGTGGATCAGGCACACCTATATACGTTTTGAAGTCAGATATTGGGGTGAAGCTGATACGATGCAGAAACTCAAAGACTGTTTTCTGCAGCTACCATATGCGTGTTTACATGCGACGTAAGCCTTCGACCTCTGATCTCACGATCTGACAGTACGCTACGAACAGACAGGAAGGTCTCTGACCTGGTGCGCGCGGAACTTAAACTCGATGCACTCGCAGTCCGGGCTGCACTCTCCTTCTCGGTGGTGAGAGAGCAAATGCGAGACTGCCAGCTTTGTCGTCACCACAACATCGATATTGTCACCGTGCCCATGAGATGTGCTGTGTCGAATTAGACATGATGCGCAGAATTGGATCCCAAACTGTGGACTGGGTCCTTGGGGCGTCAAGGCAGAGTCCGAACGGTCTCACAGTAGCGGCAGTGTCTTTTGAACTTTGTCGGCCGCCGCTCAGATCTAGCCAAGGATACGTGATGATGCGGAAGTCGAACGGCACCTATGGCGCACAGGGGCAGCTGACCTCAGTCGCGCTGGCACGTAGGCAACTTTTGAAATACATCTTGGCTGTGATGACATAATGGTGGGTGCCAGAGAGCTGCAAAGATTGTCTCGTTCGAATCCAACCGTCGGTGCGGCCCCGGAGCGCTCGGCGCGAGCGCGACATGAGTCGGCAGTGGGCATGATCTGAAGACGCTCTTCGGACATCAGACAGAACATCGAGTGTTCGCCTTTATAGGCTTTTGATGGCAGTGCACAGCTCATCCCACCACTGAAGGATGCTAGAGAACAACATTATGCAAGCTGCGCCTTGCTTCGAAACGCATCTGGCGGCGCATGTTCACAGCCTTTCGCATCAGGTGAAATTGTACATCGCATTTCCCTTTGTCGTGGAAGATTGAGATACGACGCATATTATCCCGAGTTTTGGACTGGTGGTTGCGATCCCAGCCTGTCGCCGTTGTCCATGGCTGATGTTGTCACGCAGTAGTTGAGACGATGACGGGAATGGAACCCACTAAAAGTTGGCGTTGCATGCACCCCCTGCGACCGATCATGAAGCGAGTAACGGCAGAGATGTTATCCGCCAAGAGACCGAGTGTTGGTCCTAGCGAATAAGGTACATTCTGGATATGGCTTATTATCCGTCTGGAGGGGCGTACGAAGGCCGGCCGCAGACGAGAGAGAAATGCAAAATGAACCTGCTAGTGTCCTTGTGCGCTATAGTGGGCTTGCAAGGTCCGGCGGCCTTGCGCGTGCGATACCCTTTCACAAGAGGTGTCACCGTGATGACTGATGGATGAGACAGCTGGCTTTGAGCCTGGCGAGAATTGCTCGACAAAGCAGCCTGAGACCAAGCTGATGTGGCCGGAGTAGTTGGATGCAGTGCGGCATCAGGCCCGAAAAGCGCGCGCGAGTTGAACAATTGACTCCAAACCCAGTGGTATCTTCTTGTACGAAGATTGGTGCCCACCAGAGATGGGTGCTGCGCCCGTGATGCTCGGGGTGATGATGATCGCGGCCATCTTCTCTGTCAGTCGACGTTGCCGCGAGGAAGCCGCCACGACACTAATACAGTTTAGCCCGCGCTCACGTCCTGGACATGATCCCGAGTACATCGCCTCCTTCGACTCTTGTCGCTAGCCCACGCAACCCATCCAGCACCGCCTGTAGGCCATCGTCAAATACGGCAGGTCGAGTCGCAGTGCCATCGGCACGATACTAGATTTTTGTAGAAGACTTGCATGCAGTAGTGCTGAACCAGAATTACTCGGTCGCGTCCTCCCCTTAGCCAAATCATTCGTAAGATAGAGTATCGGCTAGAAACTCAAATGAAGATGATGGGCACAAACTATGTGCAATGGCTATGTTGCCTAGTGGCGTCAGAATGGTATGCAAGTGCTCTGAGCAAAAAGGGTGCGAGGCGACAACGTGAACACGAAACATCATCACGGGGTCGCAACCATCAATTTGGAGAGGCCAAACCCCAGTGTCATCAGCCATGACCGATAGCATCAAAACGAGCGTCCAGCAGCGTGGGTATGCGGACATTGCCGCGAGGTGCAGTCTGGGATGTGCTGATGGGTGCGATTGAGATATGCAAAAGTGGTTAGATGGCTCCCGTTACCTATTAAAATCTTGGCGAGACGACCCTAGGCTACGCGATCCATGGATGCCGCCCTCTCTCGTTTTGGTTTCCTTCTGCCACTCACTTCCATTCTCCATTGATTCTTCTTACACGACACGCCTGCCAGTGTGTCTGGTCTCGACTGCCAGGTCTGACATCATTTGCACCGAATCCAGCGCCCTATCGCTTCCAACTGACCCTTTTCTTGTGGTTCCTTCAACATTGATGGTTTATGCGCCATCGGGCTTCTCCATGCTACGTTGATATACCTCTCTGAACTGCGTTTCTCAACCACAGCCTTGGTCACGCGAGCCCGAGTTCCCACGGGGTTTTCGCCGTCCTTTGGTTCGTCCACTGGGGCGCCACTGCTTTCAGCAGAAGCAGTCTGCCACGATGGATCACCCAAGGAACGGCGATGGTGAGGAGGCCCATTCTGAAGATCAGTCTCTCGCAGATTCGACGCGCAACCAGAACGACGCGCAGCAGAGCGCAGCCAACGGTATCAGCGACGCTGATGAATCTGCGCCTTCAAAACAAGCAAGAAAAGATTCATCAACTCGAAATTCTTCTCCTGGAGCAATATCTACTGATCATCGCAACTCTGCGCAAGACTCAAATGACGCGTCTGCCGCCATGGATTCATTACAGGAGTCACGGGATGCATCTAATGAGGCGCAAAATCCAGCGCAGGCCTCACCCAAGGATTCCGATGAGAATGGCGCTGTGCCTTACGGTACGCGGTCGCGCAACCGTCCCGGCAGGTCGCGGCCAAATTATGCTGAAGACACCGAAATGGATTTCGAGATGACGGCCGCTGCCACCAACGGTAACGGCTCCGATCCGCCATCGCGTAGTTCTGTGGCCGCCGATGGTGGTCAGTCTGGAGGTGTGGGTGGGAAGAAAGGTTCCGTCTCTGCACCAAGCAATGCGTCGTGGGGTAATTCCGGATCCAACTCAAAAGACACTGCAGCGAACCCCAATACTTCCGGCGCATCAGCGGTCGCAGCAACAACCCAACCCAGCACCGCGCAGGCTCCAGTCAAACGCCGAAAAAATGCATCGACCACCAATGGCAATCATCAAAGTGCGGCTGCGCCAAGCCAAACAGGAGGGAAGCGCGGAAGCCATGTCATAGCGGCCGCCAGCAGCGCAAGGGAATCCAACATGCTGACATTTGAAAACACCGGTGCAATTCTCAAGGACGGCCACATGGAGGCGGACGATGGCCAGACTGTGTCCGTGAATGGTAAGTTCTGATTTGTTTTCCTTGCAGCTGAAGGTCATTACGTTGCGCCAGCCACGTCGTGCGGCTTTGTCTGCGGAATCTAATTGGGCGTCTAGACCAAGTGTACCTTGTGTGCGAGCCGCCAGGCGAGCCTTACTACCTTTGCCGGGTCATGGAATTTATCCACGTCAACAACGATCCGAAGCAGCGCGTCGAGTCTCTACGAGTCAACTGGTTTTACCGTCCGCGAGATGTTCAGCGCTACAACAATGATTCTCGCTTGGTGTACGCCACCATGCACTCGGACCTGTGCCCCATCACATCGCTCCGAGGCAAATGCCAGATCTTGCATCGAAGTGAGATCGGCGATCTTGATGAATATCGCAAAATGAAGGACAGTTTCTGGTTTAACCAGGTGTTTGATCGCTTTATTCATCGCTGGTACGATGTCATCCCCACGTCGCAGGTCATCAACGTACCCGAAAAGGTCAAGAAGGCCTTGGACGAGCGATGGAAGTACATTTGTTTGGAGACAAGCCGGGTGAAGGAGTTGACCAGTGCTGTCAAGAGCTGCAAGCGCTGTGTTGGCTTTTGTGCATCGTAAGTCCAACATCACGTGTCCTATCTACTCTCTTCTATGCTAAACACATCTACAGTAACGATTCAGTCGAGTGCGCCGTATGTCGCAACACATACCACATGAATTGCGTCCGTCCACCGCTGCTGAAGAAACCGTCGCGCGGTTTCGCATGGGCATGTGGTCCGTGCAGCAGAGCCCAAGAGAAGAAGCTTGAGGCCCGCCGAACTCCGCTTTTGGGCGCTGGGGGTGAGGAACTTGATGAAGAAGAGCCACTCGACGAGGAAGAAGAGGATGCTGGAGGCGATACTACTGCCAACACTCCTGATCCCGAGGGCAATGCTGACTCTCACCCGGGAACACAGGCCGAGATAGCATTGGCGAAGATGTGGCCAATGCGATATTTAGGCATACACGCCCGGGTTGAAGATGCGCTGCAGTACGACGATCGAGCGATCTACCCCCGTGCTAGTTCGCGTCTGGGACCTCGACATCAAGCAAACGTCAATGTATGGCATGGACACCCTGTAGAGCTGGTCAAACCTGCCGAAATTAAGAAACGCTACGTCAAGGCGGCGGGGAACAAAAAGGAAGGTAAACTGTCCAAGGAGACGGTCGCTGCAATCGAAGCAGACAAGGCCGAGAAGGCAAAGCGCCCTAAATGGGTAATGGACGAGCCTCCAGGATACGTACGCCGCGGCGAAGACTACCCTAACAAAGACTCCAAATGTACTGCTGAGCTGATATTCAAGATGCCTCCTTTGGGTGTGCATTCAACCCGTGGCGAGGATAATGCGCCAACGGTGAATGAAGAACAGGTCAAGGCCTACATGGACCGAGCCCGGGCATTGGCGAAGCACGTTGGAGTCGAGCCCTATCATACGAATTTCCTAGACAAGTGCTTGTCACTCTTCACGAAACACCAGTACGATGCAGATGTGGCTCTAAAACACGTCAAAAAGATCGACAAGCGAAAAGATCTGAAGGAACCTGAGCTGAGCAAAGAGGAAGAAAAGAAATGGAACGAAGGCGTTTCCAAATATGGTTCCGAGATCCGAAGCGTCCGTCTTCATACCAGCAAAACAATGTTCTATGGGGATGCTGTGCGATACTACTACATGTGGAAAAAGACGCCCAAGGGTAGAGAGATTTGGGGTGCCTATAGTAACCGCAAAGGCCGGAGTAAGAGGGTAGAGCCCGACGCTCAGACCCGATTATTAGATGACGTTGCAGATAATCAGGATGATTCTGCATTCGACAACGACAAGGCCATACAGCGAAAGCGCAACTTCCAGTGCAAGTGTTGCAACGTCCGGCACTCTCGGCAATGGAGGCGAGCCCCTGGTGTCTCTCCTGGCCAAATGCTCCCCCCGGATGGTCGTTCCAAGGACAAGAGCGGCTTCCTCATTGCGCTTTGCATACGTTGCGCTAATTTATGGCGCAAATATGCGGTGAAATGGGAAAACGTCGACGAGATTGCAAAGAAAGTCGCACAAGGTGGAGGTAAAGCTTGGAAGAGGAGGATTGACGAGGAGTTACTACGAGAGGTATACGCCGCGCAGACCGATCCTAGCTCCAAGGGCGTTACTCCAGAATATGTCGACCTTCCTGCTGCTACCGTACAATCCGTCAATGAACCGCCTAAGAAGAAGCAAAAGACTGCTATCATGGCAAATGGAGACAGTGGAACATCGACCCCAGTCAATGAGCCTGTGCCGAAGAAGAAAGAAAAAGAAAAGCCCCCGCCGGTACCCAAGGCACCCACTCCTCCTCCTGTGCCTGCTCCGCCACGGTTGAAAGAATTGTCTTGCGCCGTGTGTCGCTCAGTAGACGGTGCTCGTGTTGAATGTGCTGCTTGTCGCCTGACAGTTCACAAGTCTTGTTACGGAGTTGACGATCCTCGCCAAGCCAACAAATGGTACTGTGATACTTGTAGGAACGACAAGAAGGAAAGCGTTTCTTATGTAAGTATCAAGTATTTCCAGATCCGCGCATTAACTGACCACCGCCAGACCTACGAGTGCGTACTTTGTCCTCACAGAGAAACCGAACACGAGTTCTACGAGCAGCCCAAGGTGACGCACAAGAAGAAGACCGATAGGGATCGGGAGAAAGAACGTCTGGAGAAAGAATTAATCGACAGAGCGAAGGAAGAGTATCGCCAACGGCAGCAAGAAAAGGGGCGGCCACTTATGCCCCGCGAACCACTCAAACGTACAGCTGACAACAACTGGGTACATGTTTACTGCGCGCTTTGGCATCCGGAGATCAGGTTCAGCAATGCGGCACGATTCGACATGGTGGAAGGGATCGGAGCGCCAACACTGCGTTATGATGCTGTGTGTAAGCTGTGCAAGACCACAAACGGCGCTTGCGCATCTTGCCTACATTGTCATGCAACATTCCACGTCGGCTGCGCGCACGGCCAAGGCTACGTTTTCGGATTCGATATGACACCCGTCAAGGCCTCGCGGAGAGACGCTGTGCCTACGGTCACGCTGAACGGAGATACAGGCTCCATGGCTGCGGCTATTTGGTGCAAAGAGCACGCGCCCAAAGTTCAGCCTCATCCCATGAACGAACAACTCGAAGGGACCGATATGATTGCTTTGCAACTCTTTGCAAGAGAGTTCAAGCAGGCAGACTTGACACTTACAGGAACTGCACGCAAGGCCAATCTCGTCGACCAATCCACCCGAATCGTTCCCCAGGCTGTGCCGACTCAGACTAATCGAAGGGCTTCTGCTATCACAGCGCAAACACCAACTTCCGCAAGGGGCAGGCAATCCAACGCTGGGCTACCTGTGAAGGAGGAGTCTAGGGAGTCGTCAGTACCGAAGTCCGAACGCAAATGTGTTCGTTGCAAGATCGAGGCAAGTCCCCGATGGTGGGAGACGGATGATCAGGCGCCAGTCGCACAATCTGGTGTTTGTTTGGTGGATGGCCCACTTCCCGTCAACGCTGTTGAAACCAACACAAGTCAGGCAAGCGACCTGAGCCTGCGCACCGAGGACACACACATGACTAATGGGTCTGTGGATCACAAGATGACTGATGCACCGCCTGTTGCTGCAGTTGCCCCACGAGAGCAACTGAAGCTGGACACGAATCTTGCCGGAGTTCAGTCGACATCCTATCTGTGCCAAAAGTGCCATTGGAAGAAGAAGAATGGTGTAAAGGACGAGGAAGAGCGTGAAAAGCCTGTGCTCGATCTCCTTGATCCACAGCAACTGGCTCTACGTTCACCACCTGTACAAGCATTTGTTCCACCACCACCGCCTGCGATGGCAGGATCATGGACCGTACCAAATGGCCCTCCACCACCACATGCAGCGAGTCAGCCACCTCCATTGCCGGCGTGGCACAACGGAGCTCCACCCCCAGGGCCCAATCATCTTCCTCACCACCTACACAATGGCATCGGTCACCCACCGCCACCACACGGTGCTCCCTTGAATCAACCTCCACCGTTTCACGCCCCGTATCCCCCTCCACCAGGCGGTTACCCTCCCTATTCTGGCCCGCCCATGCATCCGCAGATGCCTTCGGCGTTGTCTCGCGGCTCGTATCCTCCACCGCCTGCCAGTGGTGCCCCTCCCCCACTACATCTCAACAACGGTGCAATGATGCTCAACGGCATGCATTCGCCTCATGCACCACCGTACTCACCTACACATCCACACGGGCACCCTTCGTCTCGTCCAAGTGATAATCCATATACCGCTGCCCCTCAAGGAATACCGCGATACCCAAACCTTCACCACGGGAGCCCCGCGCCCGGCCGACCTGCGACCCCCAGGGATGCAGTGATGAGAGATGCTCCACCTGTCACTTCAGCGCCAACAGAGCGTGCCAGTACAGGAGCTAGCGCCAGTCCTTCGCTTCGAAACCTGTTACATTAGTCACTCATGCTTTTTCTCTATTCCTGCGAGTGCATTTTCGTTTATACTTTAAACATCGGGCATATTTGGATCGGAGTTAAAAGCGCCTTTGCGCGCGCCCGGCATTGAGAGTGATGCACCGCGGCGGAACTAGATCGCGGGTGAGATCAGCTGGGAGATGAATACACAGCGGTGGGTGTGTCTTGTGGGGATATCGAAACATGGGAAGAGGAGTTCGGTGGCATTATACCACACACACCCTATTTTCTTATCATATAGCGTTCTTCAGGGGAACTGGCCAGCTTCCGCCTTCCCAATGTATGATGGTACGTCGAGCAGTAGAAAGTGACTTGCATTCAACGCAAGCACAGGAAAACATTCATACGTCACCACAGAAACACATGTCTCAATGCATTAAAACATCGCGTGACGTGGACACAGACGGGTGCTCGAGCTCTTACAGTCTGCCCATCAAACAACGCCACAATGCTTCATAGGTGTGAAGAATGCATTGATGCGCTCTCCCACGAAGCCGAGGAGTGACGTTCCTGCCGTATCCGGGAGCTAAGCTTTTCCCAATAGCCCCGCCGCTGCACAGCACGGGCTGCGCGGACGCGTGGTCCCTTGCATACTCGGCTGACGATGCCAACCTCTTTGAGACCAGCCTCACCAGCCACAAGTCATCCCCATCTCCTTTTCACATTGCCCGCGTTGCTTTTATTATCGCAGTCTCTTAGCTCTCTCCACTATTTGATTACTGTCGCCTCGATCATCATTCATCAATATTCATCACCTTTTCCAGTTTTCTCTTGATTGTTTGAAGACCGGTTACCCCTGCGCATCTTGAAACCAACGCAACTTGTACTCGACACGATTGAAACAGGCAGCGTAGAAGACCTGCGACGTACCACACTTCTGAGCTCGGGAGTGCGGTCGCCGGGAACGTAACACAGCCACTGGAGAGACATTGTGACCTTGCGCCATATACCACTCGCCGGGCGGACGGATTGTTACACATACTCTCTTTGCCTCCCTGGCTGTGCTCTTGAACACACATACACGCCCCGTGTTTGCTGCGAAGTATATACCGACACACACTGTTATATTAAAGGGACTTTGGAAAGAGGAAGATATATACGAACAATATGGTGCTGCAAAAAAGATACTGTATCGAGTATGCGGATAGGAGTGTTGAGTGCTTTAGCGATGATGGGTTTTGGTACACAGACGTACGTCCTCCCCTCACACACTTTTGAGAGTGAGCAAGTACTAACAGCCCTCCAGAAAGGCATAATCATAAAATGGATAATCCTCGGCGTGATCTTCGCGCTGTTCATGTCCTGGTTCGTCGGCGGCTACATCCACGCAAAGCAACGGTTAAAAAAGGGTCTACCACTGTTGGGATACCATCGCGTACGTATCCGTTGCCTTGCATTTCCACGCTTTTTGCCTTCCCCCCCCATCCTCCATTCCCCTTGCTAACATTAGACTAAACAGTTCCTGATATCCTACTCGGAACGCAAACGCCACGGCCAAGTCCCCCAAAACCACTTCACCTTCTACGCCCAAGAACAACCCTACTACCCCCAGGGCCAACAGCCCCCTTACGCACAACGCCCCGGCGCTGGCCCTTACGCCGAACCCCCACCGATGTACAACAACGCAGACGCGCCGCCACAGTACTTTGCGCCCCCCGGTGCAAGTAAGGCGAGTCCAAACCAGCAGGGCGTGGAGATGCCGCAGTATGGCGCGCCCGTGTATAGTACACCCCAAGGGCCGCAGCAGAGCGGTGTTGTGGGTGGGGATGTCGAGCAGGGGCAGAGTCAGGCTTTGCCGCCGAGGCCGCAGCAGGCAAAGGAGAAGCTGAGGGGGATTGTGGGGAGGTTTAGGAGGTAGATGGGGACACGCACGTGGCTGGATCATAAGCGTTGGAGTTGGTTGGTATAGTTGTTGGCTGTGTGTTATAGGACTTTTGTAATGGCGAGCAAATACCCTGAAGATGAAGTTTACGTTCGTTTTGGCGTTTTATGGGTTGATGTTGCTGGGAAGTGAGTGGATGGAATTGGAGGTATGCTTTGTGGTATATTCTCTTTTCATTGGTAACATAACATAGATGATATAACTCAGACCGAGTGAGCTGTACAATATTCCTTCCTTTCCTTCAATCAATATCCATGGCCTCTACATCATCTCCTAGGGGTATATTCATATTCGTATCCATGCTGCTTACGGGACTCGCCACCCTCTCAACCTCCATGACGGGATTCGCCTGCCCGTTTCTAATCCTCTGCCTCGCCTCGACAATCGCCTTGCGCACGCCATCTCTCTCCTCGGGCACCGTCAAGCTCGCCGGCACGTTATACAGCACCATCTGATTGTGCTCGTTGCTCTTCGGCTCCGGGCCCAGCAACACGTGCTTGGGGATCTTGGACAGGTGCTTCTCGATGTCGGGCAGGAAGATGGGGTTCTCCTCGTCGGACTCGATGTCGCTGAGCTCCGCGGCTAGGTCGTGGATGTACACGCGGTGCGGCGTGTCTTCGACGTCCATGGTGTCGGAGGCGCGAGGGGAGCGCGGCGTGCGGGCGCGTTTGGTGAGGGGCAGGGTGGCGGCGAGGGGGTGGGCTGTTGGAACTGCGTCGGCGCGCCGTGGGGAGTGGGCGTCTGTTGAGCCCGGGACGGGGATGTAGAGGCGCGTGCCATTGTTGTCGACTGGCGAGGTGTTAGTAGCTGCGCAGTGTGCATGGGCGCACGTGTTTGGCTGCGTTGTACGTACCGAGGTTTAGCAGGTCGAACCTCTTGCTCAGCCTCTGCTCGTTCTCGAGCGACGACTCGGCCGACCGCTTGATGCCGTGGGGAGCATGTTGCGGCGCGAAGGGACTACTGTGCGCCACGACCTGCGCCATCCATCACAGTGTACTCTGACTTCAGGGTCCAAGTGCTATGCTATGCAGTATGCAATAACTAATAAGGCCGACGATAGGCGAGTTCGGATCGGATTACATCCAGGAGATCGTGATGTGAATCGTGTCAGGGCATGGTTGGTGTGTCGGGCGTTTATATGGTGCGATAGGCGGACAGGTCGTGAATGTTCCAGAAGGATACCGTCGGCGACGATCGCACCCAGCTAGCTGCGAGCAGCCCCGCCTTGCACCCGCACCAAGCTCCCTGCAGTGTGCGTCCCACCACTTGCAGTCTTTGGTGAATGTTGCTACCGCGCACACTCACAGCTGCCCCTCTGAGTCACCCCAGGACTAGAGGCGGATTATCCTTGGCCCGCACCTGCAGCTGCTTTGCGACTCGACAAGCACTCCCACGACGCTCTTTTGCAGCGCCTTTTCCACGCCTCCGTGAGAAGAATATACCCCACGCGCCGGCCGCAAACATGGCGCTGGTCGACGAGCAGCACGAGTGGGGCGCGAAGAAGGTCCGCCAGACTTTCTTGGACTACTTCAAGAAGAATGGCCATAGTTTTGGTATGTCTTGAACCGTTCATTGACTCGGAGGATCCAAAAGCCACAATCCGCATCTCAAGAAATGCAATTGACACTCTGCAGTCCCCTCCTCCTCCGTCGTGCCCCTCTCCGACCCCACCCTCCTCTTCACCAATGCGGGCATGAACCAGTACAAGTCCATCTTCCAAGGCACCGTCGACCCCTCCTCCGACTTCGCGTCGCTGAAGCGCGCCGCAAACTCGCAAAAGTGCATCCGCGCCGGCGGAAAGCACAACGACCTCGACGATGTGGGCAAGGACAGCTACCACCACACCTTCTTCGAGATGCTGGGCAACTGGAGTTTCGGTGACTACTTCAAGAAAGAGGCCATTGGCTTCACCTGGGAGCTTATGACCAAGGTGTATGGCATCGACCCGAACAGGCTGTATGTCACGTACTTTGAGGGCGCCGATGGCCTCGAGCCCGATCTCGAGGCCAAGGAGCTGTGGAAGAGCGCCGGTGTGCCCGAGGACCATATTCTGCCCGGAGACATGAAGGACAACTTTTGGGAAATGGGCGACCAGGGCCCGTGTGGACCTTGCTCGGAAGTACACTACGATTTGAGGGAGCCGGTCGATGGAAAATACAGGAATGCATCGGACCTGGTGAACAAGGACGATCCTGAGGTCATTGAGATTTGGAACAATGTCTTCATGCAGTACAACCGCGAACCCGACCGGTCGCTGCGACCGCTGCCGAACAAGCACATCGATACGGGCATGGGATTCGAGCGATTGGTGTCGGTGCTGCAGAAGAAGATGTCGAACTACGACACTGATGTTTTCACACCTCTGTTCAAGCGGATACAGGACATCACAGGCGCGCGGCCATATAATGGAAAGTTTGGCAAGGAGGACCCAGATGGCATTGACACGGCCTATCGAGTCGTGGCTGATCATACCCGAATGATGAGCTTTGCGATTGCCGATGGTGGTGTGCCCAACAACGTTGGACGAGGATACGTCGTTCGTCGCGTGCTGCGAAGAGGCGCACGATATGCGCGCAACTACTTTGGTGTGGAGATTGGCAACTTCTTCTCGAAGATTATCCCGACACTGGTCGAGCAGATGGGCGACATGTTCCCGGAGATCAAGAAGAAGCAGCAGGATATTATCGAGATTCTTGATGAGGAAGAGAAGGCTTTCGCCAAGTCACTGGATCGTGGCGAGACCATCTTCAAGAAGTATGTTGCAAAAGCACAAAAGGCTGGCTCGAATGATTTGCCCGGAGACGATGTCTGGCGGCTGTACGACACATACGGCTTCCCGGTCGATCTCACGAAGCTCATGGCTGAGGAGAACGGGCTCAACATCAACGACAAGGAAGTCGAGGAGGCGCAAGAAAAGGCTCGCGAGGCCAGTAAGGGCGACAAGGCTGCTGCTGGCGTGGTGGTCAAGTTCGACGTGCACGACCTCGCTGCGTTGGATAGCATGGACGATGTACCGAAGACGGACGACTCGTTCAAGTACGGCCGCGAAAACATCACAACAACCATCAAGGCGATATATCACAACAAGAAGTTCTTGAAGAGCACGAGTGAAGTGCCAGAGGGAGAACAGTTTGGAGTGCTTCTCGACAAGACGAACTTCTACGCCGAGCAGGGTGGTCAAGAATACGACACTGGACGGTTGCTCATTGATGGCGAGGCTGAGATCAGCGTGGATAACGTCCAGGTCTACGCTGGATACGTCTTACACACAGGTTATCTCAAGTACGGAGAATTGAAGGTCGGCAGCGAAGTCATTGCAGAGTTCGACGAGCTGCGGAGAAACCCCATCCGTAACAACCATACTGGCACACACGTTCTCAACTACGCTCTCCGCGAGACCCTCGGCAACGAAGTCGACCAAAAGGGATCGCTCGTCGCACCAGAGAAGCTACGCTTCGATTTCTCACACAAGGCTGGTCTGACTGATGCGGAGCTCAAGAAGGTCGAGGACATCTCATCAGACTACATTCGCCAAAACGCCGAAGTGTACGCCAAGGATGTACCACTTGCACAGGCAAAGGAGATTCGCGGTCTCCGCGCTGTCTTTGGCGAGACCTACCCCGACCCCGTACGCGTTGTCTCTGTTGGTGTCCCTATCGAAGACCTCCTCGCCGACGTCAAGAACGAGAAGTGGGATAAGCTCTCCATCGAGTTCTGCGGTGGCACTCACGTCCTCAAGACCGGTGACATCAAGGAACTTGTCATCCTCGAAGAGTCCGGCATTGCAAAGGGCATTCGTCGTGTCATCGCCCGTAACAGGCCAAGAAGCATACAACGTGCAGCGTATCGGCAACGAATTTGCCGAGCGCATCGATCTCTTCGGCAAGATGAAATTCAGCCCCGAGAAAGAAGCAGAGGCCAAGAAACTCCAGCTCGAACTCAACCAACTCTCCATCTCCGCCATCAAGAAGACGGAACTCCGCGACGCGTTCGCCAAGATCCAAAAGAGTATCCTCGACGAACAAAAAGCGTTTGCCAAAGCAGACAACAAGCGTGTGCTAGACGAGGTCACAAATTTCTTCAAGGACGAGAGCAAGACGTTCCTCGTGAAGAAGGTTGAGTGGTCAAGCAATGTCAACAAGGCGATTAGCGAGGCTATCAAAGCTATCTCGGGACCGAAATCTGCGCTCAAGGATCGCTCGCTGTATCTTTTCTCCGCGAGTCCCGAGGAGGGCAAGGTTGTGCATGGGTGTTATGTCGCTGAGGTAAGTCTTGTCCACCATTTCTCTTTCATGTTGGGGGGATGCATGCTAATATCACAATAGCAACACAAAGCCGCGGGCGCTGACGGACCCAAATGGGCATCGTTCGTCACGCCTATTATCGGTGGTAAGGCGGGAGGTAAGCCTGGTGCGCCGACGGCGATTGGGCAGGGCACGAATGCGGATAAGGTTGATGATGGTGTCGCAGAAGCGACCAAGTTCATCGAGCAACTCAAGCTATGAACTGAGCTGGGATGATATGAGAAGATAGAAAGCATAGTGTGGTTGAAATCTACACATTTGTTCGAGCAGACTTCTCGGAGAGCGTGTGAGGCTATGAGATGTTGATCATGTACCGGTCAGAGTGAGATGATGTGGTGGCGTCAAGGTCATGCAGCCCTGCCAAACCGGTCAGACAGAAGAGGATTAACCTGGTCATATCTTACCTGTGCTTGGAGCTTGAGGCTCTTTTTGCACTGCAATCTCTAGCGCCAGCGAGAGCTTGATGCACTAACAAGGCTCTGTGCACTGCAGTCTCTAGGTGTAGCTTCAACGAAACGCCGCCTCCATTTTCGATCTCTCTCGAAGCTATTCTATGCAGCACTGGGCGGCGTGAGGGTGTTTATACATACCACAGTCATGTACGTTCGAAAACGCGAGATCACCATGTACGAATCAGAGATTAAAATCTACATGGGTGTCAATCTGGCGAAACGTCCAACGAATATGTAAACCTCTTCGTACAATAGGAGGTCGCACACGAGGAAGGGTCCTCTGCCCCTGTTATGGTGCATGCAGTTAACCTGACCACACGGGGAGCTCAGCCTACATCGGCATGCCAAGTTTTTTTTCGCCGAAAGTAGAGTTGTATAACTCAATAGTGACCTTTGCTATATATCTATAACCCTTACTCTAAATCTAACTCTTACTCTAAATCTAACTCTAACCCTAACCCTAATATATTCTAAACCTGTCCTGAACCTGTTTAAAGTTTAGAATAAGTTTAGAACAGGTTCAGAATATATTAGGATTAAAGGTTAAAAAGAGGCTCTGGTTAGGTTAGTCAGGTTAATTTTACGATAGTGGGCTTAGCATGCCGGTGGTCAGCTAATCTTTTAGTGTGGTCGGGTTGTCTGCGACCACCCTGTTCTGTTCACTGCAATTCTTAGCGCGGGGGAGACGTGAAAATAGCGGGGAAGCTATGCTATCACATCCAATGGCAGCTCAGATCTAAGCCTCGGATTGTGTGCGGGAGCGCGTCCTTTAAGGTTGCGTGCACTGCAATTCCTAGCGCCAGGGAGACGTGGAATTAGCGGGGAAGCTAAGTTATGCTATTACGTCCAGTAACAGCTCAGATCAAAATCCAGCCTTGTGATGTTGTGGTAGTTGGTTCTGCACTGCAATCCCTAGCGCCAGCGAGACCTTGATGCACTAACAAGCCTCCCACTCCATCTTCATCTCTCTTGAAGCATGATTATCTCAATGTGAACTCTGGCATGGGCATTGCGGAAACTTGACACGATAGTGATAATGAATAGCATCAATATCAATATCGACCAGCTCTTTCAAATTTGTTGTGGAAATCTTGATTGAGTCTTCACTCTACTTATACTGCAGCGTTACTCCCTTCTAGTCCTATTGAGTGTGCCATGCGTTTCTGATCTAATCATCGCGCATCTCATGGGCAGCCTTGCCAGCCTCGGCAGATGCTTTCTCCTTCTTGGCTGTCTCAGCGGCGACTTTTTCTTCTTGCTTCTTCTGCTTTTCTGCGGTGGCCTTTTCCTTCTTCGCGGCCTCCATGGCGACCTTTTCCTTCTGCGCGGCTTCAATTGCAACCTTTTCCTTTTGTGCTGCCTCCATAGCGACCTTCTCCTTCTGAGCAGCCTCCATAGCAGCCTTTTCCTTCTGCGCAGCTTCTAAAGCAGCCTTTTCTTGCTCTGCGGCTCCAGCAGCGCCCTCAGCAGCAGCAGCGGCGGCGACGGGAAGGAAGATACCTGGATAACGTTAGTCATGTGTGTCTCAGGCTGGAAGACCATTCGACTTACCCCACTCGCCCTCAGCAGTGACGTTCTTGTTCAAGTTCAGTGTGACCTCGTTCTCCTCAAGCTCAAACTCAAGCTCTCCAAGGAGGCTGCTAATGACAAAGGAGCCCGTCTCTGCGCAGAGTCTGCCAACCTGGGCCTTAGTCACGTCTTTGCCAGCGAGACCGGCGGCAGCCGCATCGAAGATGTAATCGATCTTGCTCAGTGTCAGACCAGCGCCCTTGCTGACTGAGAGTGCGACCTTGTAAGAGTTGGGCTCAATGGCCTCGAAGCCTGTGGGTGGTGCGGCAGCAGCAGCGCCGGCGTTTTCGGTCACGGTGATCTCGTCGGCCGCAGCGGACTGGAATTCAAACTCGAATTTACCGACGGTGCTGGGTGTGAAGACAAGATCTTGCTTCAAGTCTCCGCCTTCGACAGGGACTGCGGTGTCGAATGCACTCTCGATCTCGACTTCGTCTGGCGTATGGTTAGATGTTGTGATGAAAGTTGTCAGATGCTTGAGAACGTACTCGCTTTTGCCTCTTCCTCTCCAGCTGCAGCTTCGCCTTCGGCAGCGCCTTCCTTAGCTCCTTCCTGAGCACCAGCCGCCGCTTCTTTCTCTTTAGCTGCAGCTTCTTTCTCTTTTGCTGCAGCTTCCTGTTCTTTCGCACCTGCTGCAGCCTCCTCCTTGGCACCAGCAGCCTCTTTCTGCTTTACAGGGGCTGCCTCCTTCTCTTTAGCTCCAGCAGCTACCTCCTTACCAGCCTCAGCAGCTACGGGAGTGCTGCAACTGACTTGCTGAAGCTGAGCACGTTGGTTGCGGCGGCGAAGACTGATTGGGTGTACAGCCCTCGCAACAGGCACAATACTGCGCTCAGAAAGCAAAATTGCATTCGGTCGAGCAGAGACCGAAGCCGGAACGGCAAGGACGCAAAGAGCAAGAGTGAGAATGTTGGAATGCATGGTCGCTGTGTAATATAGATCTCAGATCGGAATATAGAGAATGAATGGTTGATTGAAACGAGCGGACCGGCCGAATGAATGTAAAATTTGAGAAAGAAACGAAGTAGTGGATGCGAATGCAATGCAGTGAGTGGATATGTTATTGATGAGCGATCGACTTTCCTTAAGTACAGTGTGAGCAACTGATTCTATCGCTATGTCTACCGTGAACTAGAATGCAAGCGGTGGCTAAGACCGCTCGCTACATGCTTGACAGGTGCCAAAACGTCTTGTCGGCTTGGCGATGTACGGGGCGTTGAGATGAGATGAGCAGATACGCTCGAGCTTGCTTGCAATGGAAGCGAAATCTCCTGACCTTGGTTTTGAGGTGTCTATTCCTGTAGAAGTTCCAAACGGTATCCTCTTGGCCTGAGGCTTGACACTTGGCAAACAGCTTGCTTTCAAGGGATCATGCTTATGGCCTGGATGTGATAGTGAAGTAAGGGACTGCGGGTTTGCTGCGTACTATTAGCACAAGTATCAATCGAGAGGTCCTGTGGGCACATGATCATTGATGGTACTCCACGGCTTTCCAAGTAGATTGCCTAGCAGTGGTGACCTGTGGAGAGCTTGCCCAGGTGGAAGCTTCGGAAGAGCCAAGTTCCAGAGGACTCCTGGGCAGATGCTAAGCATTATGAACGACCACCCCTTCGTTCCGAACAGTCGCGCCATCTAGCGCTCAGAAGACAGCTGCGACTGTGGCGCAAAGACGGTGTTTGATGTTCCGCTCCGCACGAAGGTGAAACAGGTGAAGGAGACCGGAGAAGTCTGGAGACAGCGAGATAACCGAAATGCTAATCCTACCTAGGTTTAGCCGCCGGCTCAAACAGTGGCTATTCTCGAATCAACACCTTGTTCTGTCTCCAACATAAGCTCTAGACCAAGGTATGCGCGGGTCTGCCTCCGTCGAACGAGTGTGCTTATTTCTGTAGCAGGATCTCACGGGCTATACGACCGTGCACGATATTATGCGCTGCAGGATACATGGAAGCGCTCATCATATCAGAGTCCCCTCGCAGGTCGCGCCGTGCTGTTCTCTTTCACAACACACACAATGACATTGTGTTAGCCCTGTAGTCCTCTTACTGGACGTATTTGAAGTTCCTGGCCGTGAGCACTGCCAGTGGCCTTTCATTCTCACTCTTTCAATCCATTTTCTTCTGCACTAAGCAGATAGACTACATTGGAGCTTGACAGAAAAAAGGCGGCTCTTGTTTCTCAATAAGGGCCTCACTGTTCATCGAGCCTCTGCCCCTCAAGATCTGGAATCATTACACGTTCGGCCATAGCCATTCCTAGGCTACACAGTAATGGAGAACAGCAAAGGTAGCCATTATACGCACTGGGACCTATTGCACTTTTGTGAACACCGACGAGTATTTGCCTCTATAGGTCGGGACGGCTGTAACGTGGAAATTTTCACGTTTACACCATCTGAATCGTATGCGATTGCCATTTACTAGAAGATTGAGTAATGCGCCATTGCACACGTTGTGCTTTAGATCACTTATCGACACATCGATCAACACTGCTCACAATGATCAAATGCCTGCGCTGCCCTCCCTAAAAGAAAGCTTAACGTGCCTCCATCACTTGAACAAAGTTCGATAGACAGTTACCACAAGATGCGACGCCACCTCACACACGCACATCGCAAACTGTATTAGACTTTCATTTTCACATGCTCCATCTCCACCCTCACATCCCAATCGCCGAGTACGAATCATCGGTCTCCGATTCCCAGACACGTACACTCAATCGGCGTTGCGATGCTTGGCCACGTACACCTTCGGCAACATGTGATTTAGCTTCCCCGCATCCACAACGCAGCGAATCCGGGGTATGCAGGGGTGATCGCAAAACAAGGTGACAAGGAATCGTGCAATTGTAACAGGGGAAAAGCAAAACATTATTTCTGGTATCTAGGCTATCCACATTTCCGTCATCCTTCCAAAGCGTGCATGGATTTAGCTCTGCGTGATATTAATTCCCAATGTGCTCAGCGCCGGCCCAACGTTCAAATCCACATTGACGGTATTACTCTTCAGCGCGTCTTCGTAGTACTTGAGAGTCACGCCGTTCCTGACCGTCGAGTTTCCTGTGATTGACAGCGGGACAATTGCGTTTTTGTATTTCGTCTGCACGAGGCTCAGGACGTCCAGGGGCTGAATTTTTGCTTGCATGGGGACGTTGTTGTCGCCGGGCTTGAGGACGAGGTTGGGCAGCAGGGCAGTGCCGATGCTTGTGCTGTCGATGGCGAGGTTCATGGTGACGTTGCCAAGGTCGAGGGTCATGACGGAGGGGTTGGGGATGTACACTTCGCCGACCATGTTGGAGCCGTCGGCCAGGAGCTCGGACTGGCCGGAGAGGAGTTTGATGGAGGTGATGTTCAAGCCCTTGAGCTTGTTAAGGCCTGCACGGATATGTTAGTGTTATATCTATATTTGAAGTAACCTCCAACTTACCCTTCATTGAGACGACCTTGTTGTAGTCGACGTCCATCGTTGGGAGGCCTTTGAGGTGGATGTTGGTTTTGCCTCTGAGATTGACGTTGAATGTCTCAGCGCCCAAAACGGTCTTGGTGTATGCAGTGAAGGCTTCCAGGGAAGTGAACTCTGCATCTTGGTCGACGGAGACGCGAGTCTCGGCTTCTGACTTTGCTTCAGGAATCTGAATGTGGATGAACGGATCCTGGCCGTCGAGAGACAGAGCAGCACGGAAACTGTCAATGGTAGGGTGGTAACTGCTATCAGACCTGATCACAGACTCTAACTTCAAGTGGACACCATTCTCTGTTGGGCTGGTCACTTCTTGTGATGTGACTTCCAGTGTCGACTTGTTGATTTCGTCTTGTGCTTTGTTGGGTATGGCCACATAGATGATGGGCAGTACGACGATCAAGACAATGATGGCAAAGACAAGACAGTCTATTGGGCATTAGTGTAAGTCTTCACGGCGCCGGAATAATACGAACGTACCACACCACCAGAACTTCCTGCAGTGGTTCTTGACTCGTCCCTTTGCACCTGGCTGCGGACCGGGAGGATACAATTTGTTGATTATGCCACCCTGTTTGCGCGGAGCACTGTACACTTCGTCGGCACGAGCGGTTTCAGTCTTGGTTTCCATGTTGTATTATAGTTCGCACCGCGAGAAGGATAGAGAAGGAAATCGTTCGATTATAACTGCGATCTAGTCGGGAATACACCGCAAATAAAGGTTCTTTTTCACAAGCAACCGAAAGAGGTGAGGAAGCAGGTGACTACCCCAGGCCAAGAAGAACAATGCGGAGACCTGCGGGCGGGGAAGATCTTATGACGGTCGTTCAGGGACTGATTTCAGAGACGGCTGGCGGATCGAGACATTGTTCACTTGCGCCAGCTCAGATCAGGCGGTTCGTCCGGTATAATCCTTGGACGGGATTCCGTGAAAAAGACGATCAACAGCAGGGATATATTCCCGTCAACAGAGCAGACCAACCAATTGCTACTCCTTTGAGTAAGTAGTCCGAGCTCGTCGCCACATTTTCACAAGCATTGCAAAGCCGAGGCTGTCGAGCTAAAACAGAACAACTGATTCGCACATGCTTCATGTTGCTTTTGTTCAATGCGACAGTATCATGGCGATACAGAGAGTAGCTTTGCGGACACATGGTTCAGGCTGCGCAGTAGGGACTCGTGCTAATCGACCACTGTTCAGCAGTTCTTGTTTCAATTGCTACACCGCTTTGCGCGTGAGATACCACTAATGGTTGGAAAAATTGGTGATGAAAGAGATGAGAGGCTCAGGGTCGGCATGACTGCCCGGTCGTTGCGCCGGACTAAGGCGGGAGCTATGATGCAGGCTGACCACATGTGGTTTGGTGCAAATTGCCCCGACCCTTTTGTAGCCAATGCCCTGCATCGCGCATCGGTCTTGGATCTGAATGGAGAGGGTTGCTCCTCTCGTGACTCGGCAGCACCGCTTCTGAAGGAGCGGATGAAATTATTAGATGACTGCGGCGAGGTATTCGGGATCGTCGAAGCTGCAATTTCATGTGAATGTCCGCGCATTGCAGCTGATCAGCATTATACGAGCCAGGCGTTTAAAGGAACGAATCTGCTCAACGGCATTGGTAACATTGATTTCTGTCATTGAATTGTAGGAGAACAAACATCGGTGTGGCCGGATCATTGTCGCGTGATCAGACACGTAACGCATGTCGAAATCGCGAAATCCGGGTTCTCTTTGGAGAGCTGTCATCCACGGCATTTCATGACACACGCGACCTACGAGATCCGCGTCCTGGGCAGCAATCCAAACACACTTGATGGGGACATGCTGACAAGGTGGGTCTGCTATGGCCTGCATTGACAAACTAGGCGATCGTCGTTCCGTGCTATCTGTTTGACACTATGTTGGCTTTTCACAACATGGCCGCGATAGTACCGAATGTACGCACGTAAAGGTGAATAGTAAAGCCATTCCGTGGTTGGGAGAAGATTATGGGGACGCGGCGATCTACCGGAGCATGCGCCAAGAGAATGCTTGATGTGTGGAGCACCAAAAAGTCTGGGTAGACCAAGTTTGAGAGGCTCTCAAGACCAAGTTCCGCTACGCTTCCACCCCACCACCCCGCACATGAACGCTATGGCGCAATCCGATGAAGAAGATGACTACATGAACATGACGTTCGAGGATGCGCCCAAGGGCCCAAAGTACGAAACCTCCCTCCAGCGCGCCGCGCGCAAGCGCAAAGAGGTGCGTCCCTTGGCCACCTCAAAAGTCATTTTCCAGCTGACAATGGCCTCCAGGGCGAAGCCAGAGCACGACAAAAGACGAAAGCCGAGCGCGAGGCAGATGCAGAGGCAGCACGTGAAGCCGCGTTAGCCACAGCCCTCCCCGAAACGAACAAGGGATTCAAGATGATGGCTAAGTTTGGCTTCAAGCAGGGCGATACCCTCGGCAAATCCGAAAACGCTCGCAAAGTCCCTATATCAGTCGATATCAAGGGCGACAGGAGCGGCATCGGTCTCGAGTCTGAGAAGAAGCGCAAGTTCAGAGAGCAGTGGGAGCAAGCAGACCGAGAAGCGAAGCGCTCCAAGGAGGAGGAAGGCGACTACATCGAGATCAGACGACTAGAGGCAAAGCAGAAGAAGGCAGAGAGAGACCTCGACAGCGCACAGAGGACTGCTGAGCGACTCACTGAGAAGGAAGCCGAGGATAAAGGTACACCGCAACCGGTTGAGAAGCCAGTAAAGGACGTGAACCTTCTTTGGCGTAGTCGCGCTCGACGGAGAGCAACTATCATGCACGAGAAACAGCAGCGCCGGGAGCTGGACAACAGCATTGCCTCGCGACTACCCACGCTGGCTCCGGAAGAAGACGACGAAGGCGACGATGCGAAGATCGCACAGGGTCGTGATCTTGCGCCCTTTTACACATCCCTTGAAAATGATCTTGAGGGTGAGGACCCAGAGCTTGCTGAGTTTGAGGCTTTGCCAGTCGAAGAACGACTTGAAAAGCTTCTCACGTTCCTCCGAGAAAAGTTTCATTACTGTTTGTATTGCGGGTACCAGTATCCCGACGCAGAGATGGAGGGTTGTCCTGGCGTGACTGAGGATGAGCACGACTGAGAGTACAGCCATGTATGAAATCATGGCGTCATCTCAAAATCTCTCGCACAGCTTCGCTGAAGCAGTGCTTTGATCAAAGGCCTTCCAGAACGCAAAGCGCTTGCTTTGCTCTAGTGCTATCAAAATCATTACACCTGATATGATGGCTCGCGACTTTAGGCCACTAACCAATGTCTAGAAAAGCATATATAGATAGTTTGAATAATACTCAATAATTCGAAAATGACTTTTTTGGTTTGCAATAATCTCGTTCACTGCTTGGTCTGTGAATACAGACTGTGACGATAACTGCAAAGTGCTGCGGCACGTGCTTTCGCGACGTTGAGGCGCGTGGAACTTCGCGCCCCTAACACGTCAATCCACACTTTACGAAGCCTCCCCCAACCTATCACTCGCCAATCAAAACATGCAACATCAACGATGCTACATCTATGAACCTCCACAGACAGAAGAACGAGCATCGAAACGACAGCGTACAAGCAAATATGATCCTCACGCGCAATTGCCTGTGCGTCTCCAGGCGTATCGCGATGTGTGGTCGCAGCAAGAAGAGCGCATCACCGTAAGTCAACTAACATGTGCATATCAGATCAAAGAGAATCTGACACGACTAGAACACTCTGGACACTGCCGACAGCGCAGTCCAACAAAACATTGTCAATTTCATCTCAGCCGCCAGTGCATCTCCTGACGAGACAAAATTCGCCATACCCACTGGCCTGATCATTGCAGGGCCGAGTATCGCATCCCATGGACCCTTTTTCAAACGCCTTGGCCAGAGGATCAAGAACGACACGGACAGCACATATGTCGTGTTGACCTCAGCAGAAAGTCCTAACCTCAAAACCTTGCTCAAGAATCTTATCAAGAAGGTAACCTCACACGTGGAAGATGATGACGAGGATGATATGGATCGGCCTTCTACATCATCAAGACATGGGCCGAAGCTACTGAATTATGATCTTGGCCATGTTCAGGAATGGCGCAAGAAGAACCGTGTTTCGAGTATTGTCGTTGCGCTTCAGGATAGCGAGGCTTTCGATGCCGCCCTTCTTGCTGATATAGTCGATCTTTTCCAGTGAGTCACTCAGGCTTTCTGTCATATTTCGTGCTAATACATGTAGTTCGTGGCTCGACCGTCTGCCTTTCGTCTTGCTATTTGGCATTGCTACCTCGGCGGAGAGCTTCGAGGACCGCCTCTCTGGCAAGTCTATGCGCTATCTTGAGGGCGAGAAGTTTGATGTCACTCAGTCCGACGAGATCATCGAAGAACTCTTTAAAGCAACAGTTGCTAACACAAACGTTCGCTTGCACATCGGGCCCACGATCTGTCGCCGCATGCTGGACCGTCAGAAAGACCATGTACAGAACGTTCAAGACTTCTGCGACGGTCTCAAGTACGCTTATATGTCGCACTTCTACGCCTGCTATCCCAGTATCTTCTTTCGCAGAGACATAGCGCTCAGCGATTTCCCTGCAGATGCATTCGAAGCTGTGCGCAACCTGCCCTCCTTTCGAAGGATGATCGAAGAGAAGCTTGAGAATGGGGAGGCACTCAATGTCCACGTATTGCTTGAAACCGACGAGAACTTGTTTCTTGAGATCGCCCGGTCCTTACGGAACGGGTCACAAGCCCTGTCGACCTTGAGTCACGCTTCCCAGGTACTGTTCAGCATTCGTGCGGCACTTCAGATGTCTCCGACCGTTCGATTCTCATCAATCTGGACACGCGCGGCATCTGGAGATATGGCAGGTTCGCCTCTCCTCCGTGAGACGATGTTATCTGTCAAGAAGATCCCGTCCGACAAATTCGTTGAACTACTTGCAGCTATGACAAGCCTCCAGGGGGAGTATTTCTCCATGGAATTGAGTCCTTTTCAAAAAGAGCTCAACAGCCTGGTCGAGAAAAACGACGCCTCCACTCCCCTTCGGACACAGCATGACGTCCGTAATGACAGTCTCAGGACCACAGTGGTCGCCCAGAAAGTCCTACTCAGCAAGCACAAGGCGGCACTCTCGGAACAAGACAAGGCATATTCGGACTTGGTCGGTCGCTTCCACGACGAACTCGATGCTTACTTCGCGTCTGCGTTCATCGACCCCCAGACACTGTTTCTGTCAGAAGTGTTGATCTACGACCTCAAATCTCCGCATACAGAGGTCTTTCAACCAAAGCCACGCTTTGCCATTGAGCGCGCATTGGCGTCACCGCACGACTATCTTGGGTGCGAATGCTGCAGCGGCGTCGAAGGAAACGAGGCTGCGCTATCAGCTACGCAGCCCGCCACTGCTATCGTGTATCAGATGTACTTGGAATCTGGCGCACTTATGAACGTGAGCGATCTGTGGCAGGCTTTCAACGCAATCGCTGGAACTGGTGATGAAGACGACGAGTCAAAAACAATGTAAGTGGCATAGCCTATGATCAATTTGCCCAAAGTGCTGACCTTTCTAGGGCTCTGTTTCAACGCGCTCTCGCCGAACTCAAATTCCTCGGCCTTCTCAAGCCCAGCAGGAAGAAGACAGACCACGTGTCTAAAATCATGTGGAAGGGCCTATGACCCTTGTTCGTCGCTTCGTCATATATACTATACATATACTATCTACAATTCTCCATCGTCCGCATCATGCCTTCGCTGGCGCCGTGTCGCATATCGTCCCGCAGTTCTTGCACTTCCGCGCCTCCATATCGGCTTTGAAGCCATTTACCGCTTCCTTGATCTGCGTCCCCAGATCTGTGCAGTGGAAGCTCGCTTCGTGTACCTTCTCGCCACAGCTCTGACAATACCACCGCAGCCGATCTTGACTTCCCTCAGGCCGCTTCTGCTCCAAAACCACGCCCACTGTATCCTTGTATCTCACGGGGTTGTGTGGCGTGTTCGGTGGCAGCAAGAACATGTCGCCTTCGTGGATGTGTATGTCGCGGAACTGCTCGGCAGCTGGACGAGATTGGTCGACGATTTTGAGCAGCATGGAGCCTTTGTGCTGGTAGAACCACTCTGGCGTCTCATTGATGTGGTAGTCTGTGCGCTCGTTGGGGCCACCGACAATCATGACGGTTACATTGTCGTTGTACACGCAGTAGTTGTTAATCGGCGGCTTGAGCATGTGGGAGTTTTCGGATACCCTGGGATGTAAGGATTAGCATGCAGTTACTCATATGTCTTGAATCTGAGAAGGGAAAGGGACATACCATTTTGGAATGTTCAACGGCGCGCCAATCATCCTGCATCGTGAGCTTTGCGAAAAGTAGCGCTGCGGCAATGAAGCTCGTGGATTCCGCCGTATTTGCGGTGCATTGTAGAACACCTGCGCGAGTGAGCGCGTTGAACGGATTACAGACGCCATTGTAGTTGTGTACAAATCTGTCTGATTGCGAGAACCGTTAAATGTCCAGATGTCAGACGAGGCGTCACCACCGGACATTCAGACCGCGGCGCGGGGATAAGAGCTCCCCACCACGCGCTAGTGCGACGCGTGATACACCAGCTCCGTGTCGCAAGTTGCGCCGACGTTCACAGCTTCGTTCTTTCTCATCTTCACTCACAACTTCAACACGATACGATGGATCACTCACACATGGATCACGGCCACATGGACCACGGCATGCCCGGCATGGACCACGGCGCAAAGTGCAACATGAACGTACTGCACCCCAACGCTCACTCTCCTCCGCGCGATGCTGACCGCAATCAAATAGATGCTGTTCACCTGGGACACAACCGACCTGTGCATCGTCTTCCGCGGCTGGCGAATTACGGGGACCGGATCGCTTATCGTGTCCCTCCTGGCGATTGTACTGCTTACGGCGGGATATGAGGCGGTTCGGGAGGCGTCGAGGCGGTATGAGGCGTATGCGGCGAAGGGCGGGGAGAGGAGGGGCGGGGATGATTTGAGAGGTGAGTGCGAATATTTCGTATATTATGGGGATGTGGTTGAGAGAGTTATGGTGGTCGTGCGACGCTTGGTGTGCAGTGAATACGGTTTCCTTGCCCTCACATCTTCATTTGAAGCAACACCAGCTGAGTGCAGCGACTTCAAGACGACGAAAACGAATCGAGCTCATTACTTGGACCAGGACGAAGTGTTGGCCGCACCTCGGAGCAACAGACCAAGATTGTCAAGGGGTTATTCTACGCGGTGCAGGTGTTTTACTCGTTCTTCATCATGTGAGTCCGAAGAAGCAGGCAAACTGAAGGATGTGCAGGACTGAGATCACTAGGTTGCTATTCATGACATACAACGGCTGGATCATGCTGGCTGTTGCTGTAGGCGCCTTTGTCGGCTATCTCATGTTCAGCGGATCCTCATCGACAAAGTCGGTTGCTTGCCATTGAGGCACGTGTCAGGCCCTCGACTCGGAGCTTATGCAAGCGGTAGATGCAGGGTCTCCAGTACAGTGGCGCATGGCTGAACGGACTTCTCTCCGTTGCAAGCATCTTGGACTGTTTCCTGTAATATCCGGCCTGGACCCCATGAACGGTGGGGTGATCGGCGGGCTCTAGTGTAGTGTACCGGTGCTTGAGAAAGTAGAAAACATTGGAGGTTACATGATATGTGAGACGTGACGAGTGCAATTGGTGAAGACTTTCCGAGAAGGGCCTCGACTGAGGGTGCGCGGACTGCAGCTCGGATGAGATGTGTCCGGAGGAATCTGGGGTACGGTAGCAATTGAACCGAACTTCTATCAACCTGTCCGCTGTTCCTGCATCAAGATAGCCCGACATTGGCACGTCCTGTTTAATCTCATCATGGGATTGCTGTAAATCTTTGTATGCTTCGAGATTCATTGACAAAAAGTTAGTCGTACGAGGCAATTCCGCCCGCTGACCGTTACGCTCGTGCCTATTGACATATCCACTGCAAAAGCCGCGGCATATGACCATGGCTCGGGGAGACTTGCCATACTGAGCAGTGATGATGTGAACGATGCAAAAGCTGCCAGACTGGACATGACATGTAGTTGCGTAGTTGCGGTGAGATTCGAACGCTGGTCAAGGATTGAAGTAACCGTGAGCTTGATGCACTAATATGGTGCACTCCAGATCTTCACATGCCAGAGGCAATCCCACGCTGCACGCGTGACTTGCCCCAGGTTTCGGTGTGCGCGGCGCCCCAGTCATGACCCGCGCATTCATTGTCATGTGGCAGCGACCGGGCTCAGCGTCTTCACATGCAACGGGCTTTCTGCACAAAACGCATAAGAAAGCCGGTGCATCACAGGTTCAGAGGCAGAATCATAGTCGGCTGTCAAACAGCCTAGACGTTATTGGTCGATCACGAATGTTGTTTTGAGATTAGCGTAATACTTAGTACTCTCTCTCTCTCTTGCCGAGGCATAAGGTTGCGACTCGCTGAGGTTCATCCATCGTCTTCTCATACAAAGCCTCCAGATCTCCGCACTTTTGCTCCGGAATCTGCGCTCACTAGACTCCTTCCTTACCCTCATTCTTCACATTTGCATCCATCATCATGCCGCAGAATGTTATTGTCGTTGGCGCTGGCCGTAAGTAGCACCGTCGGATCGTGCGCCGTGTTGCGCTGTGCTAACGTCGTCGACAGTGTCCGGCTTGAGCGCTGCCCACACCATTTACTTGGCCGGAGGCAATGTCGTTCTCCTCGACAAGAACAGTATGTCTTCCATCTCCTGCCACTGAAATCTGACGATGCTGACATGCGACAGACTTCATGGGAGGCAACTCCACCAAGGCCACATCCGGAATCAACGGTGCCCTGACAAGGACGCAAGTTGACCACAAGATTGGCGACAGCGTCAAGCAGTTTTACGATGACACACTCAAGTCAGCGCGAGACAAGGCGCGGCCAGACCTCATCAAGGTTCTTACCTACAAGTCCGCCGCTGCCGTTGAGTGGCTGATGGACGTTTTCAACCTCGATCTGACTCTCGTTTCACGGTTAGGGTACGTCGATATCTCTTTCATCTGATCTGGAACCAGTGACTAATTCCAACAGAGGACACTCTCAGCCCCGTACCCACCGTGGTCACGATGCCAAGTTCCCCGGTATGGCCATCACATACGCCCTGATGCAGCGATTCGAGGAGCTCGCCGAGGCTGAGCCGGAGCGCGTCAAGCTCGTCAAGAAGGCCAAGGTCACCAGCGTCAACATCGAGAACAACCGCGCCTTGGGCGTTACATACACCTTTAATGGCGAGGAGACCACCCTCGAGGGACCCGTCATTCTTGCCACTGGTGGCTATGCTGCCGACTTCACAGCAGACTCCCTTCTCAAGAAGTGGAGGCCAGACACCTACGATCTATCGACCACCAACGGTGCTCACGCCACTGGTGACGGCCACAAGATGTTGATGAAGGTTGGTGCCAATGGCATTGACATGGACAAGGTCCAGGTTCACCCAACTGGTCTGGTAGACCCCAAGGATCCTACCGCAAAGACCAAGTTCTTGGCCGCAGAAGGTACGTACATTGATCCGAACAAAAGAGCAATTACTAACAATTTCTAGCTCTCCGTGGTGAGGGTGGTATCCTCCTCAACAACAAGGGTAAGCGCTTCTGCGACGACCTCGGCCACCGCGACTACGTTTCCGGCATGATGTGGGAAGAGAAGAAGAAGGGCCAGTGGCCCATTCGCCTCGTTCTCAACTCCAAGGCCTCCAACATCCTCGACTTCCACACCAGGCATTACTCTGGCCGTGGTCTCATGAAGAAGATGAGCGGCGCTGAGCTTGCCAAGGAGATTGGTGTCAGCGATAAAGACCTCCAGGCCGAGTTCCAGAGCTACAACGCCATCGCCAAGGGCGAGAAGAAGGACGAGTGGAACAAGAAGTTCTTCCACAACTTGCCCTTTGACATCAACGACACTTTCCACGTTGCTGTCATGGAGCCCGTTCTCCATTTCACCATGGGTGGTATCGAGATCAACGACCAAGCACAATGCTTGAACTCCGAGGGTAAGCCATTCGACGGCCTGTACGTCTGTGGTGAGCTTGCTGGTGGTGTCCACGGAGCCAACCGTCTCGGTGGTTCGTCTCTCCTCGGATGTGTCGTCTACGGACGTGTTGCAGGAGACTCGGCCTCGAAGTACCTGTTCCAGCAGGCATTGAACTCATCCGGCGGCTCCGCAGTCAACCGTCTCGGCCAGATTTCGCTACACATCGACCCGTCGCAGCCCGGCAAGGTCTCTGTCGAGTGGGGCAACGGCGTCAGCACCTCCCAGGGCGCGACAGACGGACAGTCCAAGGTCGACCAACAGAAGCAATTCTCATCAGCACCGGTAATGTCATCCAACGCCGACTCAAACGACCCGGGCAAGGTGTCGAAGCCCAACAAGCCCTCGCAGTTCACTATCCCGGATAAGGAGTTCTCCCTCGAGGAGATTGCGAAGCACAACAAGAAGGACGATCTCTGGATCGCAGTAAAGGGCATCGTCATGGACGTGACCAACTGGACGGATGAGCACCCAGGTGGTCCCCAGGCGCTTTTCAGCCACATGGGCAAGGACGCATCAGAGGAGTTTGAGATGCTGCACGACGATGAGGTGATTCCCAAGTATGCGCCGGAAATTGTCATCGGTCGCGTCAAGGGCCAGGAGGTTACGTTGGAGTATTAAAATACTAGAGAGTTGTTTGTACTTCTAGCCTGTTCTTTCAATCATATCTATTGCATGACTTCATTGACGATCTTCAATACTTTGATGAACAATGACTGTAATGTTTCGATAGCCCTTGACAATGTAGTTAGTTTTCGGCGTGTTATTGGAGTTGCTTGCGATAGAGTGGTTCAGCACATGCATGCCCCTCGTAGCTTGATCGACTGTCGGACCCTGGTCGCAACTTCCCCAGATCAACGCCGGCTTGCATGCATGTCCCCTAAGCTACACACCAAATTCCACAAACACAAGCGCATCCTGCTCCCCCTCGCGACACGGCATTCCGCAATGCTGCGCCAGCAAAACAACCCTTCACTCAACCGACGATGACCGAGTACGACGACTACGGCATCCCCGTCGGCGCATTCGTCGAGCCAGAAGACTTCCGCGGCCAAGCGTGGAGAACAGCGCGAGCATTCTACCTCTACAGAGTGCGCCCGCTTGCATGGCAGAGCTACACTGCGGTCAGAAGAGCGGACTGGAGCTTCAGGCGGTGGTTCACGCTCGCGAATGCGCTGGTGGTGCTGTGGTGGGTTGTATTGTATTGGGGTGAGAGGGGGGCGTTTGATGGGAGTATTGAGAGCTGTAGCTGGGATAGGTGGGAGAATTGGGTAAGCTGTTTTCGAGGAGGGAGTGCGAGGGAAACATGTATACTAACCTGAGGCAGGAAGCTGGCGCAAATCCCCATAGACTCATCTTCGTCGCCGATCCGCAGCTCATCGACCCGCATACATATCCTGGCCGCCCATGGCCGCTGAATCCGCTCGCGTACAAATACACCGATTTGTACTTGCGTCGCACGTACTCTCGCTTGCAGACGGTGCTGTACCCGGATACGATATTCTTCCTAGGCGACCTGTTTGATGGTGGGAGGGAGTGGTCGACGCGCACGACGAGGTCGCCTGAGGAGCGGTATCGCCGGTATGATGATAATTACTGGATCAATGAGTACAGACGCTTTGGGAATATCTTCTTCAAGCACTGGGGCGATGCGGGTATGGAGCCGCGGCCAGGGCAGCCGGGGCGCAAGCTTATAAGCAGCTTGCCTGGAAACCATGATTTGGGCTTCGCAAGAGGAGTTCAGGTCGGAGTCAGGAACAGGTTCAACGCCTATTTTGGCGACGGGAACAGGATAGATGTCATTGCGAACCACACTTTTGTGTCGATTGACAGTCTGTCGCTGAGTGCGTTCGGGCAGGATTCGCCAGCACAGGTAGAAGAAGCTATGGCGGCCCTACAACCGACTTTCTCGAGAAGGCGAAGACTCAGAAAAAAGCGCCTCGTCCAGCGCGAACTACGGAGACAACAGGGCCTGCGACCATACCCCAGGTTTCGCGCACTATGACATCAAGACGGAAGATCTCGCGAAAGCCCAACTTCCACACTCGCAAGACGACGTTTACCGAGTTTCCCACCATCCTTCTCACCCACATCCCCCTCTTCCGCGCACCAGGCAACACCCTGCGGTCCCCTCCGCGAACGCTTTCCCCCGACACCCCCTCCCGCCGGCCAAACCCCCCTCGAAAAAGACGACCGAAATGCCATATCCGTGAGCGGCGGCTACCAGTACCAAAACGTCCTCAACAAGGAAATCACAGTCGACGTAGCCAACAAAATCGGTGACATACGCTACGCCTTCAGCGGCGACGACCACGACTACTGCGAAGTTTTGCACCGCAGCTATGCCAGCGGCGGCGGCGGTATCCGTGAAATCACAGTCAAGAGCACGAGTTGGGCCATGGGCGTGCGGCGGCCGGGCGTCGTGCTTGTGAGTCTATGGAACCCGGTGGATGCCAGTGGGAAGCCACGCAGTGGCTCTGCAGACGCAACGATTCGGACGAAACTGTGTCTGTTCCCAGATCAAATCGGCACATTTATACGCTACGGTATGCTCTTTGGCCTCACGTTCTTCTTACTAGCCATCCGCGCGGCGCTGGTCACAACGGGCGTGCTGAAACCGTATACCTCACCGCCACAGCCAAACATACTACCAACGACGGCGCAGGACATCAAAGCCCAGCAGAAATTCGAAGACAACCCCGCGATAGAAGATGAGCTATCTCACTCCTCAAACTCGAGTACTTCATCCCAGCACAAACACCTCCTGGCCCGCGCGAAGCCAGCCAAGTATACGTATCCCCTCATTCAGCATGCGGGGAGTTACTCGCCACCAGATGAAGAGAAAAGGAGGGAGGTTAAGATATATGGAAGTACTAGTAGTAGTAGTACGAAGAAGGCGGAGAAGAAGAAGGGTGTGGGATTGTGGATGTATGAAATGAAGTGGACACTGGGCAAGGTGCTGGTTGTTGGCGGGGTTTGGTATGTATGGTTGGTTTGGGGGGATAGAAGATGATGAAGAGGGGAGAAACTGATGAGATGGGTCGGAGCATTGCTAGGGCGTTTGGATTGCATAGAGGTTGGGTTTGTAGGGTGTAAGGGATACTTTTAAGAATCAATGAGAGATATCAAGATTGAGATTGGGATCGAGTTGAGGTGAAGTGAAGCCAGTGCTTGCATTTCACGCAGCATCGTTGGTATATCAAGGCCTTTCTGGCGCTAGGAATTGCAGTATTGTTTCAATCTCCCGTTGGTGTATCGTAGTCTCCTGGCGTCCTTGACTGTACTGTCTATACTCGCACTCATGCGACCCGGTGCCGCGTAGAATCACTTCAAAGGAGATGAAGATCGAGCTGGCATTAGAGATTGCAGTGCATTAGCTCCATCGAGGCGTCGTTGGCGCTAAGGATTGCACACATCATCACACCCCATCAGAGGCTTAGACTTGTAGCCGAGCTTTTGTTGGACGTTTAGCTCGGTTCGGCACGCAAGTGAGTGATGCAGGACATTGACGCTACTTCTGGATTCGCTGTATGTACTAGAAATGGAGACGAGGTCTTGTTGGCGCTGAGGATTGCAGTGCGACTGGCCCGGGGTGTTGTTGAGAATACTGCCTAACTGAATGTAGTGAGGGACCAACTACACGCGCAGAGCCTTGGATTTGATATGGCATTTCATTGGACGCACGGATTTGTAGAGGGTGTGGGTGTTGTACGATGTTAGCTTTATGGCATGGTTGACATGATCCTGCGAGCACTGCGGGGAGGATTCGAGCGCTTGTTCTGATTATACTCTGTCTACTATCGGGGATTGGCTGACATGTTCTATGCAAGCCTGGGTACATCCAATGGCTGATCAGCGCTGAAGAAAGTGGTGTAAGTGGCTTGAAGTCCTACAGCCTTGAGAGAAGTACATTTTGAAAACGTTGTTTGGACAACGTCCAAATGTACATCCATTTGCTGTATCAAAGAGGCTACAGCTGATATATCACACTCTACTTACGTACACAAGCACTAAACAGGCGAAGACATTTGCCAGTTATGATACTGAGTCCATATCCTCCAGAATCGGTTCGACTACGTGGATCAAAGCACGCAGTGGGGTTTCCGGGGCTGCAATTATATAATTCGCTGCATGCGTCTCGTATTAGTACAAGATGCAGGCTTGTTTGTCACGGCATTAGCTTCGGAGACCTATGTTTCATTGTGCCGAATCAAGCCCTCGAGCTTGGTGCATTGGTATAGAATCGCGTCAACCCGTCGGGAATACGATGTCAGACATAGTCTTCATCGTTGGCGATATGAAGCTTCTTGGACATGGCCCCAACTGATGCAGTGCCTTCCTGGCGCTTAACACGATGGACAGTGATACAGTGTCAGGGGACATGCAAAGACGATCGTAACACCAGTGCCGCCCCATTTTTTCCGGTCAACACAACACTGTTGCACAACATCAGCTCATGAGAGCCCAGGATCATCCGATAAGGCAAATGGTCGTCAACAAACTTCGGGATTGACAGAGCAGTGGGTGTCTCGGGACGGTGCTTATGCTAATACGGTATCGTCCTGCCCAGTTGAGAATTGCCATATATGTGCCTCCGCGGCGCCGCAACTACCTTAAAGCCAATCGCAGGAGCTAGTGAAGTCCTCATGATGTCGCGTGCTATCTGCGTTTCATCAAAAGCCAAAGGTCTTACCTAAATCAATCACGGAGGTAAGCGATCGAGCGCGAACTCATTCATCAAGATCTCCAGATAGAGCTGCGACTTACTCTAGGAAGTCTTTTAACTTTTCTTACGACAGCTGTAAGTAGAACTTCTCTATGCTAGACTAGCAGTACGAGTTTGCATGCGAGTTTTCGAAGCTGCTAATTCTCTCCTTTTCTGCAACATGAGAGCGCTGGTCGACCGCTGCGAATCGCTAACTTAATCCCGGTGGTGTGCCACGTTGGCATCACTCCATCACTCCCAACACCACCTCACTGCCTCGCAGCTGCCCCAAAACCTTCTAAATACATCTCTAGGCCCTACATATACCGCCTATGGTTGCAAGAAGGTGTAAAGCCCGAGACGCGCGCTTCTTGTCCTTTGCAAGCCTGCAGGCTTGGGATTCCCCGCTTCGGGTATTGGGTTCGTGGTTGACCGGCACTTGCAGCTAATCAGACTGGAAATCTCCACACCACCACCACGACCAGCAGGACATGCGATAGGGCTGCGGCAAGATCTGACATGCATTCGAACGTCAATCCCGAGCCGCACGGCAGATGGGGCGGACCGAGATGGGTGACTTGGGGCCGGGGTGGGTGTCCATTGGCTTTCATCCTTCCTTTTCTCCATTCACCGAGACACACTCTTTCCATCTTAACCCGGGCTGGAGAGATCAGATAACATGAAACAGGCATCGCGACGCCGCAATGCGACATAGCATGCTGACGAAGTGTGATGTCCAGAAGACGAGGCGTTCGTTTGTATGTTTCGACCACAGCCGGCAATCAAGTTGCTTCCATTGCGAGAGCTGAGTTAGCCTTTTTACTATGACTGGGCCATGCTGCCAGGATGAATGCTGATGCAGTGTCGTTGCACAGGGGAAAGCTGGTGCGCGCTTTGCGAGGCTCTCGAAGGGCGGAGTGCCGTGCCATGGAGACCTGCAAGGCGACCGAAGACTTCAAGCGCCGGTCTTTTGGTTGCATCATAATCTAAGTCCAGTCATATCGTTGTGTTATCTTTAGTCTGCCACTCTTTCGATGTGGTGGTGTGTCGCCGTATGGCTTTGGCACTGACTTTTGTAAGCAAGTTGCAGCGACCTATGGTCCCCGTTGCATATAAGCTGGGTAGAGCTCACTCCCTGAGTAGAATCCACTCTGCATTCTTTCTGAGTATTCACCCTTCTGTCTCACGCTTTACGATCACGAAAGCTGGTCCTCACTTCTCTCCACCACGCATCTAGGCTTACCCGAAACAGACTAGCACAATTCCTTCCCATTAACTTCATTCCAAGATGTCGACCACCAACGCTCGTGGATATAGCTCTTTCTACTTTCACATTGCCTATAACCCTGAACTTGGCAACTTTCGACGTTTTGCGGCTTACTGGGCCAAGAGAGTGCACGACGAGACTGCTGAGCTGAGTGCTTGCATAGCGAACCTTGACAGAGAGATCAAGAGATTCCCCCACTTGGACGCCCAAACAGTCTTGGACTGTCCCAAACGAACCTTCCAAGAGGGTTGCCCAGATACTCAGGATCAGTACAAAAACGTGAACTCCCGATGGAGAGAATACGACGAGGCTCTCATGCGTTATGGTGCGTTCGCCAGCACTTGTGCTGCTCAGGTGTTCTTGGAAGCTACATATCACTAACGTTACCACCTTTAGGCGAAGTGTTATGTATGAGTGAGCGCATCATGAACTTTCCTACACAAGACAAGTTCAATACCAAAAAATTGCGTTATTGGACATCGCCGCATTACAAGCCTCTCTTTGACCAGGACGAGTTCGTTCCAACGGGGGAGCCGGCGAAGACGTACAAAGACGATCCAGAGACTACCGATACCTGTGCTTGGAGAGCGTTTGCTCATGACGACTTTTTGACGAACCGGTTCTTGGAGCTTATCCCGTGGATTGACGAGCAAATTCTTGATCGTTGGCGGCGACTCCGTGTTCGTGGCGTCAAACATGGCGAAGCTCAACTCCCATCAACTTTGCACTACAAGAAGATTGTCAGAACACTGGATACCTTGACCTGTGCGCTCGCATCAGGTGTATTGGTGATTACTATCGGCGTACTTAAGGTCGTTCGGCCTTGGTCTATACGCATCATACTCACGTGCATTTTCGGGACGTTGTTCGCCATTCTTCTGAAAATAATGGCTGGAAGTTTGACGAGAGGAGAGGTCTTCACCGCGACAGCAGCCTTCTACGCCGTCGCAGTGGTCTTTGTCAGCAATACAGATAACAACTACGCGTGTCATTGAGAAAGGAGTGTTCCTTTGATGAGCAGGCAATGATGGGACGTTGGATTGCCCAATGAGAGGTGCGTGCGCGCTAGTCTCATTGAGTCTTAACCACATACGGTGAGCCACTCAGTCATTTCTATTGTCAGCCTTATTTCTGCTTCTACCGCTCTGTTTGCTTCTTGGCCGCTGCGAATGTATTGTCGTTCAATTATAAAAGAAGCGTGTATGTGCTGGTTGCGTACACTATCAAACCCACTCGCACGGTCCGTCACATCTCCCTTCAGCAGAAAGTCTCATATTCGCTGGCTACATATGGCATAACGCAGATTGGCCGATGGAATCATCCTTCAGCTTGCTGCACACCGCCTCCTTCCCTTACCAAAGCCTACAACACCGCATACCCACGCGACACACCTTGTCATGCCGATCTCTCAACGGTCAGAGATGAAAGCTGCATCCAGCTCTGCAAAGCCGGCGAACTATAATCGCGGAGGCTGCAGGTATACTTCACAGCTTTGAAGCGGCGGCGATCGGTGTCTCTGTCAACTAGGCCTGTTGTCAAAGACGACTGAAACCGTACCGCGCGTTGATCATCCAGGGCTTCTCAGCTTGGCGCAGCAGGTCTAGTCTAACATCCCGGCATGCCGGCAGGTTTTGAACGGGCCCGGAAGTTCAATGGTATCCCCGTCGACGCGACGAAGAAGCGCAGGCGACCGCATTAGTATTAGACGCGGAGCCTTGAGACAGCCTCCCACAACAAGATGCATACAAATAGCCCAGATGCAAAATTGGCATACTACAGAACCCGACAGTTTATTCCTCTCGTTGCTCTCGACCAAGACTCTACCTAGTTTGCCCTATCAATATGGCAGGAACCAAGTTAATCTTGATGTCACGTCCTGGCCTGATGGGTATGATACATCCACAGCAAGGGACGATTTCGTGCTAATGTCTGGAAGCACCATTCGAACCTGAGCGTCTCCCGATCTCTAGATTATCGAACAACCCGCCTCCGGTAATGGCTTCCGCAGCACCAGCACCGGAGGCCCCAGCAACCCAATCTCCAGGGGCCGCGACACCCTCTCCGGCCACCAAGGTCTCTCGAGCGCCGAACAGCAACTGAGTCACTCCTCCCAAGCCACTCCGTAGCTGCGCGAGTTCCGGCCCCTGACGCAGTATGATCAAGTTTTAGTCTACCCATGGCTTCACTAACAAGTCGCAGATTTTGCAATGGCATTCAATATCGGGAGGAGTCGAGAGTTCACATCGTTAGTGATATCACGGTCCCTTCTCATAGATATCTAGGCTGGGATGATGTAGAAGCAAAGCATGCCTCAGATCTATAATGTAGACTGTCACGAAGACCTCGAATGAAGCACGAAAAGAATGCATGTACTGTTGGAATGGTTTTACATACATAACTACAACATAAATATGCCTTCCCATAACACCTCCGAAGGGCCAGCGATATCGTTATGTGCAGAACAAATATGGCATAACGAGTTAAAAAGCCAAATTTCCTAGATTGTGTATCTGCCCGAAATCGACAGACGTCGAGGATGACGCAGACAGAATCCTACGTTGATTACACTGTGTGTCCACTTGCTCACCTTCCAGTGTAACCGCAGAGAGCCACCGCGACTGCCACGAGCGCTGGCCGATAGCAGCCATCTTCAGCACCTGCTAACACAAAGAGGTGTGGGCTTGCTGCACAAAGGATGAATTTTCCGAGCAGCTGAGAGATGCCCAGCATGACCCACAGACCGGTTTGTCGCGCAGTGCGTGGCCTCGATATACCGCGGAGATTGCTGGTGTCTTCCTGGGTGATGTTCTGTACCTTGACTATCAGAAAATCTTCCTTGAAGATGATGATGACGACAACAGAGTAAAACTGTATTCACAACACAGGTCGTGTGACGCAACCCTAGGAGTGCTTGGAATAGGAAACATCTCCAGTTCGTATAGGTCCGAAAATCACCAGACAAAGCTCGATCTAGTAGGCCATTCCATGCGCCATTGTGGGTATGAGGTATTATAGGCAACATCGATGTCGTAAGAGGTCGAATTTACGGGTCGTTACGAGCTCGGTGGGTATTGACGCGATCGTTCGGTTGGTGATTATCTCGGTAGTCCACTGCGGGAAGTAGGGTTGTACCTTGAGCGGCAATGCGGTCAACCCGGCTTTGTATGTCCGATATGGGTAGTGTGACCGAGATCAATTGAGGAAGGTACCTATGGCCTTGGAGTATTTGAATCAGCAATCCCCTTCTTGAAATTCGCAGTAAGACCAACGGACACTCGTGAACAACGCGTGAATGCTGTACTTACACGCTGACCCTTGAAGAGACATCGGTGGCTAATTGTGCTGTCCTGCGTCGTATGCGCAGCAATGGATACCAGGTCCTGACCGTCGAAGAAGAGATGGTAACGATCAAGGCTTTAAAATCGCCCGAAGAAGATAAGAGACGAAGTCAGGAGTAGGCGAGGCGGAAACAAGACAGCCTCGTGCTTGAACACAGATTGGCGCCTCGATAAGGCAACGGCGTACTTTGGCAAGGCAAATTAGGTCATGTGCACGCAGCTGGACTGGACGAGTTGGACCTAATCACCTGGTGCAAACGGCTATTTCTTTGGACATTTGGACAGTCTTTTCCGTCCCCATGACTACACTGTTGTAGTAGCTACGTGGTCGGAACGCTCTTCAGCCTATGATAAGGTCCAATGCGCAGCAAGACTGAATCTTTCTTGTGGTCTCCTTCGAGGAGAGGGAACACGGGGAGCGGCCAAATCAACATGGGCCGTACCGTTCGTCTGCACTCCGCACATTCGAAACGCGACAGACGCAGGTCAATATGCGGAGACAGCCCTGCTACTGCCAACCACCTTTGAAGCACGCCGACCTCGCGTCGAAACCGCTCCCGCATTCCCAACGGAATGTACTGGAACCATGGGCACACTCTGGCCAATCATTCGTACACTGGGAGCCGAGCTCTTCAAGCGACTGCACACTTTCAAAACGTCCTTCGCGAAGCTAACCCGAGTTCTCTCACCGGTGGCTGTGTCATGGGCGTAATGATCAGAATGACGCTCGCGATGCCCGTTGGCATACCACATGGAGGTCCCTGCGCGTGATGTGGCGCTGACCCCCGGTATGAAGGACCACGCTACAATCATCTCAACAGTCTGGATAACTGCACAAATTGTGCAAAATGTACTGATTCATCCTTCATCTGTTTTGAGGCGCAAGCGTAGGCAAAATGCTAGGTCATTCAGTATCTGCTTTGCACCGAATGCGCTTGCGATACCATTCGCCGAAGACACCACCTACAGCTTTGTTCAACTTCACCACGCAAGACCGAGGCCAAGCCGCTTTGTCTAAGATGATATGCATCGGGCCGGATCCTCTAAGCGACGATCCATTGCCTGACCTGCATTTCCTTGACCAAGGGGTCGTTGTGGGGTGCCTGAGGCAGTTGATAGGCAAAAATAATATCCAATCATCAATCTCTTTTGATTTGGTCTCGACGTCATCGCGCCTTTGGCGGTGTGCTCAACGATACGTGCTGGCAGTTCAGAGCTGAGATGGTCTGCTTGGAAAGGGTGGTTCGTGTCGTACCGCCTAGAAGGCGTCGTCCTGGGTGATGGCCCCCGCCAAGCGCTTGAGTGGCTCTTGGGCTAATCGACACTTGCTGCCGTTTTGGAAGCCCACTCGAGATCTTGATGTCAATGCAAAAGCACTCGCAACGAGGCATCCTCGCGCGTTCATCTACTACCAGTGCACCTGAGCAGCCTGTCTTCGCAAGCTGCTCACTAATCGAGCTATGGCCTGCTCTTTAGGTTTGGCCGGAAGACGAAAAGGTATGGCAGGCGCCGTGTGATAATGCTATAGCTCTCTTTTTCTTCATTTGTCACGAGTTTAGGAGTGGTAGTCGTTTTCCTCTGAGGCCAACACTTCTTACTAGTTATGGTGATTTAGTCATTTTTCCGTCGAGCAGAGTCCCTGCAAGTTTGATATTCTCGACTTCAGGGACCATAATTTCTGCTTCGTAGGTAAGCGAGGTATGAGAGCAATCGCACTGCAGTGGTTGAGGTAGTAAAAGACAGCCTGGCTCCCAAGGTCGTGTCTGGAAATTGAACGGGGAGAAAACCGAAACTATCGGATGTGACGAATCAGGGTTGTCTCCAAGGCCATACTGTTGTAAATCCAAGCTTGTTTTGTGTCATGACAACTGTCTTGTTGAGAGATCAAAGGGCATTTGACGTTAGCAAACACCTCGAGATGCCTCACGTTGCCTCACAATTGGGAGCTGCTCGCTATCGAAGGCTTCAGACTTGCGCCCTTGCGTACTTTGCTGTTCGTGAAGTCCTTTCAGGGATGTAGGCATGGTAAGTTCCAAGGAGTGGCAAGACGTGAGGTCTGATACGATTGCGATGGTGATTGGTGAGCTGTTTTAGCGCACCCAACCCCACGTTCCGAGGACGTTAGGCTGAAACCCGTTAGGGTATTAACTGATGCAATATAGCAAGACAGCAAGTATGCGGACGTGTGCAGATTCATCATTAGTCACGGCATGTCCACATGCGAAAAGTGAAATACATACATCGTCTTTGCAAAACTTAGCACTGAGCTGGGAAGGTCTACGAGTGCCATATCACTCTACAGATACTGTGTACACTTCATACCAATCCAATACTTAATTGAAAACGTGAAAAGCCGCGGACAACCAATCTTGTCCCTTCGGAAGTCCTTCATCTACATCTGAAGGAGGGAACACTCCCTGCTCATGCGGAATGCATGCCTCGCATCAGCGTGACCATGAAAACCGAAACATGATCAAGTTCCCACGAAAGAAACTCTACCTGGGTATATCCCTGCATTATTCTTGCACATACACCACTTACGCAGTACCTATGATACAATAGAGACACTCCGTACCAGCGAGACTCGCGATCGAGCTTGAACAGTGTCTTCCTTCGCCGCGACAATTCTGCTCGCTACATATCTGATCTAACCTCACTGGCTCTCAAGAGATGCAGAAAACAAATGTGTACTTAGGACCTGGCGCTGAAGAAGATAACGGCTGTCAGGAATTACACGGAACGTTGACGTCATCCCGTCACCCACTCCCACCCTACGCACTCCACACATCTCCTACACATATACCTCGCCCAGCACACAAGCCCTTGGCACCTTCCCTACTCTAACCCTAATCCCACCTCCAACCCGTATCCCCATCATGTCCGACCCAGCCCAAGTCACCCGTTCGCTCTCCACCATCCGCACCGAGCTAGACTTCCTCGCCTCCTCCGGTATCCTCCTCCCGCCACAATATCAGTCCATTCAAGCCCAACTGCCCGTATGTCTCTCCCTACAGCATGACTCACATATGCAGCTAAGGTGAGGGTTAACGGTGAAATGTGCAGCAAAACGGCCAGCCATCCGGCTACATCGACCCGAAATACGTATCTGGCAGAAACCAGTTCAACCCCGCGTTAGTCGCGCAGCAGGCGCAGGATCCGAATAATCCTGCGCATCCGGGACATCCTAAGGTGAGTTCTGCGTGCAACTTGGCTGTTCAGTGAAGGCGTCGAGGATGAATTGAAACTAATGGTGATTGGGTAGCATCACGAGTGGGCGAGTAAATTAGCGCACAAGTTTGGGAATGCGGCGGTTATGGGGGCGGGGGCGACGTTTGGGGCAGATCTTGTGAACGATGCTATGAGGAAGTTTTAGAGGGGGTGGCAATTGAAAGTGGGCTTGGATGGTGTGAAATGTATAGGGTATTGCTGTTGAGGTATCATCGCATCTATATGAGAAATGAAATGAAAAGAGGAAAAAAGTCCAAAGACGCCATCCTCATGCAACCCCTATCCAAACTCCCCAAGCCGTCTATTTCAAAGATCCCATTCGTTCCCTTCCAAAAGCAAATCATGTATAAAGCGGGGCTCCCCACCCTCTCAACAACCCCAACCACTCCGCGCTCCTCCTCGTCCCCTCTGCACACTCCAGCACCGTCCACATTCCCTGCTCTCCCGCGGGCTGCGCCTTACAATTCAACACCAAACTCTTCCCATCCACAACACCCAACTGCAACAAGCGCTCCATACCGATGTAATTATCCCTTCTAATCGCCGCCAGGATAGCGGGAAGCTGGGGCCGGGGTAACGCGAAGCCTGCATCCCATGCATACACCATATCGATGATGTCGAGGTAATTGGTTTGTGTTTCGGCGTCTTCAGGGAGCGGAAGTAACATGTCCCAAATGGCAGGTAGGGCGGCCACTTCGTTGCGTGATGCAGCTGCGGAGATGTAATCGAGCAAGACGCGTACGCAGTCTTTATTTGTTCGACTTATGGCAGTATCGAGCGCGGCGTATGTGAGTTCAGGCGCGAGGGGCAGCATTTCCGCGAGCATAGCTGTTCCTGTCTCGCCACCTTGATGCGCCGCGAATTGCAGTACGTTCATATCGAACGCGGGATCTCGGGGATGAGCACCGGCACGCAGCAGGACGCGAGCGGTTTCGAGTTTCTCGAGCGCGATGGCGGTGGCGAGGGGTTGGGCTTTTGTTTCTTTCTTATTGCGGCGGAAGGAGATGACTTCTTTGACGAGTTCGGGGCGGGATTGGGCGATGAGGTCGACGGCTTGGGATGCGTTTGCTACCAGGGCACGGGCGAGAGGTGTGCGTTTACCGATATCGTTTGCGGTGTGTTGGGCGAGACTGACGTTGAAGCCTTTGTCAATGAGGAGGCGGAGTATGCGGAGCGCATCTTCTGGCCGCTGTTCCCAGGTGTCTTTGGTGAGTGCGTTGACGGGAGAGATGTATCGCGTCATGCGGTCTTGATATTGCAGCACTTCGTCTTCCTTTTCGTAATCTTGAGGTGAGCTGTTTATGCTCAGCAGAGCTTCAACAGCATCTGCCCAGCCAGCTCGCACAAAGCATGCCATTGCTGAATACTCGTATGTGGTTTGCCATGGTCGATGCGCGAATTCGGCACTCTGAAGCTCACTCCTGTTGTCGAACACCCCTGACACGGACATTGTCGGATCGAACTTTGAACTCTGCATGATTACTCTCAGCACGCTAAGTCCTTGATCTTCGTTCTTCCAATGGGATATGCCGTCCATCACACTCGTCTTGGCAAGCCTCAAATGCTTCTCGTTCCAATACTGCTGTGCGTCATCCATTTCCCTTGGCCATTGCTCGATCATCGGATTCGCGCCATAAACGACGATAAGAACGCTAACTAGTTCAGCATGACCTTTATACGCGGCACCGAGCAAGACCCGATCCATTGGTGTGAACGCGCTCTTTTTCTGTGCTTCGCCATAGGTAGCTCCTTTCGAGAGCAGATAGTCCACGACCCAAGCATGTCCACCAGCGGTCGCTTTAGCTAATGCTTCATGTTTCACTTTCTTCATCTTTCCTGTTGAGCGGTAGATTGGATCCGCGCCGAGGTCAATAACGGCCTCGACCATGTCCAGATTGCCCTCCTCCGCGGCATCCTCCAGAACAGTCGTGAGAGCTTCTTGTGAATGCGAAGGATTGCTAGTAGGCTTCGTGGTATTCGATCGTCTCAACGAAAATCCTTTCTTTACCGGACCACCCGATGTACGACTAGATGTTTCCTCTGCTCTTTCAAGACGCCGCAGGACTTCGGCGTGTGCTTCAGCAGGGCTCATTTCCACATGGTTTTGTTCGAGAACACCCGATATTGAAGAGTCCGGATACGCCACTGATATCCTGCGGCGCTGCTCAAAGGGACTACCCGGCGTTGATGAAGATCGCGCACTGTTCATACTGCTCATGGTGTTCATGCGTCCTAGAGTGGTGGGTGGATGTCTTGATGTTGAAGAGATGGTTCTGCCCAGGACCTGAGAGGGATTGCCCATGTTGAGGTACTGCATCTGATCGCGCAGAGCATCTTCGTCAGTTCTCGCTCCCATCGATTGCGGTGGACTTGGTGGCATCGTGTTGGACCGCTGAAATCTCAATGGCTGCGGCGAGGACGAAACATGCTGTGATCCTGATGTCCGAAAGGCGGGATGCAGATGGTGTTGAGACGTCGGAGACGTGGGTGATGTAGGAGGCTGAGGGAATTCAAGAACGTATCTATCTGCTGCATGTTTCCTCTGCCTGAAATTGAGTGGTGCAGGTACTGCGGATGGTGTTTCGTAGCCGACATTTGCGTGTCGGTACCGTGAATGCATGATGTTCTCTGCGGAATGGAGAATACGGTGGCCTGCAAACGGAGGTGTATGAGAAAGCTCGGGGCTCTCTGCTTCTTTTGTTGAATACCCTTGTCTCATGGCGCGATGTGTCACGGGAGGAGTGTGATTGGATTGTTGATACGCAATTTGAAGACCTTCTGCTTCCGTTCGGTATGTGGGGTGATTTGCAGCCAAGTTGTACGAGATAGCATGCTGAAGGCTCGAAGACCTGGGTTGCCTACCGAGGTCCATGTCAGTAAGCAGAGACGCTGACAGTTGCTGTATCGTCTCGGTGGCCATTTTCGCCGGCGCCAGGTAGTTGTAGGACGGGCCGCCATGGAAGCTTGTATATTCGCTATGCCCATCGGCATACTGCATCTCTTCTTGTGCGTGAGATTGTTGCATCCTGAGCGATTCGTGCGAAATGGTGTTCTAGCTCAGCCGTGGAACCTAATGATAACTCGTAGATCGAGCCCACAGGGCTGGAATCCCCTCTACATGCGGGGCGTGGATGCAGAGTACTCTCCTCCTCGTGTCCAATGAGTGGGGCACGTGTTGGACGTGCATGGAGAGGCTCAAGCACGTTCTACAGCTCCTTCCCAAAACAACAAAGACTGGTTTGAATATTGTTAGCTAAACGCCACGCTAATGGAGAGACCCTTGGCGGGTTCCGTCGGATCGCCTCGATTAGCATCGTCTTTTGGGCCTTGACAGGCCGCCATAACGTCGGGACCAATGTTGGTAGATCCCTACCCATGCTGAGATACGAGGTTGCTGAGCGAAGCAAGACAAACGTGCGCGCAAGCGCAATTGAAGACCGGACCAATTACATCGCGCGCGGGACTCGATGATGTGATACGGACGTATTGTGTGCGCGAATTGTGGTGGTGTGGATGGGGAGGATGTCAGAACTGTCAAGTTGCATTAGGATATTCGACACGTGCCCTACGGACTAATCACACGTGCGCTATCCACAATAGCACCGCGCGTGTAACCAATGTTCCCGACAACACGGTAGTAGATACTGCAAATCGATTGGGCCAGTACGTCTATTCACGCTCTCAACAACGACGCGCTTTAACCAGTGTCATATCATCAAGTACCCTATCGCCCGTCTTCGTTTCTGCCAAAGCCTCTAAAGCTGCCAACATCCCTCTTGAAAAATTTGCCAATGTTCTTCAGGTTCTCGTTGAGATTAGCTTTCGCCGCATCACCGACACTACCGTCAGCTGCACCGGGAGCCCCTGGTGTTGGAGTGCCGAAGCGGTCGACGCCGTCTCTGGCAGCGTTTACTAGCATGTTGCCCAAGCCAGCGGGATCAAACCGGCCACCGCCGAGACTGGGTGTTCCCATCACGCTACCTGCGTTACCCAGGCTTCCGATGCCGGTGCCTATGTGGCCGGATTGTATCTGTAGCGGAGTGAGTAGAGGTGAGTTTTGCACCAGATTTTCGTGGTTTGGCGACGCGCGGAATGCACCGAACAGGTCGATCAATTGAGTTTGATCACCTTTCCGGATACCCTTGAGTTCGAGGATCTTGCGGAAATTGGTATCCGACTTGTCGGCGATGTGAATGAGGTAAGCCTGCACGAGCGCCTCAGGGGGCGAAGGACGAACTTGGAGTGTCTTGAGGAGCGGATCGATCTTGGACATGCTTTGTGTCACACGTTTGACGAAGCTATCGGAGCTGTTAGTGTGCGTCATTGTGTGAAGTTCGCTAGTAGCATACCTTGATGGTGGCGCCGTGCCAGGCTCCTCGTTGAGCGTTGGTAGCTCCGTGAAGCCCTTCTTCAGAACATATGAGTCGAGCAACATCTGTTCAGCACCAGCTTCGGCTATCGGCTTGCACTGAACAATGTTCGCAATATACGTCGAAGCCATCAAATCCACGAGATTGTCGCAGAATGCTCGTGCATACTGTTGCTTGTGCAGGTATTTCAGAATCTCTCCGGACGTCTCCTTCACATTGCGCAGTAACTCTGACACATAAGTGCTCTGGTCGCCCACACTCTCTAACTTTGCCCACGGGGTATTGCGCATCTCACGCCAGCTAGGCTCACACGCGATCTCAACTTTGCGAACAAGGATGCGGACTGTAGCGCTAGCAATGCCCATGAAAGCATCAGCCTGGCTTTGTAGGTCTACCTTTTCCTTTAGCTCCTCATCAATACGCCCCTTGACCTTTTCCTCAAGCTGGTTACAGGTAACATAGCAATAGTCGGCCGTGTTGAGTATGAGTATAGCGTCTTCGATGGAAGGACCTTGAATCCCAGACTTTTCGCTCAAGAAGTAGTACAGGACCTGCTGAGCATATTGCTCCAAGTACTTCGCAAACGTTGCAGAGAGTTCTTGTAGTCTAGTTCCGGTGGAGAGCTTTGCACACTGTGCTAGAGTGAGACGGTAGAAGTTGAATAGCTCGGTGGACGAAGGTATAACGGCTTGGTGAGAGAACTCTTCTTCCGTGTTGCGAAGCGGTTGCTGCCGATACTTTGGCATAAGTGCGGCGAGTTGCTTGTCCTGGGATTCGACCCAAAGACTCATGTACGGCTCAAAGGCTTCTGAGATGGCTTGACTGAAACCAAATGGCTTGTCATCTTTGGTGTCCATGGTATCGATGGAGGCGCGGGACTATGAAATGTCAGTACATTGTCTTCAAAAGGATTGAGTCATGACCGTACCTCGTTCGCGAATCTTCGTTCTAAACTCTGCTCGAAGTTGAGCGTTTCTTGTAGGCAGGAAAGTAGAAGGTCGACGTCCAGGGTCTGCCCATCTCCTCTTCGCATTGAGCGCTGCAGTATAGCCTTGAAGTCTTCTCGTGTGCCTTCACAGAACGAGTTGGCCAGCATCTCGTTCACCCGCCAGTAGGACGGGAACAAGGCAGCATGCTCGACATCGTATGTCTTCATCATACGGTTGAACCAAGAGTATCGTCTGGATATATTGTCCAAGGACCCAGCCTGTGCGATGGTCAGCAGCTATTACGCGTGCACCAGGGCTGTAGTATTTACTTCGTCGTTCCCCCTGAACACTTGACGGTATTCTCGCAGCTGCGTGTTGCAGTACCAGTTGATCAGGCGCGTCCGCGCATGATCGCCAAGCGAGTCCATGACCAGACATGCCTCTGCGAGCATGCCTTTGCGCTGCGCAACCTCTCCCTTGGCAAAGACCACCTCGAAATCCTCGCATATCTGCTCCAACAGCTCGCTTTGGAGGTCTGCTACGTTGCGGCTCAGCGTCGCAATCTGGTCTATTGACCTGTAGCTCTTGAAATGAGCAACCAGCTGAATTACGGCCTGCAATAACTGTGCGCACTCTCTGTATTGTCGCGACTTGCTCAGACTGCGCAGTTGTTCGTATGCCGTCGTCAACATTTGCAACCGCTTCAAAGCCGTCATAGATAACGTGAGGTTCTTCTTGGTGCTGTCCAAGCGCTTGATGTCGGCTGTCATCTCGGTGATGGTCTGCTCTGTCTGCATTGCCCGTTCCCGCACCTCCTCAATTGTCTTGAAGAGGTCGGCCAGCTCTGCCTTGGCTGCTTGTATACGCTGCACGCTGTCGGCATCGGAAGCCGACTGCGAGGCGACAACATTGGCGATATCCTCGTCCAGGTCATCTTGATAGCTGCGGAGCGCCTCGGAGGTGGTGGTCACAGATGAGAGGGTCGATGGGTGGTAGAATATGGCGTTTAGATGGTCGATAGGGTCGTAGTCGGCTGCGTTGAGCGTTAGTGCTCCGTCCATGCCCATACTTGTGTGCGATCGGGGCTGTCTATGTACCAGAGTCAAGTTCGGAGGGCGGAGTCGCAGGCATGAGAGAAGGTGGAGGGATGCATCAACCTGCGTGCGCTCACGCTTCGCGACTGGATTCGTCGCAGAGTTGTGCAATGCTGGGCGTTGAATAGGTGGGTATCAGGAAGCACGGTCACGACACGTCCGATTTAAACATGTATGTAGCTTGCTTGACTGACAATTCGCAATCTTCGTGTGAAGCTCGCCCGATGATGTGGTGTTTCCGCTGTCAGGGTCCCAAGGTGGGTCCAAGCTCAGCGCCAAAGTTAGCCAGACATGTTCACGACAGAAGTACACGAGACGTCACCAGAGCATGACTTGAGTTCGATTTCATGGTCAATTAGCACATCGGACTCATGTGCTATGCTGATATGCCCAACCTTTCTGCTATGTCCTCGCTATACACTCCCTATTGCGGGAACAGACCCAAGAAACCATTGTAGACCAAACTGCGGTCCTTTTGCGTGAGCGAGCTTGCATCCCCCGTACCTGTCCAGTAGAACAGCCCACCAAGCGCATTTTGTCGCACGTAATCGGCCTTCATCCGGACAGTCTGCGGTGTATCGTAGGTAACAAAGCCTCCGTCACCGCCCATGCAGTAAGCGGCACCGACTCTCTCGTCCACATGTTCAGTCGCACCGGGTCGGGGCAAGTCGCGGTACTCAAAAGTACCTTCTTCTCCAGCCTGTCCGGAGAATCCGTGGCCTACGCCTTTTGTTCCCGTGAAACTTCGACCGTACGCGGGAACACCGAGGACAATCTTGTGAGTTGGCACTCCCTGGCGGACCAGGTATGATACAGCGGAGTGACCGGATATAGCTGCTTCAGGGCTGTGTGGAATCTGGGGAGTGAAGAGCTGGGCTTGGTGGCCACATTTGCTGGTCCATGGGCCCGAATAGTCGTAAGCCATTAGATTGATCATGTCGAGGTAGTGGGCGGCATGGCCGAGGTTGATATGCTGAAGTGCCCATTCCCCAGCAGGAAGAGCGGTTGAGAGAGTATATTGTGGGCCAGGCAAAAATTGACGAAGGTCTGCCAGTAAAGCGATGAAGTCCTGACCTTGCTTAGAGTCTGAGGGGTGCTCCCAGTCGACTAAGTACATTTAGCATGTATCCGTACGAGTAAGGAGGCTCAGACCATCACTTACTATCGATCCCGTCGATTCCGAATTGTTGCACCAAGCCTAACGCGCTCTGTGCGAACTGTTGTCTTTTGGCAGGATCTGCAGCCACTCCAGCAAAAGGCTCGCTGCCCTTACCACCGCCACCAACGGAGAGAACTACTCGGAGCTTTGTATACTTCCTTTTCAGTAAGGCAAACGAGTTCAGGCACCCTTTGGTTGCAGGGACATCTCCTGCGCCGGCTACGTCAATTTGTGCGTCGGCCCACTCATCGCTGAGCTGTAGGACGTTACTCGAGTCTCTTCGTACCAGGAGGCTTACATACATATACCGTTCCATCATCTTTCACCCTGAGAGATCGTCAGTATTCTGAATCGGTCCAAGTAGTGTCTGACTTACCATGCAAAAGCGTAGAACACGTGAGATATCACATCGTAGTTTAACGATACCGGCGGCTGGTCCCGGTAGATCCGCCAATTGGGGTAGTACACAGCGTTCCAGTACATAGCTTGCAAAGGTATCGAAAATGTGGTGTTGTGATCAATGTGGTGGGGATCGAATGTTCGGCGCATTATGTAGGTAGTCGTAAGCTAACGCCCTAGCTGCTTCTTTGGTCTCCTGCACGTCAAAACACCATGCAAGTGCAGCCGGATTGCCGAATCTCTGGAAAGAAATAAAACGAAGAATATCAAGACTTCTTTGTAGTTACAGCTCTTGAATCCTGAGAATTACGAGAGCTATTTTTGGTAAGTCTTGTCGCACTGCAGTCATTGCATGTATCTCGCTTCATTGTGCGACTGCGGAGGAGCCGCACTAGGGTGCTTCATGGTGTACACTGCTTTATTGGTTTTGTTTGCAGTCCTGAAACGGACATACACCGCGCGTGTACAGAACTATAAGCAATCAAAAGTCGCATGAGAGCTACAAAGGACACAATGTCCGGTGGTTGCAGTAGTACTAGCGAACGGCTAAGTTGGTACAAGAAGCGTGAAGGATTTGAGGAGTCGATTACCTTCCTTACCTTGCAATTGAGAATGAAGTGCAGCCGATTGTCTTGTGCTGTGAAACGATGATGGTGATCTTCGTGACTGCTCGACCGGAATCATTTTCGCATTACTGGTCCACCAGACGCCCAGCATTGATGGCAAATCTCTCCTATCATGTGCAGTAGCCTTCACGGTTACGGGGCAAACAGGATGAGATCCAGTGCTATGGTTCGGCATGCCGCTTCCCGAGCCGTTGAGAGAAACAATGGCATGAAGTTCATTCAACAAACCATAAGCTTTAATATTGGTCAATACACGGAAGCGGAAGCATACAAGGATGTGTATATGTATCTAGTCACACAACCAGGACCAGCTTCTTTGTGCATGCCTGTCAATAAGCTTCCGCGAAGGCTGTATACGTGTAAGTGATATGGCTGTATGGTCGACAACAAACCATACTGGATGCGATTGAGGAGTCAAGTAAATTGTGATATTATTGAAGCGTTCTTGTGTGCTTATAGGAGCCCACTTGGGAACATAGCGAAAGGATCGAGACATGCTGGTTTAAGACGCTGCACATGGCACAAGCGTTTGTATAGGCTTGGGTCTGTCGGCACATCGGCGCGAGAAATCTCGAATGATGCGAGCTGCAAGCAAACACGGATCAGGCTGTGGTTCCACTTGTACGCAACAAGGATCTGATGAGGTGCATGATGAACAAGCGCTGCCGACAGATGGAGGCGGTTGACCTTACGTAAGCACGCTAATCGAGCTGCACGTGAGGTCGCGTACCGCGACTGTCAAGCATTGATGCATCACCAACTTCAACAATTACAGGCAACCTACCCTATTGCGAACCACAACATTGACCCGTGGGAAGCAATCTACAGAGTGTTTCTCACACTATATCGTTTCAGAGGTCTCAGCACTCCCATCGAAGCCATACGTCGTTCCTTTGACAACCTATCTGGGAACCGTTTTCAAAGCTCACGGTTCAAGCGCAAGGACGGCAACAGGCACCAAAATCTCCTCAGCAAGCATGGCCGAAGTGCAGGCTCGGTCAGTCTCAATGGCACCCGACCAGGATGTCGAGAAGGCGGGGCAGCCCATGTACAAGTTCAACTTCAGTGAATTCCTCAGCCGCGAATACAGATTTGGTCTGGATCCCAACAGGCCAGCATGCAAATTGTATGTACAAGGCCACTGTCCGCACGGGAGCCGGTGTCCTGATCGGCATCATGTAGTCTCGTCCTACAACAAGTACGTGAACTACCCTTTGAGCCTGTGAAGCCGAATCTGATGCTCATATTCTGTTCAGTCTAGTGTGCAAGCATTGGCTCCGTGGCCTCTGCAAGAAGGGCGAGACGTGCGAATTCCTTCACGAGTACAACCTGCGACGAATGCCTGAATGTTCGTACTACGCCCGCACACAAACATGCTCCAACGGCGACGATTGCCTCTACCTCCACATTGATCCCGAAGCAAAGCGGCCTTCATGTCCGCACTACGATCGCGGATTCTGCCCACTCGGCCCTTACTGTGCGCTAAAACATAATAAGAAGGAAAAGCTATGTCCATTCTACTTGTGCGGATTCTGTCCCGAAGGCAAGGGCTGCAAGTATGGCGCACATGCTCGATTTCCCACAGATCTCAAGAAGCCGGAAGTCCGTATAGAAAAGAGCCCAGAAGAGCTTGAGGCAGAACGTCTGGAGAGGGAGCGCGCAATGATGAGGCGAGAAGAAGAGGAGCGTGAGCGAGATGATAGAGGCGGGCACGGCGGTGGCCGAGGGTTCAGAGGCAAATGGGATCAAAACAAGCGAGGGCGTGGGCGAGGGCGCGGCCGTGGACGTGGCCGCGGGGACTTCTAATCGACAGTGTCAGTCCACGATCATGATTTGGATACGACAATTGAGCACGAGATCTGGGCGCGCACGACCAGGCCCTTCTTTGTCCCTGAAAGATCCCGCTTTAACGAAAGAGTTACGAAAACTTCCAGGGCTTACCGGTGATACATCTCAATGTTATAATCGACCCTCCGCCGCCGCCCCGAGCGGCAGGTGGGGTACACGACCTTGATCTTAAACGAGACCATCAAGCTTCGTTAGATTCTTTCAAACCAAATTGGCCCAAGAAACCACGCATGCAAAATGGAGGGAACGCTTGCCTCATCGGACTGCCCACGAGACACGATCCACTGACGTCCAGGCATGCATGTCGCGAATGGCAGCAGGAGATAGTCGGTGGGTGTCCTGCACGACATAGTACAAGGGAAACGGTGGATCGAGACACTGTATCCATGTGGCCACAAGAACCTGGCCACGAGAACCAGACCAGCTGCTCCTTAGATCTATCCTTAGAGAGACTAGAGACTTCGTGAATAAATTTGCGGCTTTATCCGAAAGTGTCCTCGATTTCTTTAGACTATTATCGCAGTCTTGCTGCACCAGCCATATCTCAATTGTTCCGCAACTTAGAAGGATGCATTAAACAGATGATCGACATTAAAGAACAAATGACCAATGATGCGAAGTGTCCTCAGATCAATGATAGGCCGAAGTTACTAGGCGATGCTGCTCAGATGATGACATTGTGTTAAGTCGTAAACTTGATACGAGAACAGGTCAGCGTCAAACTCTGACATGCAAAGTCCGGAAGACATGGGTAATTTCTTCTACGCATATCGAAACAGGGGCTGACTGGACTGGGCAAGCTAAGGCGAGCGGGAAGACTCGTTGGACTCGAGGCCGTTTACAACTATATATGGTAGTGATGTCAATGGCGGACGCTTCGGTATGTTTGATACAGTGAATCAATGTCGATAAGTTCTGACGTACGTCCACGAACTCCAGATCTTGTGCAGACATGGTTAGAGAGAACGGCTACCACCTCGACGACACTACCGCATCTTTGACGAATAGTGATTATTTGAGGTCTTAGGGAAATGAAAGGAGGTACATCGATTGGCATTTCGAGCTGGCAAAATGTTTGAAGAGTGCGAGGAAGTCACGAAAGACTTCCTTGGAAGATTGCGGATTGTAGCAACCAGGAAGTCAAGGGAGTGTGTCACGGGTGAAAGTGGCAGGTTCAATACTTCATCAACAATGCTGTTCACGCAGCACTTCCTTATATCAGGTGGAATGCGGAGTCACCAATAAACGATCGCGTTACATGCGGGCCTAGGTAGCATCAGGTAGTCGTCACTCAGCCTGGCAACTGCGCCCCACTTATCTGAGCGTCGCCTACTCTTATAAAGCCCCTGAGTTCCATTCCTGCTCTCTATCTTTGGCAAAGTGTATGCCCTCAAGACTTGTTCCAATCAACCAGGCATTCTTTCCGACTCAATTGCTACACGATGGCAACTGCCACGGACCAAATGTACGTTACACCGCCAAACCTCTCCTTTTGTCAGTCTTGCTAACATTCCCTAGCACCGTCTCCAACGCAGCCAATTCACCTCTGCTTCGTCTCCCCGCAGAGCTGCGGAACGAGATCTTCGCCTATGTTGTCAGCCAGGGTACATGCGAAATCCCGATGGAGCGTAGTCCAGGAGGCTATAGGTCCCGTCCGATTCCGACTCCAGATCGTAAGCTGTATGGCCGTCCTTTCCGTCTAGGTCTCCTCCCGGATTGGTTTGGCCTCCTACACGCCTGCAAGTAAACCTACAACGAAGCTGCGCCTCTTCCTACACAACTGAACACCTTTACTGCTCACGAGAAAGCCGGCTTCGAACTGCTTTTCGAGTGCCTCTCACGGCTGCGCAGTCCCACCGAATCTCTACGTCTTAGAGTTGAAGTGAACCTGACGCGATCGATAGAACCACCCTATGTGGATCTGGGACGTAAAATACCGACTCTAAAGACTTTGGAACTCATGGTCGTTGAGCGTTCAATTGACTTCCCGCCACCGAATTTCCACGGCTTTCATAGTCTACAATTTGTAGATCACAGAGGTAGCGATATAGACCGGGACGCGGCACGTCTCTGGCTCACCGATGGAGCTCGGAGTAGTCTGGATGTAGTTTTTCTATAAACTGGGCTCACACAAATGGTGCGGAACGCGCGAGTTGGCTCTAGATTGATAGTAGTAGTGCGGTGGATAGGAGTTTTGGGCCACGAAAGATGGGAAGTTTACAATCACCATGTTAAGTCGTCTCATTATTCCTGGTGACCTCCCGTACTTTGACACTCACTACTTAGGTATCGGCAGATTTTAGCAACGGTTAGTACAATAATCGGACCATAGATAAATCTGCTTATGATTGGCCGATAAAACACATAGGCTTAAAGAGGAGACTGAAAGGTACGGTAGAGGGTTTGCACCCACATTAAGGGCATAAAAACTGCCTCTGCACGACTTCGTGACGGAAACTGGGCACTATCGAAGTACCTAGGTGGTTGTGTAAATTTCTATAGGTACCGTCCTTCTTATCATAGACCAGTTTTTCCAATCAAGTAAATGGTGGTGCTAGCTCATATGGGAGCTGCCTAAGAACCGTCCACCTATTCACTTCTTTAGCGCTTGCGGCAAGCATTTTTTTCTAGTACTCGCACTATATAAGCTTGATACTGCGCCTCTTGCTGATCTTCTATACAATCACCTCAACAACGTTCAATCGTCCCGACAGAATCCTCATTCAAACACCCTCAAATCAAAGTAAAGCAACAAAGGAAAGGGCTGTGGGAATGAACGAGTATGTAGTAAATCCGCAACCGAAATCGATGAAAAAAGAAATGTCATGAACATGCCCGTACTAGGAGCCTAGAATTCTCCAGAATAGTGCAGTGATTAGACGAAAGTGTATCGAGTCGTCTACATGTCAGTTCTTGTTTATGTTGCCACGGTCACAGACACTGGAAACACTCCTCGAGAGACTCAGCGGCCAAACAGTGAGAGAGTACTAGCGCTCAACAGCTTTGCGCAAAAGCTCCCGAGACCATGATTAGACTAAAGGCAATAGCGATCTGATTGGCGTGCGTACTAACCACTAGCAGTGCTTTACACTATTTCTACGCTCACTCTCCACCACTTGACCTCCCCATCTGCACTCACCCAACTACACCACGAACGCGGTTTCGCGACCTTTCTCAAAGCAATAGCCGCATCTAATCATGGCGGTCGTCAGCGGCTCTACACGCGAGGCATTAGACGCTATGTATGTATTCTCTGTGCTTGCATTTACAGTTCACTGACACAACCCAGCACTGCGCGTAACGCTCTCACCTCGCCTCTCCTACGCCTTCCCGCAGAGCTGCGCAGTATGATCTGAAACTACTCCATCACCGACAAGGTCTATATCATCAGCACAAAGAGAAGCATTTTCGAGCCATCCAGACAGTATGTGCGTCTCCGACCCCTTTCACCACCTCCGGGCTGGGTCGGTCTCCTCCGCACGAGTCGTCAAATCCACAGCGAGACCGCGAATCTTCCCTTGCCCCTTAACAGTTTCCACATCTCTTCGCCGGAGCACTTGAAATGCCTCTCACACACGCTGGCACGATCGCGCATTTCAATCACGAAGCTCAGACTGGATGTGAAGCCTAGGTTCGAATTGTGGCGTGATCGGTTTCTTCTCCCGAAGATCCTTCCGCATTTGAAGCTGCTGGAGGTCACGTTTTGCTCTCACAGGAAGCCGAGGTTGGTAAATGTCGAATTCTTGGAGGTATTGTTTAACCAGAAGACGCGGAAGTGGTTCGAGGACGGTTGTAAGGGACTTTTGGAACTGGTCGTCTTGGTAAGCCAGGTGGATCATGATCCAGAGCAATTAGGACGTGATTCAAGGCAGGACAGCGATTCGGAGGGATTCTGAGAGTTCCATTTGGTCTAAATGTGCGAGAGGAGCTACTATGGCTCGAGAAAGATGTAGCGATACTTGATACTTAGGCCTGTCGTTCACAGCGCGGGAAATTACCAGCGTGACAGCTACATCCTGCCAAGTGTACCACAAAAACAACATGAAATTGTGTCAAGTCCGGCGATGACACGGCATACCACACGAAAAGGCAAAAGAACCACGACGAATATCATGACACATTTCATCAAGGATACATTCCCATCTACCTCTCCCCACCTCTCCCCACTACAGCGCACTCAACACACTCTGCACCCCCACACTCCCCACATCCTCCCTACACCTAATAAACCCCTTCAACTCCCCAATGTCCGCGCCCGCACCCCTAAGCCTATCCCTCAACGCCTCAGGCCCAATAATAAACAACGTACTAACATCCGTCAGCACCTGGATACTCCCATGCTCCAGCTCCTCGCCCGTCGGCCACCCGCGCACCAGCTCGACGTAGCGATTCATGTCCTTGCTGACAATCAGGCCGCCGACTTGGCTGATGGTGTAGCGCAGCAGGTGTGCGAGCACGAGGCTGCGCAGACCGCGGGCGAGCTCGGAGAGGAAGAGGGAGAGGTTGCGGCCGGAGAGCGCGGACGATGCTTGTGTGGCGACGCGTGTGAGAAAGGCAGAGACTTCGCGGCATGCTTGGGTTTCGGAGGTTACCATGAGGTCGTCGTCTTTGGGGCGGAAATCCGTCTTTTTCTGTTGTGAGAGGCATTTGGAGACCCAGTTCAGGGCGGCTGTGAGGGTCAGGTTGAGGATGTTGGAGAGCTTGGATTCGAGCGTGGACATGGTTGTGTTTGTGGACTTTTCGATTTCGCGACGGATGGTGAGGTTGGGCGTGCAGAGGGGGAGGAGGATTGTGGTGGTGGTTTGTTGGAGCAGGTGTAGGATTGTGGTTATTGCGTGGAGAGAGGGGAGGTGCGTGAGGTCTGGGGGGGTTTTGAGGTTTTCTTGGGAGGCGGCGTGGTCGTTGGCACTGGATGGGTGTTAGTGTTCTGATGAGTGTGTTTCGAGTGGGGGATTCTTACGCATCCAACGCAGTCTCGAGATAAATCTCGCCCATCTGCTGCAGAAGCAGGTTCAGTAAGTTCTGCACATCCTTGGGCGTCTCATTGCCAGGCGACAACTCCAAGCCACGACCAACACCCTCTGCCAACCACTTCAGCATACGCTTAGCCGTTGCCAAAGACAGTTTTCCATCCTCATCTGTGACATCAATCTCCTTCTTCTCCTGCTGATCTTCCTTGAGACCAGCAATTCTCAGCAGCGTCTTCTTCTGACTAGCCGGCAACTCTGTGCTCTCGAGTCGCTCCATGTATGCATCACGCGCCGACGCAGCCAGCTCTTTTCCTTTTTGTGCAAGCGCACTAAAGTACCCACTAGGCATCTTCCGCCGCCGCGAGTGGTAGATTGTGAACTTGAGTAGAAGCGACGAGTACAACTCTTCCAGGTTCTTCTTCTCTCGCTCAATGTACTTTTCGCCGATGAAGTACGATGAGAAGAGCTCGTCAAGCTGTTGGTCTAGTGTAGCTGCGACTTGTGATGTGACGGGCTCGGGGTGTTCAGTCAGACCATGCGACTTGAGGTCATCCACTAGCTGTGTGATGTAGCTTCTCGATGCTTGTAATGAGCGCAAGAAGGCTAGCGACGACAATTCGCTCGCTTTGTCGAGCACCATCTCCAGTCGTTGTTGTATAGATTGCTGGAATATGCGCTCCAGAAACCTGATCAAGACCTCTTCGTAGTACGGGAAAGCGCGCTTGATGGTAGCAGACTCATCCTGCACAGCGATCTTGACTTCATCCACCAGCGACTGAAGCGTCGGCTCAACACCCGGGGGCTCAGCATCAGGATCCTGCAGTCGATCCCACGTCTCGGCATCCATGGATAGCTCCTCGGCCATCGACTGCGTGCGCTCGATGAAGAAAGTGTGCTGGTTGACATATGTCGCAATAACACTTGAACCCTCATTGAAGCCTCTCAGTGCAATAGCGCAATCGCGCATGCCGCTGTAATTCGGGCGTCGATAACACTCGTCGAATTTGCTCAGCAAGTCCTGCTCCAGGTTCTCGAGGAACTTTTCAATGACTTCTTTGGTATTGTGTCTGGGCCCTAGGGTCTTTCTTTTCGTGCCGTTGCGCAAGTCGCCATTCGTCTGTTGACCGCCTTCGGGGTCCAGACGAGTGCTGATACGAAGCAATTGGCGCGCAATCTCTGCGCAACGTACAATGTCGCCGCTTCTCCGGTGGTCTTCGAGGATGTTGAGTTCGCCGCGCTCACTGACTTCTTGCCAGCATTCAATCAAGAACTTTGCGTCCAGGGCTCGTTTTCGTTGGCGATCCAGCTCTTCCAGCGACTCTCCGATGCGCATTGCAATATTGCCGCCAGAGTCCGGTCCACCGTCGTCGTTGCCATTCAGCGAGCTGTCCAGCTTCTGGAAGCGGTCAATGGCCTGCTCGAGCCTTCTCCCTAACGATTCGACATTTTGATTATGTTGCGATTCGGCGCGGCGCACAGCTCCGGACAGCTCATTCTCCTTCTCCTCCAGATCTTCCGACAGGTTGTTGAGCCGAGTCAGGGCATGCTCGAAAGTGCGAATGAGCGGTTTCGGGTCGAAGGTCTGCTGGCTGGCGATGGTCCCGGACTTGCGGGAGGCAGGCACTGCGGCATCGGACAGGTCCTCGATGAAGTCCTTGACTATGAAGTCTTTCCTCTACACAGATTAGCCCGTGTCCGGAGGGCGCACGTGTTGTGAAGCTCACCGAGAACTTGTCCAGCGTGAATTGTGGCCCTCGGATGGATGTCCTCGAGGTCTGGTGCGTGAGGACGGAAGCAGTGTCCATGCTGGACGGGCTGCGAACGTATGGGTCCATGTTGGCGCGTGTGGTGTTTGCTGTTTTCGGGCGTGTTCAAGGTCTATGGGAAGCTCTTTATCAGGTGTCGGCCACGCAGCGCTCCCCCGAAGCTGGTGTTTGGAGACTGTCGCGGATCATGAGGCGTGAAGCTCTGTCTGCGTATACACTTCAGGGCGATTCCACAAATTTGGGCATGATTCAGAGTGAATGTGGTCCAGTAGCACTCGAACGTCGCGGAGTGTCAACACCAATTACGAAGTAGCTGCATTCGCGATCTATGGGTGAGTCGTGGCTTGAGCCGCCCCCGCGCCAGGTCCCTTGTCTCCCACGCAGATCCAGCCGCATGCCCAACTTCCAAGTGACCTCATGCATCATGCACGTACGCCCTCTCCCACAAGGACCTCCATGTACCATGCGCCCCTCAGCCTTCGCTGTTACGACAAGATACGCGCAATCGCGGCGCATGGCTGAGCTCGTAATCCAAGGATGTTGCGCTCTTGGCTGACTAGGATCGGCAAGGACACGGAAGCGCCACAGCACCAGCCTCAACCTTGAAATGCTACCTGCCCTACATACTTCAACTCCCCAACCATGTCTTGCTGACACCGTGCATTTTCCTTTTCTCTCTCTTTTCCTTTAGGTCAACCAGCACATCTGATTGATCGCCTCGGACATTCCTACCACAGACAACTTGCCATACCACGTCCACCGCAATGGTTACCACGGGCCTCACGTCCGCCGAAGAAGCCGCCTTCCGTCGCAAACAACTCTCTGCCCAACAGCGCGAAGAACTCCTCAAACCCTTCCTGCCCAGCGCACCGCCTACCAGCACCACTTCTAGAACCACTTCTAAAACCACTTCCACCCGCCGCGCCCAAAAACCCACCCGCAAACCCGGCCCCATAAAGTCGCTCTTCTACTTCAGCACTTACCACCTAATCGCCCTGCTCTTCAGCATCTTCTTCCGCTTCCGCCGCGCCTTCCGGCTTGCATACACCAAGCTCGTGTCTCTGCTGAAATACCACCACCGCACGCCCGAATTCATCGCTGGGGATGTCGCGGGGCTGGAGAAATTGCCGAAGCATCTGAGCGTGGTGGTGGAATTGAACGAGGACGACGAGCAGCAGGGCAACGCGGGGTTGGAGGGATTGGTGAATGATGTGTGTGAGATAGCGGCGTGGGCCAGTAGTGCGGGCATTGGGTTTTTGAGCGTGTATGAGAGGACTGGTAAGTCCAACACAACATCTTGTGTTTGCTGAGTGATGGGAGGGGATTCAAGTGCTAATGACGACTTAGGTGTGCTTAAGAACTACCTCCCCCAAACACACACCTCCATCGACGCAACGCTCTCCTCGTACTTCGGCCCATTGCGCAAACCTACCCTCTCCCTGCGCGCGCCGCATTTGTCGAGTTACTCACCGCCGTCGACGCCGCCGTCAACGTCCAATGAGCCGCGCCAACATCTCACTGTTCTGCTTCTGTCTGAGCACGACGGGCGCGACACTATCGTCGATCTGACCCGCACGCTGGCTGAGATGGCGCAGCGAGGAGATGTGCGCCGCGAACAGATCAACATGGACCTCATTGATGCGCAGCTGAGCGATCATGTGAGCAGCGAGCCGGATCTTTTGATTTTGTTTAGCCCCACAGTCCAGCTCAAGGGATATCCACCGTGGCAGTTGAGGTTGACCGAGATTTTGTAAGTCTAAACGAACGTAAACATGACTTGGTACTAACATGTACAGCCATCTTCCTGACAACAAGGGTGTCAACTACCAAGTATTCCTCAGGGCGCTGTATAACTTTGCCAAGGTCGAGATGCGTCTTGGAAGGTAGAGTGGAATTGGGGATTTGTACCATTGGTTTTCTTTGTCACCCCTATACCCGATTTTGTATCACAGCGCAGTAGAGAATTGAACATTGCCACCACTTGCACGCGAATCAAAGTCTGAATGCAAGACACGGACGTCATTGTGAGGTATCTTCGATGTGATAGATGATGCTATCTACACCCTATCTTCATGCCTGCTGTAACCGCTTTTTGTGCGTCACAGCCATCGAGAGTAATGCACCTAACACCTGTATATTCGTGATAAGGTCGTCAAGTACATTGTCCACCCCACGAAAGAACCCATGCAACCATAACCCAAGCCATTTATTTGAGAGGAATGAAACGGGAAGAGTGCGTGGCACCGATACCGGGCCTTCCGTGCTTGACGGGCTTGTATGAGATGGAGAACTCTCCGAGGTAGTGGCCGACCATCTCGGGCTTGATCTCGACCTGGTTGAACTCCTTGCCAGAGTAGACGCCAATGACGCTGCCAATCATCTCGGGGACAACAATCATGTCACGGAGGTGCGTCTTGACGAGGTCGGGCTTCTCGTTGGGCTTGGCCTCCTGCTTGGACTTGCGGAGCTTCTTGATCAGGCCCATGGGCTTGCGCTTGAGACCGCGGTTGAAACGTCTGCGGGCACGCGCGTGGACGAGGTCACGGAGCTCCTCAGAGCCGAGGTCGAGGAGCCTGGTTGGAGGTTAGTGTCGTGGCCTTTTTTGATGGTGTGTCCAGGGCAGTGGTGCGCTGCTGGATCCGGAAGACGTACTGGTCGAGGTCGACGCCACGGTAGGAAAACTTGCGGAACGCTCTCTTCCTCTTAAGCTCTGTATGGTGTGTGGTCAGCCCAGGTTCCTTCACATGTTGTGTTCTTCCTTCGCCCAGCACAGCAGCGGAGTCGGCCCAAAGTCCGGAAGAACATCCCCCTCTAGCAGTCGATTGCGCTGGTGATAGTGGAAGGAAGAATCGTGGGAGTGGATGAGCGTACCGGCAGCCTCCTCGGCGTTCTGTGTCGTTGTTAGCAGGCATCTCTGGGTCGACGGAGCGATTGGAACATACGTATTCGGAATCAGCCATGTTTGCGATCTGTCGAAGTGGCTAGACAGTGAACTTCGATGGTGTCGCGGGGTGGTTGTCGGTCGAGGTTAGTTGGAGGTCGAATTGTCGTGGGCGGCAGGTGCGCTCAGTGCTAAGCGAGCCAGCGGCAAGACTTGGCGCATGGCCCGTGCCCACATACTTGCAGCAGACCACAAATGATCGAGAAAGCAAGAATAGATTGCGTATTATGAATTTCTTCTGTTATATTTGTGCGATCATAGTCACAATCGGATCTACAATCTGCCTGACTTCAACTAATTTGACATTGATGCTGTGACACTACCAATATATTTGGCAGTAAGACAACACGCGTGGGATCATTCAGGTCGACCAAGATGGAATAGTCAATGATGTCCAAACCTTTTTGATTATCTCGACGAGTACGCGAAGGATCAGGGCGACTCATGCCTGCGGTGTATCACAACATCACGATCTCAATCATTCCAAATGGAGGGTGCATGGCTTCATTTCGGGTATCTCAGCAAGCAGATATTAGAATACTGCCGCAACATCTTTCTCCATCCCCCGCTGGTCGCGCGCTCGACACCTCCCCAATCCTCCTGTTCGTTTCGCATGATTCTCGTGATTGTTGAGAGATTGTCCGGATCATACTTCGTGTACAAGACTTGACAAGCGATGCGCTTAGTCGAAGAGACCGAAGCCCATGTCGTCGTCGGACTCCTCCTTCTCCTCCTCCTTGGCCTCCTCAGCAGGGGCAGCGTCACCACCAGCTGCGGCAGCGGCGCCACCGGCAGCGGCGGCACCACCTCCAGAGCCACCGGATGGGACGGAGGCGAGCTTGGAAGAACCCTCAGCGATGAGCTGTCATGTGTTAATGGCTGTTCGTGGTTCTTTTACGGCGCAAAGCTGCGAGGCGCATCTTACCTCGTTGATGTCCTTGCCCTCGAGCTCGCTGATGAGCTTGTCGAGACGCTCGCTGTCGGCCTCAATGCCGACAGACTCGAGGACCTCCTTGACGTCGCTGGCGGAAGGCGAGGTGTTACCACCGAGGCCGAGGAGAAGGTATGCTGCGAGGTGCTTCATTTTGACGTTTGGTGATGTTGGTTGTCTAGAACAGGAGTTCAATCGATTTAACCTTTCACTGTCAGTGCAAACTCATCGCATACGCGCACACGTAGTACTCACCGTGCTGACGGAGACTGAAACTGCAATGTTCGGTCGTGGTTGTCGAGAGGACTTTTGAAAGTTCGAGCAATATTGGCGATAGGCGAAGAGCGTGGGCTGCGCTTGCCCTGGTTGGGCGCTAGCGTGAAAGACGGGCCTTGGCATCGAGAGTATAAGACAGCAGGTCTGCGCGCGCCACCTGGCAAACTACTCTCTCTGGCCGCCCGTCTTCTCGCCGAATCCTCAGCCCCGTGATCCGCCTGCTCCCGCGCCCGCGACCGCCTTCCCCCGGTTCCTTCAAAGGCTGCTCTTCCGCCAGGAAAGCATGTTTGACTTCTTCGATCCACAGGACCGGTAACACTGAGTCGACCGCTTATCAGCTGCCCAACATGAGTGTAAGTCGCACCACCTCAGCCGCGAGATCGCGATGGTACTAACAGTAGTCTTGTAGGCTTTCAGAGATTTAATGTCCATAGTCGACCCGAATGCGCCAAAGACGACTCCAGCACCAAAACCAGCCGTGCCCGCTGCAGCCCCGAAGCCTGCTCCGCGGCCTACTGGGGGTGCAAATGGTGTCGCTCAGTCTCCACAGCTGAAGCGAAAGGCGTCTGGTCCTGTTGAAAGCAGCCAGGTCAAGCTTCAGAGGAAGGACGGTTCAGGACAGCCAGCGCAAGGGAATGTTGCAGGACGTCCCATGGCGACACCAGGCGCGGGAAGGCCAAATCCGCCACCCGCGCTCACCACAGTCCCATATCGTGGAACAGCAGCACCAGCGGGCACCAGGGTCGCAAGTCCAGTTGTGAAGAAGCCTATTTCGCAAGCAAACACACCATCTGGCCCGCCCAAGGCAGCAGCCCCGGCTCCGAAACCTGCCCCACCAGCTGCCGCGTCATCAGCAGCAGCCTCTGCTGCCCCAAAGAAGGGATATCTGGCCCTACTACAGAAAGCAAAAGAGAAGGATGCAACTAAGCCTCCCGCTCCTCCAGTGCAGAATGGTCCAACCAAGATCCTTACCAAGAAAGAGCGCTTGGCATTGAGGGCTGAAGCTAGCGCAGTTGCCAAGGGCAAGAAGCCAGTCGCTGGAGCACCACAGAGACCTACAGATGCGAAAGGTGCCCCGGTTCCAGAGAAGAAGAAGCCTCTGGATGTGGGCTACCAGGGCACAGCACGCCCCACGAAGCAGCCTGTCCCGGTCGGATACAAAGGTACAGCGCGGCCAACAAGTGCGCCTGCTTCCACCAGCCGGAATGGAACGCCTGCCGCAAGGTCGAAACCCCAACCTGCCAAAGGTCGCTACGACGGATATGCAGATTGGTCCGATCTTGACGACATGGATGACGAAGAGGAGGACTATGCCTCCGATGGGTCGTCCGACATGGAGGGTGGCGTATGGGACCTGCAAGAAGAGGAGCAGATGGCGCTCAAGGTGGCTAAGAAAGAGGACGCCGAGGCACTCGCAGAAGAGAACAGACTCAAACGTGAGAAAGAGGAACGAAAACGAAGGCTTGCGGCTCTTGAAAAGAAAGCTGCTGCCAAGAGGAAGTATTGAGGCGTTTGATAATTTTTGGATATTGGTTCGAGATGGCGTTACGGTTCATGATTGCCCGGCATACCACATCGGCGTTTGTTCAGCTTTTCGGCATCTGCATAGCATGGAGATCGGATGCATTTCTCGGAGAGGTACTCTCTACTATGGCGCATACATTCGCGTCCTTTTCTTTACGGTGACTGTGACCTCAGTCAGTGCTTCATTAGATGAGCAGCCGCATAGTGTATAGTGAGGAAGTCGGTGGTGATGTGCATTAGTTTTATTCAATACCCCGGTACGTTGCAGCATGTCACATTTCGGCTTCAACTTCTGCATTGAACTTCTCACGACACCGCCAAATCCTACCTTCGCTTGGCTTCACGAGAATGTCTGTCGCAATTAATATGATAGGAGCACACATGTACCACGAACTACTTGGCAATCGATCGTGACGCTGATGGAGACAACAACTCACCAGCAAACGCCAGCATAGAAGAGCCATACATTCCATTACACCCACCCTTCATCAGCAATGAGCTCTAAGACTCATCGAAAACCTACATCTCTCTTCATCCCCTCCACATAAGCCATAGCGCCCAATACTGACCTTGAGAGCATGCCCGCGATCTATCAACGCCTCTGTCACTCTCTTCGACGCCGTCCTCGCCAGCCGTCCCGAGGACAAACCGCGAATGTTGCTTCAACCACACACGAACAGCAGCACATTTCTGACCTTTCTGACGACGCAGATGAAGCCATAGATGATGGCAGAAGTAGTCCTCCACCATTTCCTGTTATATCTGATCGTGGGCCACCAACATCTAATAGGTACGGGGATGCAGGTCTCTTCTGGAACAGCACAATGCATGAAGCAGACAAAAACGACAAGTCGTGGCTATCGCCTTCAAGACCCGGAAAGCTTCAACCCGAAGACGAGTATACCGGGCGGTCTCGACTGCCAAAGCATGGCTTCACGAGAGATGTTTATCCACCAAAACAGAATGGAGATGCGCAGGAACAAGCCTGCAAGCCAACTGCTCCTCGAGCTACAGCTGTACGGCGCAAAATGGATACAAGCTATGCGAACCGCAATGCTGAGCGTAACATCAGCTACGGTAGGGAACGTGCAGACAATGACCTGACTGTCATGTACTATGATGCGCTGGGTAATTCGTATGCGAAGTCTATACCTTCACGCCAACCAACACCTCCCAGACCCCAAGGATTGATTTCAAGCGAGCGAGAACATCGGCCAAATGTTCTCTTTGGAAGACCGCCACCAGCTAATCGTATCGAACCTCGGCAACGGGAACCACCTGTAGAAGTGCCCGCATTCACATCGAGCGCATTCAAGGATGCCCAGGAGGTTCAGCCGCTAGATATTATCCATGCATACCGCATGCCGAACCCCTCATCTTTGTCATTCTCGACGACGTCCAGAGAACCCTTGGTATGGAGTACGGCTCTGGGTCAAATCTTGCGTAATGACTTCGTGGATTCAGACATGAAGCGACAGGTCAGAGAACGAGTCAAAGACAGCAACACAACCAATGGTTATGGTGAGGGAGAGCACTTCCACGTGGCTCCAGTAGCGGCCGGTCTCGTGCCAAATTTTAGCTACTCAGTGGCTGGAAGTGCCTTTTATGATCGACGCGTTGCAGAAGCACCGGAATCACCAGATCCAAACGACCAAGTCATAGAGAATGTGGTTGGAGGAGAAAGTACTGTGGAGCATCGGCCCTTAACTGACATTGAACAGCAAGACTTCGATTTCGGCTTCGGTCGTAACGAACCCCATGCTGTATCATCGCATTCTTTCTCGTCCCTACCAACTTACTCTTCAACCTTGTCTTCAAACGAATCAACTTCCCCTACTACAGCCCCTTCCCGCCAGCCATCCTCCAGCGACAGCATTGTCTCCAACCATCTCAATACCCTCCTTTTAGAGACTCTCAGCAAATCCCAAATCGACCTTCTCAACGCCATTCTCACCACTCCTCCAAACAACCCGGCCTCAACCCCAACACCATTCCGCCTAACGCACTCCCTCCACGCTCTACTCCTGCACTTACAAGACCGCATCCTCTACGCCGAAGCCGACCTACTCCCCCAACTCTGCACCGCCCTCGAGCGCAAAACCCACACCATTGACGTCCAAAGCGCCGAAATCCTAAAACTCGATAATCAAATCACTCAACTCAAAGCCACCGTTGATTTTGGTAGCAACACCTTGACCAGCTGCTGGACGCGCGACTGGGAAATGTGGCGCACCTTGACCGGCATCCGAGCAGGGCGGCGACGCGAATGGTGGGATTTCAGGCGTACAAGGGTGTCTGAGGATGTGGATAACGGACAGCAGTTTTCAGGCAGGGAGTTGGATGCGTTGGTTATGATTGCGGAACAGAATGTGAGTGTTTTGAGGGAGGATGTCGAGGATATGGTGGAGAAGGTTGAAGGGTGCAAGAGAGCTTCTGCAACGCGCCCGGTTGGGGAGGAGGAGGTTGAGCCGGAGGAGGGGAGTTGGAGGGATGTTTGAGCGTTGTGTTATTTGTGGTATTAGATATGTATACCTGCTCTTCGAACTCAATTTCTCGATCACGATCTATAAAATTAGTAAGGAGTTTAGCGCGTGACTTATAATTCAGATGTCATAATGTTCTCTTGAGAGTATTATAGATACAGCGCTAAATATGTTTAGCAGCTAGCTGCCAGCGAAAGCGTTCTTTGTTCATAGATATGTATTGTCTATAATTGCAAGAAAATATGAAGATATAGACGCGCAGTATATAGTAGCTTCTAGAGTTTATATATAGCTCCTAATAATGTTTGACATTCACTAGCAGTGAACTTCGCCACAGGTCTTCAAGTGATAATACATTCAAGAGCAACTTCGAGTACATTATCTTGAGTGCGCAACGACACTCAGAATTAACACAGCTTACCTAACCAACTCACTGCAGAGCACGACAACACCACCAGAGCGACACAATGCCTTCATCGAACAGAACACACAGACAAGGAAACAAGCATCTATCGAGCCCGCCAACACAGAACTCCAGTCACAACCAAGTTGCACGTCAAGATTTCTGTTGCTCTTGTCTTTTATTAGGAGTGCAACTCTTCATTGACATAGACACAAAATCATGCGTCGGGGAGCTTTGTTATCACCGCTGGTGTCGCATGTGCCGGATTACTAGTGAACCTCAGAGCAACCCTAAGAGGCTTCTTTGAGCGAAGAGAGTGGAACATACTAGCGTGGGGGAGGACCTGCTTGGACAGAGGGAATGTACTACATGCTGAGGCAACGGCATCGGACTACGAGAGGGATTGATAGATATCACACGAGCATTTCTTTTAGAAAATCGAGCGTATTTTAGATTGAGACCACAATTTTGTAATGCTCTTCTCTTCCAGTGAGGTTTGCGTCACTAACTCAAATAAGGATGACTCTTGTACGCTTCAAGTCATGAGGGTTAAAATCGACGAAGAGAGGCAGTCGGCCTGTGTCATCAAGTCCTTCCTTATGCCAGCTATGTTGGAATGCACCAAGTCGGCGAAATCTGCACTTCTCCACTTGCTCAACGATCAAGCCGTGCACATCGATGATCTCCTGTGGTCCTTTGTCTTGGCGTTTTATTCTGTATCCAAGCAACTAATGAAAGACATTGTTCGACACAATAGAGCCACTAGTAGGCGCGCTGCCATCGATCCAATCGATATGCACCCTTCCACTAGCTCCTTCTTTTGTCCACAACATATCTCTGGTCTGTCGCAGATTGCTCGATAAGCAGATGAAGCCACTTACAACTCTCCCCATCTGATCGGGACCATCAGTTTGGACAGATGCTTCAATCACTTCTGCTACCCAGATATCTTCGTATATCATTCCATGAAGATCATTTAATAAGGGGAAGTAGATTTTGCACGACATGGCTGCCCAAGACCACGATGGCGCTAGGCACAGTAAGTACTTTCCATATGCTATTCCACTTCAGAATCACGTACCTCGATACTTCTTTGGATACCGAGGCGTCACATTTGGTGATCTTGCCCATAGGAGTCCTTGCAACAAACTTTTCTTCCAGATGCCCGCAATGTAGTGATCCTGCGTGAAGCGCTGGAAGATCAGCGCCAACCCAGAAAGTGCCGGTAAAGTGTCTTCTTCATACGAAAGGCAACAATTGGAGAACAATTGAACGAGGAAAAGCCATTTACGAGCAAGTTCACGCTCCTTCTGACCTCCACTGGTGCTTTCGGACAGACATGTGAGTTCGAAAGGTGTGTCATCCACCTGCAAATCAGTAGGCGTGGGCCGCCAATCACCAAAAATGTGTGTTGGTCTTGCTGATCCCTGATACCGAAGTCCTTGGCATAGCATATTTGCTAATCGAAATGGGTGGCCGTCAATGCCCCATGGGCAAAGGCAGGGAGTGATCGGTGGCCCTTCGGGGAATGTCTCGCAAGCCTGGAGCTCGGGGCACTCCCATTGAAGTCTTTCTCCAAAATAGACCGACCGAGTACTAAGCAGTCTTTCCTGGAAAACCCAACCTCTTCCCATGAGCGCTGAAGATGCCAGGCTTGTTGGTGTTAGGTAAGGATGTGCAACGAAAGATCCCTGGAAGTCAGATCGTATCAGAGGAACCCTGTGGACCTGGACACGGCGAGAATCTCTCTCGCTATATAATCCAGCATTTGGTTGATCCGCTGCTAAATGGGCTCCCAAATTACAATAGGCATTCTGGTAAACATCTCCCATAGTTGCTATCTCTTTCGCACAGTCCTCTGGATCGTCTTGAACAATGCAAAGTGCATCAATCCACACGTAAGGAACTTCCAGTCGTCCAGCAAAGTGAAAGGTATCCCTGAAGACTGGTGGTAGTTCAAAGCCTTCGATACCTTTTAGTAAACTCTGCAAGCTCTTCCGAAGGAGTCGCGGCATTTCTAACTGGTTCCAACGATGGCTGAGTGTAATGTATCGTATCCTGGGGGTATTCCTGGGTAGTGAAGAGGTGAGGACCAAACGGTGCTCGCGGATGTCAATGAGCCTTGTTGGGAGCCACGAGGGAGACTGAGAACTAAGAGGAATGTTGCAGAGCTGATGGTTCTTTTCGCACATTTTCATCCACGTCTTTACTGTGGTTAAGCAAGACTCATGCTGTGTCGTTGAAGCCAAAGCAGTAGCCGATGCTTTGATAGTTGGGCGCCCGTACAAGTCGGCGTTGGTTTGCAGTTTCATCCTTATCTCCGAATGCTCGTACACGTATTCTCTCAAGATCAGCTCGAACAGAATTGGTGCATTGTATGATGATGACGAGGAACTCAGTCGAAACTCTATACGAAAAACTTCCGTCTGGCCGGTCCCGATATATATTGTATCATTTTCAAACTCGCATTGTCCAACAACGAGAGATGCGATCAAGCACATCGGCGGGAGTAACTTTTCTATGCTTATGGGCCATGTTGATGCCCATTCCAATAACCAAAAACAGATGGAGCATGTGCTTGACCTTGAAGCTAGCAAAGTGTCTCTTGAGTATTCAATATGCGTTAACGTGTGGATACTCATTTCTCGTCGCACTAGAAGGCTCTGGCAAGTGTCGCAAAGCTCGTTGACGTAGTCTGATTTGGATAGAAAGGGATCCATGATACTGTCGATAGTCAAGAAGCAAAATCAGGGTGACGTACACTAGAGATCAAAAGAGAGGAAGGAACTAGAACAGCGATCAATAACCAGTTTGCTTGTCTGACATGCGAGCCCTCTGTATCCGATCTGTAATGCGTTGGTGTGATATTGTATCACTTTCTTTGTTACAACTCGCAGGGATACGACTTCCAAGATGGTGCACCTAGACACAGTACCACGAAATAGGTTACTCAGATGCTAGTGAGCTGGGGAAGAGCATAATTAGGCACAAGATTGATAATATGCAAGATACAGCAGCTCCGGCCGCGCGTTCATCCTTTGAAGCTGAAATTCCTTCCTTAATCACGATTTATAGAATTTGTGGGGAGTTCGGTGGGCGAATCAGCAGAAAGCTCGGCTGATCTGTCGTCTGCGAGTTCAGCGCGATTCATGTCGCCTGTGGATTTTGATGGTGATTCGGCGACATGCATTTCGAATGTCTCCTTCCCGTTGTGCTTGTGAAACCTCTCTGTGCCATCTTTCTCGGCGATATCTGGAGCCACCGTCATCACCAAACCATTTTCGCTTGTGAAGTCTTTTGAAATTACTCCAGTGGCTCGTCTGTTCTTCTTGCGGTGCAGGACGAGCCATCCTAGGCCAAGAGCTACCACTGCGACGCAACCCAGTCCAGCTCCTAGAGCATTCTGGCGACTATGCTATCAGAAAGAAGTGGACAACTTTGAGGATTCAAGTAGCTTTTCGGATTTTTTTTTTTGAATGAGGCCAAGCTTGTAGCTTTGGTTGATGTATAGGCTAACCTTGAGATCGGGAGTCTCGGCCAGGCGTCTCTATACAAACACGACTTGCACTCTGCCCTTGCCTCTATCTGTAAGCCAGTGCTCCACACATCGTCTGAGATGCCGGTAGACCAACAACTCATTGAGTTCCGGATCTTTTGAGATGAAATAGGTAGATTCTTTCGAGTCGAAGCATTTCACTTCCAACTTCTCAACACTTGGCGGCAAGCTGTCGGCAAAGACAATCTTGATCCTTTCGTTGAAGCCCACTTTGCTACTGATATCCAGGCGCAGAATTGTGAGCGGATTCTGTAATTGACAAAGATGTGGGATCAGGAGTTTTAGCTTGTTTCCCTGGTCGATGTGAAACGAGTTGAGTGTGTGAGGCAGAAGCGCAGACTCGGCGTTGCATTGGCCACACGCGCGGATCAGACCAAGCCACGGTGGGATATATGCGCTGCAGACTCCAAGATGTTGGCCTATGGCTGACTTCCGAACGTCTGTGTGGTATCTCAAGTGATACGCCTCTTCACATGTGAAGATGTAGACAAAGATATGGTTCCGTATCTCGGCTGGAAGCCTGAGGAGAGGAGATTCCAGCGCGTTTTGGGCCGTCCTAATGATTAATTAGATTGATTTCCAGTGGTGCTTGGAACATTCTGCCCCCTACATTGTGTCGTGAGAGGCGCTGCTAGAGAGCATTCGGTCCATCTCGTATTCAACAGCAGGTTTTATAGGTGCGACCGATGTTGGCTTTAGAGTTATAGGCGCCACGCTACATGTTGCAGGTCATGTATCATAAGAGAGGGTTTCCAGCCCACAGAAGTCTGTTTGGTGGGAAGATTTTGCCATGGAGACCGGGTCTCCACAAGACCCGATGGAGAAATTTGGTTGGACGGAACATCCCCACTCTGCAATTTTGAGTGAATTAGATCAGCTGTGTAGCATTAAACTCGTGACACGAGTGTGATTTTCATGATTCTAGCGGTAGTATATTACATTATTGCATAATCATATTTTAGACCGTTATCTGTTCCTCTCCTTGCTCTGTGCCAGTCACATTCGTCATCCCACCCCTGACAATATCACAGACTTCGTCGAAAAACACAATTTCAATATCCTAGCTCGTTCCTACCATCCATTCTATCAGCTTAGTTTTAGTCGCCTTGCACGCCTGTTCCGCGTCTTCACCTGTATGCTTCCGCCTTTTGTCCACTCCCTCAGCCACTAACGTAAGCTCCACACGCTTAACAGACATAAGGAGGATAGAAGATGAGGTGAAGTAACCAAGCTTTTCGGAAACCTCTAAGCGCAGCTTAGAAATAGGGTAGTGATGCTCCCTGGACTCCATCAGTAGCATGAACGCAGTTGTGATTGAATATAGAACGCGTTCAGGCTGTATGGCCAGGAGACAGTTTCCTTATTGATTTTGCGACAGCTGAGGTGCATGACAAGCCATGATTGAGTAGTAAATTCGAGGATCAGAGATACTGGGTCGTTCAGGGGGTGGCCGTCATGATTTCTGATGATGAACTTGTATGTCTGGTCGGTGAATACGTAGGTGTAAATTTGATTCCTTAGTTCCGCTGGGGATTCCAGAAATGGTGAGTTGCACTTGTTAATGTGATCTGTGAGTCCTAATATCGTACTGTTCTCGAGCGATACGCACTCAGTCTCACATCTGCTGGCTTCTTCTGCCGTTCTTCACATGCCATATGTGTGTTGTGGAAATTCCATTGTGACCGGGTAGTGTAGAAGGGATTGCAGTGTGGGATATTATTAGAGTTGAATGAGAAGAAGAGAGCAAAGAACAAGTCGATGCGACTTTGTACTAGCTTAGCAGGGTGAAAGGCTACTGCGCCAATGACTCGGCACTGAGACTGCGTGCGTAATACCTTAGTACCGTTGATCTCTATATCTACTTAAACTATCATAAAGCAAGAACTGGGGTTTAACGTGCAGGTCTGGATGTATTCAGATAGCTACTTGGTATCGTGCTAAATGCTAAGAGTGGCTTGAAGTTACCTAAGTAAAGAATCTGAACGGAGTGTACAATTTGATCGTGCTTTCCCGACACAGCGAGCATGGTTTCCCGGGAGCACATGATACAGGCCCTCACAAGATCGCAAATCTAAAGACGATGGGTGGTGAATGTATCTGGCCCAAGTCTTACAAACTGCCTAGATTCCTCGCGGCTTTAAAAAGACCAAGTGGATGCGCTCCTGGTGGTCAGACAAGGGATCATCACACCCCCCGGCTTCTGGAAACTTGAGCAAGTCGCCCCAACCTACTGTCAGGTAGCATTTTCTAGCCCGTGATTTAATCACCATCTTGACTTCCACAATTTGGACGATTGGTACATTGTACGTCATCGCTTCAGCTATGGTCATACAGGACACATCCTGTGTGCGAATCTCGAGGCGGAAGATTGTCTCAGACTGGGGGAGCTCCTTAAAACGATCGAGCAATAGCATCAATTGAATCCCGGCACCGACTTGGAAGATAACGTTCTCGAACGGCAGTAGTACGGCCTCGGTGTGTATCTGACGACAAGCCGCGGTGAGGCCGATCCAACCTGGAGTCTGGAAGAGTGGACGCAACACATAGTCTCGTTCCGCGTTCAAGCCAAGGCGGAATGTGTAGGCTGGCTCTGTAAAGATATAGTCGTAGATCTGGTTGTGAAGTTCGCCGGGGAGATTGAGCAATGGCGATAGTTTTTGTTTACTGTAGAGGGTTAGCAACGTAAAGTCTACATAGGACTTGAAGATTGAGCCGACCTTGGCTGGACCGGTTCGTGAAGCTGTGCGCTTGGCACGGTCTTGGTTGACATGATGGAAAGGTTGAGCTGGTTGATGTTATTATCGGGGAAGCGTTGAGGAGAGCTTGCGGTGGGCAAGAGATTCGAGGAGCAGCTTAATAGCCGAGGGAAGCTCGAGTATAGCTACTCTAAGGTTAGTACGCCACTAGTTGATATGAGAAAGAGGCTTTTTTGAATGAAAGGACGTCATCGGGCGAACTGGTTCCTCGTGGTCGCTCTGGTACCCTTCTATCTTCTTGATTTGATCGCTCGAAGACTGCAATTCTTTCGTATCATTCAGATGTCTGTACGAGGTTCAGCGAATCCCCCGAAGCTAGCTGAATTCTCGCTGATCGCGAATCCACACTAGACGTTGCAACGGGTTTGCCCTCCGTAGGCATCAAAGACGATAGTCACGTACATCATAATAGAACCGGGATTGTATGGTGGATCTTTTATAAATACAAACGCAATACCGAGAAAGAAAAAGTACCCGGGTATCTCGAAAGCTACTGTGTAAAAGATCCACATCTTCGATCCTGTCGAGATATATCTCATTCATGCTCGAAAGCGCACCCACAGAGCGCAGCCCTCAATATACACGTCCATGGTGTTCCTCACCGTCTCAAAATATCCAAGGGCGGTAATGAACATCCAAATTGGCGTGTATCGCTTGATTCGGAGTGCGCTGACACGCGTGCTAACAGGAAGGAAAAGAAACCGACGCTCGCAGGGCCTGTCAAAGTTCGACGAACATAGCAAGCCCTAGAGGAAGAGAACAAATACAGCGAAGACAAAGATCCAGGTGAATACAGCAATGGCCTCCATCTTACCAGAGTCGCCAGTGAACGAAGTCAGGCTGGGACTCGCAGAGCTCAAGGTTCCGTTCGTGGGAGATGGGAACGCACCGGTGCCGTTCAGGGTTGTTCCGTTCGACGCAGCTGTGATGGTAGAGGTGTTGCTCAATGCGGTAGCTGAGCCTGTCAAATGGACGGTCTTTGTGACAGTGACACGCGTGGTTGTGGTTGTGGTTCCGGACGCTGAGCACGCGGCGGTGAACACGTCTGTTACAGCCTACATTCAACGTGTTAGTGGTATATTATCAAAGAGGGTAGATGGCTAGAATAAGGGACACAGTGAGTGACTTACCAGCTTAGCAACAGGTCCGGATACGGAGGCTGCACCAGTCGAGGACGCGGGGTAGAGCGAGGGCAACAGTGATTTGACATCCACGGGCAGCTTCGAGTACCACTCCTCTACCTCGCCAGTCGCCTCAGGATAGCGGGCGCTGCATGGGATGGCAGTCTTGAGCACCGAGAGAACCGAAAGACGGGTGGGATCCATGGTCTTCGGGTCGATCGCTCGCGCAACGAAGTTCTCGACATTGTTGGCAGGCAAGTTGTTGTTCGAGAAGGCTGAGCCAGCGGCGAGCGCAGCGGCAGAAAGGATAAGGTAACACTTCATATTCGCGGGTTGGACGTTGAGTCGTGTAAGGAGTGATGGATCGTGTGGATCGCGTAGTAAATATGCCTGTGAGGTAGAAAGAGCGACGGTAAACGAATGTTGAGGTTGCGGTGGTCGTTGTTGACAAACAAAATGGTCTCTCTGCTACGGGCGGGCAACAAAACAGCAATCACGTGCCAGACGGACGCTAGTAAATTGCAAACGGGAGGTGAAGGTGCGCTGGGCGTTTGCCGCTTGACAGAATACGGCGCTGATGTTGATTTATGCACAGCCCTCGAACAATGCATGTGCGACGCGATAATTGACAATGGGTATCTGGATGAATCAAAGAGACGGGTAGAAAGAGACAAGGCTGATGAAAGTAATGCAGAATGTATGCCACAGCTCAAGGTATCCGGAAGATAGTGTACAGTAACGTCCCTGAATGGGAACAATGGTCCAGGCTAATGTCGCTCCCATCAACGTGAAGCGGCGCTGCCCAGGGCCGATGCGCGTGGGTCATAGGTCCTTCATTTGAAACAAAAAGCTCATTTGGAACAATGGACGGTACCAAACTGTAAGCCAGAGCAATGCTATATGGTCGATGGTATTCCAGTGGTCTCCTAGCCATAGTACCAACAAATGGCTGTCCTTGGTTCGTGCAATCCATTGTTAGGAGACCTCACGCACTGTGGGATGAGATGGTAGTAGGAGACAATACAACAAAGGAAATGGCTTGGAAAAGGTCGACGGGACAAAGCCACTGTTGTGTATCGCGTCTTGTGAAATCATGAAAGAACCCTGACATCGCAGTGGTTAGGCGTAGAGCAAGTCGAGAGTCTGGACTAGTCCATTTATGGCCATGTTCGAAGGACGTTTCTTTGCCCTGAGTGCTCCTAGAACTCGACGGTACATGTGGCTTTGAGGCCAGAGGAGCTGTCAGGCTGTCGGATCGCAAGCTAGATATTAGCAAGACAACAACACCAGGCAGCGGCAAAATCCGTGCCCGTTCTGCAGCTAGCTCCGCACCTACGCGACATAAGCTGATAGTCTCAAAAGGTATACTTATCGTAAGTTCAGGGGATGCTCAATGTATACGCAGCTCTAAGATACTCAACGTGATTCTATCAGAAATCTTTGAACATATACAGGCTACCTCTCTACCTGCTCTCCTTAGGGAAAAGGGGCAGGGATTTTGCCGACGCCTGGTGACAACACTAGACCTGGCTACGTCATCAGTCACTCGCCATTTCATCGCACCTCCTCTTAAACAGCGCATCGCATAAACTCACTCCATCTGTCGCTCATCATATGCAACTTTCGGCGCAAAGTGCCTCGGAACCATACTTTCTCGCAAGCATCATCGTACGGAGTGCTATGTTGGTGACTGTGGGGAAAGAAGCAGGGCAAAGATCGACAGGGCATCCCCCGCGGAACTTTGCGAGCCGAGGCATCTTGAGCAATGTCACCACCGTCGCAGCTACGGAAAGGTGCATGTGAGCCAATGTGCCATGCACTGGCTTGGATGCTAAGTAGTGCTGTATATAAGACTTGGGGGGACGTGTCAGACAGCGCATCTTGGATTGCGTTGTGACCCAGAGCTTCAAGACACCCCGCTATTGCTTCACAGCTTGATTTATCAACCACAAATAGTTTAGGATATACGAAGAGTGAACAAGACACCATGGCGGCTCCAGCGAAGGCCGATATCAAGAACCTGCAGGGAAAATGGGTCATGGTAAGATTCACACATCGCGCCACGCATGAAAACAGCATTTGCTGCACACGTACATCTAACACACCGCAGAACAAATCCCTCTCCGACTCCGCCGATCCCGTCCTCGCCCTACAAGGCGTCGGCTGGCTCACGCGCAAAGCAATCAACCTAGCCACCGTAACCCAGCACCTCACCCAGAAACCCGCGACCGGCGCCGACGGCTCTCCCAACGTCGAAGTCGTGATTGAACAATTCGCCAGCGCCAGCGTCAAGGGCACTACGGAAAACCGCATCATGGACTGGCAGTACCGCGGCCACTCAGACTGGCTCTTCGGCACGCTGCAGGGCCGCTCGCGCTACACCACCATCGCAGCACTACTGGAGGAAGCCAAGGGCAAAGACCCCGAGGAGGAAGACGCAAAGTTCCTGGCTGAGGGGTGGTTGGCGGAAACGCTGGACGGCGAGATCGTCGAGGGGTTTGTCGATAACGATGGCGCGAAGTGGACGGCCTGGCAGATTTGGGGTTTCGCGGAGATTGGCGGGGAGCGGCGGTTGACGCGGCGGTTTGCGGTTCGGCGGAAGGACAAGAAGCAGGTGGTTAGGATACGGTTGACGTATGATTGGGTTGGGGAGCTAGAGTAGGATTGGGGATAGAGAAAGGGTGGAGAATGTTACTATCTGAATCTGTTTTGCATGCCTTGCTTTACACCGATGATGACGTGCTGGGTCACCAGGGAGATGGTGTATATGAGCACTACAATATCAACTGATTTTGATTTGCGAGTAGGTTTTTGCTACTTTGCTTTCGTGATCTGTTGATTGCGGGTACACGCATACGTATCACGCTTGTTTGCTTTACCCGGAGTCGCACGCAACGTCAAACCGGACACCGTTATTACCTTGGGAGATAACAGAGTGGACAAGTACACGGGGCATGATCGGTCTGCATCAAGCAATCCAGTCCGTTGAGAGGTGAATATAGCGTCGGACAGCAGCACGCCACGCATCCACAACTGCAAGCCTCGATCGAACTGAGATATCAAACTCGCTTGAAATGGATTACTACAACCTTTTCATCGCACTGATCTTCCTTGCCACCTTCCTGCTTATTATCGTTACGGGCTACATTGTCAATCACCACTTTCGGCGCGACCGCAAGCCTCAAGTCGATATCGAAAACGATCCGCCCGAGCATCAACGATCCCGTCCGGCGACCGTGCGGGAGCACTACGATGAAGAACAGCGGCTCTCACACCTTACGACTGTTGCGCCATCGATCGAGCTGCTGCCAGGGATAAGGACGAGCAAGAGTAGTGACCGCGCGGAGGACTGGTTGGAGCGGAGGGATAGCAGGATAATGGAGGGCGATCCGGACCCATACAAGACGCCTCCAGGGAGAGATGGAAATGCGTCAAAGCGCAAGTGGAGGGATCAGAAGGATGTTGCCAAGACCTCTGAAGACGAAAAGGGATCAAAGGCGAAAGAGAGGAAGACTTTGGACGACAGAGTGGAGGACGAAGATGGACGTACCGGGGCGAAAAAGTGATGGCGTTTTGCATACGACCTTCTCATGCAAGGCCACATACCTTGCTTGCCTAAGCCAAGTGGGACATTCAGGGGAGCGTCCCCTTTTCCCACAGAAAGTGTATTATAGGGTCTTTTACAAGAGCCAAAGGCAGCCATCTCAGTATGTATACGTTCGGGGTGTAATCAGAGTGAAAACCCACACAAACAGCTGAGGCAAGGGCGGCAGTATCTTGTGGGGTTGGCGAATATGCTGAGAGCACGCCAAAAACAAGTTCTGACATACCTGACAACCTTGCTATACCCAGATGACGCGAATCGTTCCACGAAAAATCTAGTGAGATGTGACTGTGCAACCCGCTGCCCACTTGTTTTCCATACATAATACCTATACCAGCGCAGCTATCGCAGTCGTGCTCCTGGTACGCTCTTGCCGAGACAAAAGTGTTACTCGGTGTCGCAGGCATGCGCAGCGCAAGGACTCGGGGTCTTGAAGATGGCGAGGCCCACGTTTGAAGGATAACCATCACAAACGCGCAACATGGACTTCCGCCGAAACGAGCACCTGAATATCGATACGCATGCAGCTCCTCACGCGCCTTTGACGACCTACAGAATCGCAGACAATTGGTTTTCTGGAACATACACCACCGCTTTGCGAGATGCCCTCCCGACGGAGATGACCGACAGCATTGCGGCTTCGACAACAGCCTCGATCGAAGCTCCATCTACGATCACGACTAGTAACTCGGGAGCGGCCTCTCTGGCTGGAGCGACGTGTCCTTCGACGATGAATAGCACTGCCGTCTTGTTCGTGATACTCAGCGCCATGACTTTCGTCGCTCTGATGCTTGTGGTCTTGACGTGCTGTATCAAGCGTGGGAAATTCAAAAAGAAAGAAAACCACGACTGCCCGCAACGCTTGAAAATGCGTGTCACACCACAAAGGGCCACGACTGGAACATGGTAGAGGATATGGCGGAAGCCGCTGCGACGAGACATGCGCCGCAGATACCCAGATACCGAGATTTTGGAAATGGCCGGTCAAGCGAAAGTGGATCCATCGACGAGAGATGAGGCTGATGAGGTTGCCGCAGAGACATGGCATTGCTTTGGTGTCGGTGACAGCGCTGCTGCAAGGAGTAGTCAAGTAGTGTTTGTATTGGCAGGTACCGTGCATGGGTTGTTGTCAGAGACAGACATGTCGAGAAGCTGTGCTTGTCAGGGACAGGAATGTTATAAGTATATTTGTGCCATGACTGGAAATGCAATAGCATTCCGGGATCCCAGATCGCGGGTTGGAGGCTGTTTTTCGGTAGGAGAGTTAGCGGTGTGATTGTGACGCTTGCGACGCTTTTGCATAGTGTTTCTGATCATCACAATCGACTGCATGCGCTTCGAAGAGGGGCAAGGGGTGAATAGGTCGGTCGATCGTGTGTCGCTTCACCGATTGTGGGCATGCGCGCGAGGCAATGAGGCGGCTCTGGGCAACCGCTGACGAAGTGTATCTTGACGGAATGCCAACAATTGAAACGCTGGCTGGAGGTTTATAAGTCAACGTGATTGCGGGAATGCACGGGCGCGTGGTGAAAGACGTTGGCGACGAGAACGTGGGGCTAGCACTAGCGCCAAAAGCACGGGTCAGGCAGCGCGTCCCGAAGATTTCACGACTTGGGTAAACAAGACTTGTTGTGCTCGACCACGCCAATTGGCTTTCTTACTATCTTCTTGATAAGACCCCAACGCTCCCACAGTCTCGATACACGCACTCAATTGCGCCGGATTCCAGCTCCAACACAGCAGCCTACCCACCCTGTTGCCGCCTGCCCCGCCAAGTTGAGCGTATCCCGAACCCCCACTGCACGAGCACACGAGCTCTGTCCCTCGCATCTCCAGCCTCACCATGACGGGCGGTATGGATATTGACTTCACTCGGCGCAACAAGAAGCCGCGCCCACTCTCAGAGCACGAGAAAGAGAAGCTGGACGAGTTTGTGGATGCGATCCATTACTCCGCCAGGTACGCCATTTGATAGTCAGGTCACGGGAGCCGCGCGACGCTGACAAGCGCTACAGGTATTCCGACGACGAGAATGAGTATCGTCACGTGCAGCTCCCAAAGCAGATGCTCAAGGTCATCCCCAAGGACTACTTTGACTCGCGAGGCACCCTGAAGCTGTTGTGGGAGGAGGAATGGAGGGCGCTTGGCATCACCCAGGTACGGAGCAGCTTAGGGAGCATGACGCTATGTATAGGCTAACTCGGGCGCAGAGCTTGGGTTGGGAGCACTACGAGGTCCACGAGCCAGAACCACACATCTTGTTATTCAAGTACGTTCTCTGCCAAGCATACATCAAGCTCATCCTGACTAACAACAACAGGCGACCGATCAACTACCAGCCTCCCATGCACTAGATGCGATCTCACCCCCCGTCAGAGTCAGACGAAGAGAGCCTCTCGAGGCCACACGCGACGAGCAACGCGCTCGGCCCCCAGGATATGGCACATTTCTTGCGGCGATACTTGCCGGCTTCTTTGTGTATTTTGAGCGCGACATGTTAGATATAACGACGATATGATAATGGTTTGGACAGAGAACTTGCCGACTCCGGAGCCGCGTGGCTAGTGCCGAGACACCGCACGAAGACGCCTGCTAGGACGGCCTTGAAGCCCACGTTTGTACATAGTTGTATGACTGTCGCGAGAGTCGCTGCAGCTGCTAGGTACGAAACGTTATGCCCGGGCTCATAGACTCCTTCCAGAAAGATATTAATGCAAAATCATGCTTATCGGGCATGTGTCTCTTGCGTCATTGACACTATATCGCATCGAAGCACACCATGATCGCGTGATATTTGCTACCACAGACACCCTCGGTTTCTTTTGGATGCAGACCGCACGAAGGGCAATTGCTCCGCCGATTTCGAATGGGGACTGAGGTCGCCAAGACGAAAGCCTCTGGCAACATGCACATAATAAACGCATTGGGCCGATTCTCCCTCAGGCTTCCGGAAGATTCGGAGCATTGAGAGATGGTCGAGCGCGTTGAAGCGCATTTACACGCTAAGGCGCTAGTCATGGTCGCTACTATGATTGGTTGACCCCACACATCAGACCCCGTCGCTTCCCGCATTGATCTTCACCTCTGTCGTCAATCTGGATAAAATCGCCGTACCAAACTCGCACTGATCTGACTACCTCATCCATCATTTCGCCTACTGCAGCTGCCATTTCTGGTCACTGACGTGTGGGCTGATTTGTCAAGGATCACCTTGAGTGTCGCCCACTATCAGTCCATGCGCTTCGGGACCGTTGAACTATATCTGCGACACTGTCCGCGCACGACCGACTCCTACTTCTGGCCGTGGTCCAACTCATACGCAATAGAGTTTCGCCAGTCCTGTCCTACAGCAACACAAAAGCGCCAATGATCTTAGCGTACGGCATGTGCACGCTTGGGAGCTACTACGTGCGTCTACTTTGTTTGCATCATGGTGACATCTTGAGCAACACGAGAAGTACACTCCGGATATATACAGTGTCCTCTTCCTGATATATTCTACTATTGCCCAGCAATGATATTCCACTCGTGGCCGTCAATGCGTGTCGCGAGCATACCATCTCGAGGTCCGTGGCCTTCCAGGGCTGTCAAACTTAACCCTTTGATGGTCCGTGTCCTCTTGCGGGTACTATGGAGATTCCGCCTTGGGCCATCCAGCGCACTTCCCTGTATGCCTGATGCGGGTATCAGTCCTTGAACTCATCTTTCCGTCGCCGCCTAAATATCCGTGTTTACTTACCTTCTCCCAATCCCCGAACACTTGGCTCAAACAACGCACATGTCAGCTTCCATCTTTTATACATGAGAAGTCTACACCACTGTGGGTAGAAAGGACGCCGCGTACAGAGTGATTGATCAAACCAGGATGAGAGCGTGGTTCCACAGCCATAGATTGCGTTTTCAAAGATCAGGTCAGTCATCCCCCTTGGATCTGTTCTCACGCTAATTGTTTTGCAGATTCAACTTCACAAAAACATCAATTTGGGTCAACTGAAAGTCCATTTCGAAGACGATTGTCAAAGGTTCCCAAAATCGAAACCTTCACCAAGATTGAGAGGCCGGCCATGGATAGTAGGACGTCCATTGAGCGATATCTAAGTGCTCCTTTATCCGACGAGGCTGCGAGCGCCCCAGCTATCGATGCTGCCATACGTAGACAAGTACCTCTTGGTTGGATGGCGGACGCGGCCCCTCTCCTACACTCACGAGACACATCGGAGGACTATCAGTCGGACAGAAAGCCCACCTTCTTCACCACGGCAAGCGTGCCTGATACAGTAGACACATCGTATTCTGCCAATTCTCGGTCAAGGTTCTACCACGCGATGGATAACACCGACGGCATTAGTCTTTCCGAGGCTCGATGGCTCGAAATGGATCAGGCCGAAGTGGCTTCGCTACGCAGACCTGCCACAAGCGGTACCACTGGGCCCGTCTTGAAAGCAAGAGAATGGAGGGAAAGAGTAGAGATGTATCTACCACCACCTTCGGTGGAAAGTGGTACGGTTGAACGTGCAGGGATGGATAAGGAAATTCAAGAGATCCAGGAGAAAGCCAAAGAACTCGAATTCATGATGCAACAATTCATGGCGGTGCGCAAGGCGCAGAACAACAACAGCCCTCATGTTTCACAGGAGGCGGCACGAGCTAGAATAAGTGCGAACCCTAAGTTGGCTTGGATACTGGGTGACGAAGCTGTGGATACTGCAGGCATTGTCCGGCCCAAGCCAATCCACCGGGCGATTACCGATATCCCCGCTGGCTCCAGGAGCATGGAGAGTAGTCCCAAAATGTCCCACTTCAGGTCGCCACGAGTCAACAAGTCTTCTGGCGCTCTGAACCACGAATACCAAGCACGCCAGCGGAAGCCTGACCATCTGGTCGAGCGTCTGGCACCTAAGGGACCTAGCTTTTACTGTACATTTTGCCAAAAGGGCTTCCACGATCGCTCGGAATGGCTCAGCCATGAACAAACCGTACACATGCCTGAGGAACTCTGGGTGTGCTGTCCAAGGACTGGAGATTTTCCCTCGAGATGTCCCTTCTGCGAAAAAGGCCACCCTAGTCCCTCACATCTCGCCGACCACAATTATCTATCTTGTCAACAGAAGCCTCTGTCCGAGCGAACATTCCATCGGAAAGATCAATTCCTGCAACACATCTCTCAGGTGCATAGAGTCAGCCCGGAACAGAAGGCAGCTCGTTTGACGGAGTTGGAAAATGCCTGGCGCCAGCCATTACCGCTCGAGATAGGACATCGAGCGCTTCATTGCGGCTTTTGCGGAGAGAACTTTGCGACGTATCAAGAGCGCGCTGATCACGTTGCTCACCACTTTGCCGGTGGGTTGGACATGATGTGCTGGTGGAAAGATCGAATTAGCCACGAAAAACACCACCCTGAAAGTCGCAGATCGTCGAATCCGTGAGTTCTCCATTCCTTTTTACACAAGCAGCACTAATCGTATGTAGTAAACTGCCTCATGAATGCGTATACTGCGAACGCACATTCAAGAGCCTTGCTGCAGCACAAGAACTCCATCCAAGCTGCATTATGTGGTCATGCAGCTTCCTGCCAAGCTTACAATTCACAATGTTTCCGGACAAGTCACGAGCCCGCCGAGAAGTAGTGTGCTGCTATTGTAACGACCCTCTAGCCAGGAGCCCCGAGGGCAAAATCAACGGCGCGACGTTGAAGGACCACATGTCACGCCACAACTTTCGCGCATGCAACCAGACGCTGTACTTTTCGGGGCAAAGCTTTCGTCAACATCTCCAAGATAGCCATAAGCTGTCGCTTGACGGCACGCTATTCGCCGGATGGACGCTCTTGCTAAAGTCATGTCGAAAAATGCTGCCCTCGGTCTTTGAGCAGGTCGACAAACAAGCTAGCGATCGTCATCCCAAGTCCGACACAGAGTCGTCATCGGAAAAAAAGAAGTCCAAGAAGACGAAGGACCAAGACAGCCTCGAAATGAGGAGTCCATACAGCACCAACACCGCGCCAATGAGTTTCATGGACCTCTCAGATGTCCCACAACGCCCCGAACCGCCGAACAAGCTCCGCCGCAAGCAATCAGCAATGAACACCCCGCGACAGAGCGGAGAAGCTCCTCGCCCATCATTAACGCAGCTTCGCTCGCCAACCTTCACCGTACCTAGCGACGACACCGGCCCACCCAAGTCCGAGCCCGACAAGTACCCCGCTTACCCATCATCGAGCGGCGTACCCACCTGCCCGTCATTTTTCAGGAAACGCTTCGACGCGTCGAGCCGGAATAGACTGTACTTTGGCGTTGTCCCCGACGACGACAAGGAGAATGACGAGGGGCAGCGCATGCTGAGGAAGTTGCAGGGCGGGGTGTTTGGCGGGTTGATACTGCATAGTTCGCTGATTGCGAGTGTGCCGGCGCTGATGACGAATTCGGTGGATGTTTATCCTGTGCAGGATGAGTAGGGGATGTGAGTTGGGATGAATGAGTGTCCATGAACTGAAATGATGGTGAAGCCGGTTTGTGGGGGTGTTCCTTTTGTCATGTGCGCTGTGGGACTTGGAGGTAGTCGTATTAAAATATTTATCTAACTGGATCTTGAAGTAATGTGTCGTTTCGTGTGATCTGCACCGGGGGAGCCGCACTTGTTGCTGGAGCATCTTGCTCCTGCAAATCCTGCTGCACCGCGCCGTCACTGATGATTTGCTCCACGGTGTCTGCGTCTATCACAGCCTGCTGCAGTCCGTTCTCGCTTTCAATTTGCTTCTCGGTATCGTCTGCATCACTTGTCTTGTGCACCCAGCGGCGATACCATGGCTTCTCACTTGGATTTACCTCCGCTGTGGCTGTCGACTGGTCCCCTTTGCGATCGTTTGAACGTATCCATACCGTCCAGATAGAGAACACTAAAAGGGTCAATGGTACGGTGATGGCCCAGTATATCCAGAATCGAGACGATACCACGGACGCGCCTTGGGGAGCTTGCCAGTTGAACATGTCCATGGAAAACAGGGCCGATATGAATGTTCCTGGCAAGAACGCAATGGTCATGATAGCGATGGTGCGCATGGCGAAACTGTCTTCCTTCGTAGTCTTTGCGAGCCCAGTCTGTATCTGCGCGATTTCGGTTTGCGCCGTAGCGATCTTAGTCTGTGTTTTAGCCATGTTAAGGCTCTCTTTGCTGTCGCGCTGCGCGATGAGGCTGTAGACGATTTGCAGTTGGCTTTGGGCAATTTTCTGGTTGCAAGCGATGTTTGATAGAAGACCGCTTTGTTGTATCTTTAGATGCGCTAAACGTTCTTTCAATCTGCGATTTATGGTATCGACTGGGTGACGGGTCCGGTGCTCGAGACAGTCTTTCATCTCGTCCACAAAGACTATAGTCGCGTGGATTCGCATCTCGTGGAAAGCTAAACGAGATGTAATTCTATTCAGATTCTGGGTCATCTGTGCGAAATTCTGTTGCGATGATTTGTGTTGCCGCGTGCTTCCGCTCACCGGCTCGCTGAAGATGTAGTTACTGTAATTCGTTTGTAATTCGACCTTGTATAGATCTGAAGCGTGAAGTCGAACGCCATTCGAATCGCTCTCGACGAGCATCTCACACAAGATTGCCGGAATGTTCAACGGATGTGCACATTCTTCTTGCCTATCGCCAATATGTAACGACAAGGAGTCCAGGTCATTCGGCAGCAACCCATGAATGAACCCTTGGATGGAACGATATCCGGTATCCCATGAAAGTGCAAGCGTCCAGTTCTGTGTTTTGCTCGAGGGTGTTCGGAGTACGAAGCCTGCATGCTGCGTATCGTCTTTGGCCGCATAATGGACAAATTTAGGTGTGCCTAGCAGTATCGATTCGCAGAATTCCAAAGGAACACGTATCGCATCGACGATCCTGACAAAAGTCGTTTGATCAAATGGCAGGGTATTGTGTTCCCCGACACCAGTCATGCACAAAATCAGCTTCAGTTCGTAGGACCTTGTTGAGGTGTCAGATAGTGGGAATGTAACGTCAGTGCCCGGAGAGTTGTTCATGAGTTCATAATCGAACGGCTCGATGGCTGAGACCGTCGCGCTGCCAGTGTCATCCCCATTTATGCCAATATGACGTTGGCAGTCGGGCTGGGAACGAAAAGACATCTTAGCCAAATAACGCTTTTGTTTCTTGCTTGCGTGCTCTGGATAACAGTCCGCTCCTTCACAATCTAGCAAAGCAGAAGAGCCAGGCGCACGATTTTCTTCATGTGGGACCGACACCTCGGCGGCAGGCTGTTCCAGGCGGGACGATACGTCAACGGTAAAAGGGCTATGATGCTTGCGTTCAGAGAGTCGATCCAGGGGTGCTGACTCGAATGACAGTTGTACTACAAGGTCTTGCAGCTGATAAGCAAGTCTCTCTAGCCGACACGTGATCTCGCTAACATGTGAAATATCCGACATCGATACTCCAAAGGATCCCAAACTGCGCGGTCGCCCAAGGATTTCGTAGATACCATCCAGCAGCATCGTAGCATCCTTGAGTATGTACTCTATCAGATCGTTGAACCGCGATGAGCCATGTGCATGATCAAGGACCATAAAGACCGCAGCGGCTTTATCTAAAGATAGTCTGAAAATCTGTACGCGAAGTTCGGCGTCTCTACATTCGTCACTGAATGGCTGCTTCATTAGCTTGTATTGTGATAGGAGCTCTTGTGTTTCTGTCGCCGCTTCCGAAGCTTGGGTGAAAAACCTTGCTAGATCTATAGCCCCCATCGCTTCCGAAGCTTTGGTTAAAATGCTTGTTGCTATACCTATAGCCCCGAATGCTTCGGCCATGTTGTGAAAGTTATCGCGATAAGTTGAGCGTGTTGGAATGCCTTTTATAGGATTACTCTGCTATAAAAGGCTTCGATGTCGATTCGTGTTGCCGTATTGATGAACGAGGCTGAGACTAAAACAGAGTGCGATCTGCGCGAAGTGTCTGAACAGTAATTGGAGAGTACGCAGCAGCGTCGCTGTTAAGAAGAACTGCTGAACATGAGTAGATTGTGACAGATTGAGGGGGGTCGGGTGTTAGAGGGGTTCATTTCATGGAGACTCGAGGCTGAATGCGCGCATATGTTGTGTTGTCACTGCCTTCTGTTGCAGCTCGCTTCTACCTGTGCTCCAATCGAGAGGCGGCGATACAACCTCCAATAACGCTATGCTGCAGGTTACTTATCGAATGTGATATAGGCTTGAGTAGGCGACAAAATGCGGTCGTGATTCTGAGAGCGCTGGATGGTGTCCGACACATCAGGTACTCTCGTCTTCATTCTTCACGATACCTACCTTCTTTGCATGCGCATTGTCTGGTCTGGGTCGCACAGCATATATGTTCGATCATTCTGTGTGGTTTGTGCTGGTGCTCGCGTCAGCAGTCGCGGCTCTGCTTCCATAATCGAACATGTGGTTGCGTCAAAAAGCGCTATGACGTCATCAGGCTGAAGCACTTTCCACCAAGCCTTCCAGCCTCGATTGTATGCACACGCACCTAGATAACCATACTGACATGCTCAAGGCTAGGAAATTTGATGCGCATCTCCTGCATCTATTTTACTCCTTCCTTCGAAATCGAACCCTCAATCGCTAGGGGCGAACACTTCGATGGTGTACTTGCCTTTTCGGTAACAAATCATTCTACTATCTGATGCCGCCCATGCATTTTGACAAAAGTTATCGTTGGGCTTCAATGATGTTGTTAACATGAGGACAATGCCAACACGAGTATATATGTTAGGGCCGAAAGGTCATCGTCCCAATTGTCTGAGCACTCGTATCGAACCCACGGCAGTACTCAGAAGTAGATCTTTCCTTCGGCGCAACGCAGTGCCCCGCATCAATATAAGGAGGCGTAATCACGCAAAGGCGGTGCTGACGCATTTCGGGTTCAAGCAATGCCCATTATACGCAAGCATTCGATACGAGTCCAATATGATAGGGCCGAGGGCCGTCACCGCCCACGTGCAGGGCTGCTTGATCTGTCTGGGAGTCTGGAGAAATCATCCGGGGAAATTCGGCCCGATGATAAATCCGCTCGCTTGGTTTCACATGCCAGATCTGCATCGCACCGTTTAAATTTCGTAACAACAACGACAAGCTTTGGGATCTAAAGTCCCTTGGGACATGAACAGGGCTCGACTCGAGCCAGTGGCGACGAGCGGAAGCGACTGCGCAGGGCGGTGGTAGAAGACTGTTGAGGTGCGACAGGACGGAGAGTACGGCCGTTAATTATCACATACCGCTCTATCTTGGAGAAAGTGAATTGCGACATCAGCGCGCACCGGTGCTACCGAGGGCGTTTCGTCATTGCTCAGGATTTGCACCCAACGTTGAGGTTGCTGGCAGATCGCGGTGTCGCTAGTCTAATATTTTACGTACAAATGCACGACATTTGGAGGACGATTTCTTGGTTGGGCAACTGAGTCACGCTGGGAACATTGGAGGAGACTGACATGACATGCGACTATCTTTTGCGACCAGGATTGGCGGAGGTTATCGCATCGATATGCCGGTTGTCGGGGCGGGAGGCGTCTTTTGCCTGAAGGGCGAGCGGTGAGACGACGGCAAGGGAGAGCGGAGCGGAAAATTGGGCACACGATAGGGTCCGGTTGTGGAGATGGGCCTCGCGCGGAGGCTGGGTTACGGTAGTTTGGGAATCAAGATTGTCCAGATTCGTCTACTGGTGCATTCTTACGAGCATTTCTAGAGCATCTTGACATCACAATGAGGCCTTCGCTTCCGTTCTGGAAGGGAGCTCTGCAACTGTCAGGCCATATCATGGCAACATGCTTCCAAACGCTACACCAAGCAGACCGGATTTGCGGTAGACAATGTTGCATCGAGAGGACGTCGCAAGTGACGTGCATCTGGCAGTGCCAATGCTAAATGTGGAAAGCAGTACCTAACAGTAATTGCTGCTTGGCTGGGTGGCAGGGAACGATGCGCAGCGATAGCAGTCTGGAGATGATGCAGAGATAGAGCAGCCAGAGTTGGCATAATACTTTTACGCGCAGTTTTGGGCAGTGGGGGATAGCAGCGTCCCATTGGCCCCGTAGTCTTCTTATCACTTGGTGTCCGGATGGCTCGCTGGCTGTATTGTGAGCGACTAGCCGCTCTCAGCGCTCCGAAGTTCCCATCACGTAAACGACGGCCCGTGCTGCCCTGCAGGCACATGTTCCCGTAGATGGTGTCGCGTCGAACCTCAAAAGACTCTCGCAACGCTCTCGCCAGCATAACTTGCCTCTGCACGACTCCCACCCCAATGCTGCGTTTGCCCTCGCCCCGCACTGGGTCATAGCTTGCAGCCTACCCCATCTCCACGCCCAAGTCCGCAAAATTCCGGTCGCGTGTGCACTCTACACCTCAAGACCTCAATGACGGCGCGAACCATCGACCACCTCATTCTTCTCGCGGCCGTGACTGGCAACCTGGGACATCCGTCTTGACGCTCCCGAAGAAGCACTATCCGACTCGAGTTACTGTCTCCCGACTTGCCTGATACATCTCCGTGCATCGACTTCCCGCACCCACGCGATAAGCCCTGGCCAACTTCCGCTTCCAGGACTCTATCTTTCTCGGCGTCGTGTGACTGGTACAGTACAGCAATCTTGCTTTCCCACTCCCCTCTCGGCATCAGCACGCCGTAGACTAGCCACGGCCCGCACTTTATCAGTAGCTGGTAGTATACCTGGTCGTCCTAGCTGCAACTAGGCACAGCCCATCCCTCTCTATCTGCCCTTATCTCTTGAGCGCATCGTCAGCGCCCGAGACCGATATGACGACAGCCGTGGCTATACAGCCTGCTATGCCACGCCCAATGCCAGTACCCATTGCCGCCGCCCGCCCTCGCAAACCTCAGAAGCCTTCGCCGGGCAAAGAGAACTTGGTCGTCGGCAAGCCCACCTCGACCAACGGCCCCGTCTCTAACATCCGCTCACGGCGAGAGCGCCCGTGTGACGCCTGCAGGCGAAGAAAGAGCCGTTGCGTGATACACGAGGGTGCTGCACTGTGTGTCTTGTGTGAGTTCCACAAGCAAGAGTGTACCTTTGTGCAGAGCCCATTGCCCCGTAAGAGGAAGGTCGTCGACGGCGACAAGAAAGACTCACCTAGCACCACGAAGAAGAGGTACGTTTAGGCTTTCCACTACTGTACGCCAGGCCGTATGCTTGAATCTCGCTTCCACATGTCAAGTTGAGGTGGTACTGCTATTCCCTTTTCGTCCCGTCTAGTGTGTCACGTGTCCACGTGTAACCGTACCAACCTCCTTGACGTGTCGGCATCTGTGCTACAAACTTTAGCACTACGTCCACGAACATCGTCGTCGCGATGCACCATGTACCAAGTACCTATGCTAATCGTCTTGTAGGTCAGTCGACACAGAGCCTCCACCACTAGCCCTGTCAACACCCACCATCACTGCGACTGCGCCAAGCCCCCCACCAAGACAGCCGCCATTGGCCAACATCCATCTCCCACAGCTGGGCGAGACTTTGGGTCTACAGCGCCGCCAACATAGTAGGTATATCGGTCTAAGTTCGCCGTTTGACTCTCTACTCATTGGTCTTTCCCAATTTGATACCCGCAACGAATCGGCATTTGACCTTGGCACGCTTCGGAGAGTCAATGACCATGAATGTTTCATCATGCTGCCTGACGAAACCACCCAAGATTACGCTGGCGAGGTCGAAGCACTGAACCAGATCGAGCAGCTCATTCATCCCCACGGTCCTGCATTGCTAGACTTGTACTTTGAGGTGGTGCATCCTAACTTTCCCATCATCCAGAAACATCTCTTCATTGGGCGGTACAAGAATGGCGACCGCACCTTCTCGCCGGCTCTGTTGGCCGGCATGTACATTTTGGCGCTGAACTGGTGGTCGCTCAACCCGAATTTGGCCAAGTACTCCAAGCCAGATGCCGCACGATTGGAAGTGATTGCGATGAAGTCGCTGACCATCGCTATGGAGAGGCCGAAGCTGTCCACAGTTCAAGCGGGGCTGTTACTATTACAACGTCCAGAGGCAGACTCCTGGAGTCTCACAACTCAGCTGGTTGCCATTGGCCAAGAACTCGGTCTCCATCTTGACTGCTCTTCGTGGTCAGTACCTATGTGGGAGCGCGGCTTGAGGAAACGAATTGCCTGGGCATTATACATGCAAGACAAGTGGAGCTCGTTGATCCATGGGCGTCCGTCGCACATCTTCAACGCTAATTGGGCCGTGAAGCCGATTACTGAGGAAGACTTCAACGAGGAGGGCGACGGGTACGACACCCGAGAAGAGGAGACTGAAGATGAACAAGAGGATAACCACCGCGGGCGCATCTTGTTCGCACAGATGATTGCTCTGACCCAAATTATGGCGGAGGTCATGGATACATTCTATACGCAGGTCGCGATCCACGATTTCGCGAATGCTGGGCGGAAGTCGACAGAGCTTATTCTCGCACGGGCGAAGCCTGTACAGATCAAGCTTCGTCAGTGGCACGAGAAGCTACCTGCAGAGGTCAAAATGCATGCGCCACTGAGCAAGAACAAGCTCACCTCGACGGGGTACCTTCACCTGGCATACTTTGCGACTGAGATCACTCTTCATCGACGCATCGTGCAGTCTCTTGATTCGACCAATCCCGATTCATATGGCCTCTTCATGTGTCGAAACGCCGCAAAGACACGCCTTATCTCCGCGATGGACTTCGTCAACCGTCTCAAGCCCGAGCACCTCCAAGCATTCTGGTACTTCGCCTCCAAAGTCAATTTTACCCTGATCGGGACCTTCGGCTCGCTTCTCTGGGCCACCGCGCCTGCAAAGGAAGAGGCCGAGTTCTACAAGCTCCGCCTGCGCGAATACCGCTGGACTCTCTCCGTCTCCGCCAAGCGCGCAGACTTCCTTGATTACGCCGTATCTATGCTAGACGCAAGTCGCGCCATGCTGAACAATCTCGCCGAGAAACCCAGTCTGGCAGAGCAAATCAGCAGCGCTGGTGTACCTCCTGCTGCACCGCGCATGTTCCAGTCCAATATGGGTCCGCCACACCACTTTGACGGGTCTGGCGAGGATACGCATATGGCTGATGGAGATGATCTGGGGAGGACGATGTCTGCAGATAGCTTCCAGGGCTTCAATGACGGTAGCCAGTTTGGAAGTCAGACGAGTAGTCGGCCGCAGACTGCGGGGAACTCGCCGCGCTCTATGTGAGCTGCTCGAAGAAGTTTTTCACATACACAAATCTGGTAGTGGTGTTTGGTCGAAGCATTATTAGCGGAAGGTGTCGGCTTGGTCACTAAGAGTGATGCGCGATGCTTTGTTATACACAGAGATTTGCGGGGGATGTCGCCATAATACCGCGTCGCACGACACATGGCGCCATATCGCGACATGATCTTTGCGCAGATCCTGGAGTTACGATTTATGGGCTTTATGATATCTTAGACTGGCCATTGGGTCATTGGGTTACTTCATTGGAATAGACTACGGGCTTGCTCAACGCAAGGTTCGCTTATTATTTATTAATCTTGTTGCTCGCTTCGCGTTGTATCGTGACTACGGAGGATGACCTTTGGGAATGTACTCCTGCTGTAATGACCTCCTCAGCTATCGGTCGCATACTTGGTCCTACAGAAACGAGCTTCCTCTTTCTTTCTAGTGTGGTCAGACTACCGCCGTAGGATTCGGTGTGACTCATCTACATCCTCCAAAACCGACCATGCTTGTGAGACATGCACTTCACTTCCACACTATACATCATCGCCAAGAAATACCAAATCTGTACTTGCATACTCATCCCCAACCATGTCCGACCCAAACTTCCACATCCCCACCCCCCGCCTCTTTCATATCCCACCAATGCCCCCTCCAACGACGCCCACTGCGACTTCGCCGTTGCCCCTCCTGCACAACCCCGCATCAATCAAACACAACCCGTCCGGCCCAACCGCCGTTCCCGACCGCGAAGCCGCGCGCTCCTTCATCACCACCGCCTCAGAGCGTCTCGCCCGCACGGGATATGGACGATACCTCGTGTCCCTGCGCCCCTCGCCCTCCTCCCCCTTCTCCCCTGAAAATCAAGAACTCATCGGCGTCGTAACTCTCCAACTCCAGCGCTACCCCTCATCTCCCGGCCCGCTGATCCCTGACATCGGGTTCAATTTCCTGCCGCAGTACCATGGGAAGGGATATGCCAAGGAAGCCGCGCAAGCGCTGATGGAGTGGTATACACGTGAGAAAGGGGTCAAGAAGTTTGCGGCGCTGACGGATGAGACGAATGGTGAGGCGAAGAAGTTATTGGGGAAATTGGGATTTCGGGAGTGGGGGGAGAGAGTTGTTAGGGGGGTTAGTGGGGAAGGGGAAGAGGAGAGGTTGAGCGTTTGGACGAGGGGGGTGGAGGAGGGGGAGTTGGAAGGTTTGAGACTTTGAGGGGTGCGGATGCGTGGCTGTTGTTTTGAGGGAATGAGAGAGCGGTGAGATTTTGAGATGTCTGCGTACAGTATAAAGCACGTCGAAGCGTGTAGAAAGTCGCACGCCTTTACGCAAGCCTGAAAAAGTACAAACATTTCAGTCTCATAACTTTTCCCATCACGTCTTAGGGAGGCTCAGTACCTGCTCAATCCGCTAATAAGTCAAGAATATCGAATACAGATTTTCTTTCCCATAGGAAAGTAGCTCTCTAGGAGCGCAATAAACAAGGTTACGTGTTCTCAAAAACAGTTTGTAGTCGTCATGAGCCTTTATTTTCACCCAAAAGTTTGCTATAATCGACACCTTGGGAGAGCTTACCTGATCGGGTATATACCAACACTCCAAATATCATGTGTACGAATGTGGCGCGAGGTGAAATTCCAGAGTTGATGAATGTATGGCTAAGAAGGTGAAAGACAATTTTTCTGGCAGATAATGTGATGCGTCGCTCGAGTAGTAGCTTACCGCAAGATTTCTTTTAGGCACTACTGTTTGACGCGAGTATCCATCTGTCCTTGATATCTGGAGAGAGAAGTTTCTTCTAAGAATCCATTCTCTTGCAGAAAAAAGAATGCTTCGGGGATATGTGCACACTATAAATACAATGTTCAGCAAAGCACCAACACCTTGCGCGATTATTTTTAAGCACCGCACGACCTTCGACAAAAAGACCATCTCTATTTTTGCGCTTCGATCCTCAGGCATTCAAAATATTGACCGAGTCGAGTCGAAGGTCGAGTTGGTCAGGCCCGCACGAGCTCGGAGTAGAGAACAAATCTATTTTTCGCATCTTTTTCTTCGGGCGTCCTACATGTTGGTGTTGGTTGCAGCGAGTTGGTTAGGCTTGCACGACGTCACGATAGAAACTCTTTGCACCTTCTTCTCAGGCATCCAAAATGTTGGCCAACTTGCTCGACTTTGAAGGTCAAGTTGGTCAGGTCTTTTGTTGTTGCCGTTTGTGGAGGTAATCTCCGAGCGGGTAGCATCCGAGCGAATCGACGCTGGGGTCTGCGTCACATCCGAGAATCGGACCGTTGCGGGCAGACTGCAAAAATAGAGAAAGGGTGAGCAGTTTCACCGGAGACAAGACTATGGCCAAGATCAGGGAGAAGTGTTGAGGGAAATTGTGCTCATGCAGCGAAATGTTTGCGCATGTTCTTGCAAAGTCGCGTGCGCAGTTGAGACGTGTGCACTGCATTACATCATTCCTATCAGAGTATGTGGGCTAGGTATGTTGGGCGCAAGGGCAGATTTTTTGCAGAGACTACAACTGCGGGCCTGGGTAAAACTCTGACACTCATGACCATATCAAGATAGTCAGAGTTTGTCGCACACTGCAGAAATGTGTAAGGTGGAGGTGATCATCTGCAAAACCTTGAGCAGATGACCAATCTCAAAGTGTTGAGATGCATAAGAGATTACTACCGAGTTTGATCGGTCGCTTAGTCTGGGGAATCTGTAATGTGCTGTTGAGTAACGTAGGCTGGTCTCAGATACCGCCTTTTGTACAACCAGTAGTAATACCACACTTGTCATGTCGCTTGCAAGTCGGCCTACAGTTTCTCGTTTCGAAGACGCTGTCGTGGACGAGTATCCATAAACGTCACCAAGTCGGGTCACGGGGCTTGCTCCAGGATGGCTGCGCTGGCAAAGACGTGGCCAGTGATGCTCCGCCGGAGGAATCATACAGCAAGGGCGCTGCAGCTCGCCGAGGAGGCTTTTTGTCTAGAATGTCTTCCTGCTGTGCATGTTTTGAGCAAGCGAGACATCCAAAGCCGACTGATCATAGTGACGGTCATCTTTTACATCCCGCATGAAGCTAGAAACACAGAAGTCGTGATTCGTGGGGTAAGGAGTCTCGACTTCGGCGACTTATGACGCTACGATGTGAGCATGCGTTCGCATGGCGTTCGCCAATGACCGTTGACGGTGCCCGGGGCACTTATGCAGGTCCTAAGTGGTTGAGACGCGCGGCTCGGACGAGGTCTTGTGCTTGAGTTTTGCGACATGTCTCTGCCTCTGCAGCAAAAAAGCCTGGAAACGGGAGAAAGAATCTGGTCCAGATCGCAGGGCGCTACGCTTCATTTCTGATGACATATGAGCTGTCAGCCAATGATTGGGGCTGACAGGACGTTTTTCATTAATGAAACGTGGTGATCTCCCTCGGACGACGCGGGACGGGACTTCGTGTCACGGTTGGCGCCTTCTAGCACACGACTAAGCGAACATCGACGCCTGGGTGCCTGACTAGCCTTGCGACTTCAGCTCTCCATCAAGTGCCCACTTGCACGTCCAGAATCTTGTTCCTGCGTGAACACGCACTATATTCTGTGCCTAGCAGTCGGCCCCTCTCTCTATCCACCAACGGCCGTCCGGCGAGACGAAGATCTTTTCGTCTTGCGTATGCGCTTATCGATAGCAGGCATGTCTTCCTTCGACGTGGCCCAACCGCCCGGACTCCGATTTGCTCGGTGCCTTGATGACGGCACTGGCCTATGCCAAGGGTGGGTATCTCATTTCCACAATCCACGCGGCACTCGGGATCGAGACTTGGGTAGCGACACTCTTGCACTGTTCCTGGCAACTGATTGGGGTGTCGGAACCGGGCCATTGGAAAAGTGAATTCAACCTTATTCACACGTATTGGCGCGAGCTGGGCAGTTTTGCTTCTGAAACCCATGCCCGCTGGACTTGCCCGAAAGAATGCAAGACAGCTCAGTGCACGACTGCGCCGGAGCGCCGGGAGGCGTGAAATGTTGGCGGCGTGGGGCGTTCTCGTATTTCTCACTTCTCAAGTATAAGTGCAGAGGTGGGAACCACAATGTTTTTGTTTGATCTTGATCATCCCCTCCTTCACAGTCTCAGTTGACCTTACACTCCTTCGGTATCTTTGTACCAGTCCATTCATTCTTTTATCACTACCAATCATGGTTCAATCATCACTCCTTTTCGCCCTTGCGGCTTTCACCGGATTGATGGAGGCTTCTCCCATCCGCGGTGCTTCCTCAGGCAAGCGGGGCCTTGCCTTCCCCATGCATGTCAACGGTCAACCTGGAGCAACCTTCACTCAAGCCTTCAACGG